CAATTTACTACTAATTAAAGGATTGCTATTACAGCCAAATTATGAGAAGTTATCGATGTTAAATGTCAATATATCATTCTTACTTCTTCGCATTGCTTGCATCACACACATAATGTTTTACACAGTGGCATTATGACACCACTAGAAAAGCAAATTAGTAGAAAATTACTTCCAAAAAGTTGTTTTGATTAAGAATAGTAAATTAGAGTCTGCCTATGTGGTCTGAAAATATTTTTAATGAATGCTCAGACACTGACGGAACACAAGAGTCTTTTCATGTTCGGGCAGTGATAATAATTATTTTCATTTATTTTTGTAAATCTTAACGATTCCAACGAAGTTGAAACATGCCAATTTTAAAGAGCAAATCATATACACATTTTAAAAGTTGGTTGGCAATAAAATATGCTTCGCTCCAGAATGGATGCGTACATTTAATAAATAAGGTCTTGAAACTTGAAATATAAATACATATATTTTTTTTAGTTGAAATCATATTGACATATGTATGTAACGCATCATGTTAATTACAACAACAATTTAGACATACAAATATACAACACAAATGTGCAATGTCTTCTGCTTCTGTCAAGAAAATCTATGTGCATTTTATAACAGTTGCCATTTGGCACTTTTCTTATCAATCACAATCTTTAAAACATAAATTGTTATTTTTCTTCATGATTTTCACAACATCTGAAACACAGTTGTAGCATTGAAGCATGTGTTAAAGCGTCCATTTCATCCATTAGTTTATCAAATCTAATAACCTGACAGGGACAAGTGCCCTTTGCTCAGCAGGTGGAAATATTAAAGTAACGAAATAATAATATTTCAAAACTATTGGAGGATGAGTAATTGTGTGAAGGAAACAAAGGCAGCAAGTGTGTAGCTGTTGTTCGACCCTTACCTTTAGGCCAGCAAAAACTGCTTCGTCGCACACTGATTGCATCTTTAAAATTAAATTAAATTAAAATGACATTTGACCCTTAGAGAGCACATGCACAGACAGATTTTTATATGAAGGAGGCAATGCAAATCATTGCAAATGAAGAGGCTACCACATCATAGAAAACAATTCGAGTGAACCAGAATGGTTAAAAAACGGGATTGCTATCGTAGAGTAATAATGATAAAATATAATTGATAAAAAGTTTTGTATATTATCATTCATATGACTTTTTTCGAATCTTGTGCAATTTAAACTCTATACGTAGTCGAAACTATATGATTGATAAATATGAAGTGGAGAAAATGAGAAGGAAGAATTAGTCAACTTACATACTTTTATTTAAGTATTTTATTTATGTACATCACATGCATTCATGAGATTGCGTTAATTTTAAACCACAACGACACTGTTTGCCATAATTAAATACCTCGGTCCAGTGATATTTCTTTAAAACAAAAACTTACATAGACAAATCCTTTATACTGTGCGGATGATGGAATCAAATGCTTCAAAATCTATTGAAAAAATAACCTAAGAAAATTGTAATAAACAAATCTTCCTATGCACTCATATAAAATAGGTAACTAACCACCATACGTACTTACATATTATGCATGCGTCGTTTTGATTAGCCACAAAGTTTAACAACTTTTAGGGTTTGAAATTGCACCTAAATATTTTAAACAATCGCTACAAAAATTCGATTCTGCTGAACGTGTAATATGAATAAAACTGGTGTAATCAAGTTTATGAATTATTGACATATTTTTGGGCAAGTGTCATAAAAATAAGTATATGTTGTTAAAAAATAAAAACATAAACTGCATGTTACACTGCGCACATATGTGCATGTACTTACATAAATATATTGCAACTCGAGTGTCGCATTAGCTATAAAAGCATTTCATACTTCGTCACGGTATTTGACGAAGGCATAAAATCGCATACATTCAATAACGAAGCTCTCCTACCAATTTTTAGCCCGAGTCAGGGCTTATGGAACCGTCATGTCCGTCCGTCCGTCCGTCCGTCCGTCCGTCTGTCCGGCACGATAGAGCCAAAACGGCTGAACCGATTGACTTCAAATTTTTACCATATGCATATTGGACAAAGTTAGGAAACGAGTTCGAAGATGGGCGAAATCGGTCAAGTGGTTGACCGGTGGGGGTCATCGGAGTGGGTGGGGTATTATGCACCAAATTTCAAAATTGTCGTAGAAGGCTAAAATTGGGTACAGAGGTTGCTAATGGCTCCTAATAGATAAAAATGACTTTAAGTTTGAAAAATTTTCATCTTGAGGGACCCTATGGGATGACCCATACTGATTTTTCAAAATCGTCATAAAAAGCTGAAATTTGGTAGAGAGGTTGCTAATGGGTCTTAATAGAAGAATATGACGTGGAATTGGTAAAATTCTTATCAGGAGCGACCCTATGGGGTGACCCATACCGATTTTTAGAAATTACTTTAAAAACATTAAATCCGGCAAGGTCATACCTAATGGCTTGTCATGAAAGGATATGAAGTTAAAAGTGAGCGAATTTTAACCAGAGTGACCCTGGAGGGTAACCCATACCATTTTTTAAGTTTAATTTTTTCCATCTGAAATTTGGTACGAAGGCTAAAAACCACTTCTTGATAGCAAATATAGCTGTGGAAGTTCAAAGTGGTAATATTATGTCGGTCAATTCGGAGAAAAATTTAGAAACAGCTAGGACTCACGGAGTCAGGGACTCTGTTCCTGACTCGGGCTATATGGAGTCTGCACTGTAGGTTTTAATTATTTTGGTCGGAAATCGAATGACAAATTATGAGTAATACAAATTCATAAATTAATCACAAGTAGAAGAAAAAGGAGATGACGCAATCCACGAATTAAACGAGGAGCCTTTCTTCTCTTTTATCCGCACATAATTATCACATCGACTTGGCTCAGCAACAAGGAAAGAAAAGACGCATTCTTTTCTTATCCCAAATTAGAAACAAATAAGTGGCCTGTACTCATCCTGACCCGAATTACTTTGAGCACTATACATACTTCAGTTGGTGCCATACTCTTCTAAACATTATGCACTTGGTTTAACTGATTGCCACTGCACAACTCCTCATGAAGAAGGCTGCAAGCATGGCATAATGTATCCCATCACTTGGGCCGATTTAAAAAATTACACCACAAACGCACTACATTAAATTCCCTTTATCAACGTGTGCATAGTGTAACGAGTTGGCCAAGTGACTAGGCCAAGATGAACAAATTCTTCTTTTTGCAAATTGCATATTATTCGCAAATTCAGCTAATTAATATACAAATTACTACTAATTAACACATCCACAAAATGTGCTCACTATGCCAGTCATAAATTATGCTAAGAAATATATGGATGTTTTTGACCACTTGCCCTCTGGGTATTGGTGATGAATGCAACCAACAATAAACGATGTGTCAATAAATGTAGCAAATGTTACACGCATACAAACTGCTACCTTGCTATTCTTTTTAGCGTTTATAGTAAATATTCGACTTGTAATTTTTCTATTGTGAATCAGACAATTACAAAAATGTCAAACAGATGTGTTCATTGCATCAATAAATTTAGCTGTATCGACGGTTCAAAACTTATGATCCTGATCTGATGATAGCAAAAAAATAGTGAGCTTATACTTAAACTTCCTGTGAAAATATACAAGAAAAACAAGCAAATTTCTTCCTAGATTCTTCAAGTGTCAGTTAATTATGCACGCCAAGGATTAATTCTGGACATACTTATTGGTTATATATCGGTTATTTATTCTTCATACTCATAAAATTAGTGTGCCCATTGACGTGACGTGGAAAATGATTGACATGCATACCTAATCAAATCAGGTAATTTGCCAGATTGATCGTATCTATGTTTTTTTTCCCTTTGATTTTTTGTTCTCTCCAACCTTCGAAGGTGTTATTCTTGTAAAAATCGTTCCTTCCGATATGACGGCAGTAACCATGCTTGGCGAACCAATTGTCTTCGCATCTGATGAATTTTCCACCCCTCCAGCAGACGTCACTGCCATGGATGGATTTGTAGAAGGGACAACAGTTACGTCAAATCTCGAGTCTTCCATAATGGATCGCCCCCTGTCCGGCTTGAAAATATCGTCCAGAACGATTTGTGACCAAACTCGGCGTTGCCGCTTTTCTCCTCTGGAACTCAAGTAAATCCCAGAACTTTGTTCATTGTCCAACAGCACATCCTCATAGCCAAACTCTTCAGCATCATCAAAGTCAAACATTTTCTCATGGCCTTTGGTGAGACTGAAGTCTTCTTTCCAGAATGACGAAGGGATTGGTTCCAGCTCCAGTTCGAGTGGGTCCATCGGAAGTGGGGCGTCCTCCTCATCCTCGTCCATCACAACCCTGCTCGACTTTCTCCTCTTGTCTTTCTTGGAGTGACCATGCTTGGAAGGAAAGGGACTCAGAGTGGAATCAGTTTGCGACTGGTCTGTTGGGGACAATTTCACAAGAAGAGGATCAATCGGCTCTTCTGTGCTTGAGGAGCGTAGAGCTAAAACGGGTGATGCGGGTGTGTTTTCACTGTTCTTGGACTCCCGTTTCCCTTTCTTTTCACGTTTCAGTGCTGCAGTACTCTTCCCTTTTTCGACAGATCGTTTCGGAGTCCGGCCTGACTTCAACACACTCAACGACTCCTCTTCCTGGTCAGCCGTCACGTCATCTTCACCGACAAATTCCATTTTTGGAGGAAATTAACGTGGTCCTCGGGGACCCTTTCTTTGTACACGTGTCTGGAGAAAGCAATTTCACTTTCGTTTTTGTATGATGAAACCTAATTCACAAAGAGTAATAATATGTACGGTTAAACTAATGCGGTTGTAAGTAAAACCTTTTTTGATGCTTTGTTTTTGGTTTGCAGAACTCCAGGGTTCCATGTCGATGACTTTTAATAATTAAAATTAATTTTATTAATTAATTAATATAAAATTAATTAATTAATAATTTTAACAATTATTGTTACTTTTTAATTAAATTTTAACTGTTATTTTCACTTATCATTTATTTTATTCATTTTTTGTTGAATCTAATTTTTTCTAATCTTTAGTAAGCAAAATTTAATTGTTGTACTAACTCGTATTTCAGCCTACAGAATGTACATAGGTATATTATGACACAATTTTTGAACAACATTTTATATATAATTTATTACTAGACTTCAGTAATTATGAAGCTGCATGTTTTTTAATGGAGACATAATTACAACAGTGGCATATTCCACAGCCAGCTGAATCCGTCTTATTCTGCCAATTACTAATGAATGATTTAAAATTATTACGATTATTCGGGAACTGGTTGTGGTGCTGCTGAGGTAGCAGGCTCTTCAATTCCAAAGTACAACTTGGGGTAATCTTTGTAGCTGTCTCGGTCGGACTCTTCGGAGGAGAGGCCGATGAGATAGTTCGGAGCGGAAGGTTCTTGAAAGAGCATCATTCCGGCGGACAGCATGTTGTGAATGGTGACTCGAGAAACTCGAGATTTCCTACGTTCAGCTTCAAGGGCTTGCATCAATATGTCCGCTTTTGTGACGACGACGTCAGGGTCAGGTCGGATCCTCCAACGAGGGTCATCTGGCAAATCTCTGTATCGTCGGAAATCTTCGTCATAACATGGTTTCGGAGAAATTACATTGATGTGATTCGCCTCGTATTTCAACTCCTCCAGTTTGCCTTCCAGGTGACGTTGATCCACTCTCAAGCGAATTAACTGATTTAAAAAAAAATAAATTATTAGTATACATTTTTTGATGAACATTTTGATTTTTGAGGATCACGAGCCATGGACTCTTGTCTCAAGATTTCTTTCTTCAATAAGGCTTGAGCATCAAGAATCTCATTTGTCCTCTTTGAAGCAAGTTGTCGAAAATAGAGACGAAGCCATTCGATCGGATTTTCCGGCTTATGTGCCAAGTTGAAGAGATCAGCAATTGCAGTGATGAGTAAAAAGTTGGCTCCGGATTCTTCGATGTATTGAGCAAATGATCCTCTTGAAGATTTCGCCTGCATTAATTTTATTAATATAGCATAAATTTGTCAGTGGTATTCCACCATCGAATTACTACACACAGTAATGAGTTACCTCATTTGGATAGATCCTAAATGACTGACGCCGTGGCTTAGCTGTCCCCACAGACATGCTACGAATGATGAGAAATACGAATGCGGAACAATTCTAGAAAATATACGTCTTTGAAGATACATGTGATATGTGAATTATTACCGTTGTTCAGATATGCATCTAAGCCCTGCGTTCTTTTTATTTGGACCCGTAGCAACAAAATTAATACATTCTGTTCATTATAATACACGAGCGTCATTGCAATGCGGGGACGAAGGTCATTTATGCCTTTATGCGATAACAGTACAAAAAATATTAACGTTTAAACTATATTACTTAAAAAAACTTTATTTACAGTATAAACATCTAGGCACATAATCAATATTGGATGGTTGGGCCAGACTAAGGCAATCAATAAATTATGCATGCAAGTGACCTGCTTCTTCTTTACTGGCTTGTTTTTCTTACTTGGGGTTCTGCTCGTCCCCTCACTTTAGACTTTCTCCTTTGATGGTGCAGCTCGTTTCCTCCTCCTGGCTCGGCATTCGCACTCAAAGTCACTCCTCCTCCTCCATGTTTTGCTTGGAACTGCCGACCGTCCACCTTGTTGACGCCCGTCTTATCACCCAAACCCACGAGCTTTCCTTCACCATGACCTTGCAAATGCGTGTGCGGATGTGTCTTGTTCTTGTCCTTTGCGCCAGACTGGATCCCTCCTTGTTCATTGCCGCTTTCGAGATCGCCTGGTTCGTTGACCACTAAGTTTCCCCTCTTGTTTGAAGGCGTAATGAGGGTGAAAGTAGGAAGTGGGTCGTTTTGAGGGTTTGTGAGGCTTTGAGAAGCTTCAGCTGCGGTTGTTATCTGACAAAATTTGTAAAGTTAGCCGGTTTAAATTCTCGATGCAGTGCTTATTAACGCGACTCATAACTCGTACATTACGTACGTGATCAATTGGCGGTGGCTTTGCTCTTTTTTCCTTTGGTATCGGTGACGTTGCTGCGTGTCTTGACCTCAGCGGGGCGTCTGGAAGCACAGGAAAAGGACGGCCAGGAATTTCTAATGGTTTTGGAACAGTTGGGAGCTGTGGATTTTTGCCAATGGTGAGTGGAGGGGTGGAGAAGGATATCACTTGTCGGACCAGTTCATCTGACTCTCCTCCTGACACGTCCCCTTTGCTGGAAAGGTTGTCAGCGGTTAAAAATCCTACGTTAGCTCGGTCGGAAGGAGCCTGAGTTTTTAACCCAGTTTGACCCTTATCGTGGTTGCTTGCGTGTTTTCTTTTACTTCGACGGAAATGCTTTCTCCGCCTTTCCTACAAAAAATATTTAGTAAATTATTTAATTTTTTCGTTGATGTGTACTTTGGGTTCAGAATTTGAAATGTACACGAAGAGTAAATGTAATCATCAAGTGACAATTTCACATACAATAAAAAATATATTTACCTCTGGTAACTTTCCCAATTTCTTCAATATCTTTCCTGTGGATTAAATATTATACTGAAGTTGGTATATATACTGAAAGCTCGTTTAAAAAGTATCAAACTTTTTCTTGGCAGCATGCGATCGGTGTAGAAACCACGAACGACGCCATACAAAATGAAACTGGAGGAGATTAGAAAGAAGGAGAAAATTATGACGCCCATTACCACAGGCAGAATTTCAAGTAGGATCCAATAGGCCAAAGAGTTTTCTATACGTACGTATTTGCATTTTATATCACGTTGAATATTTTTAAAAAATGTAGTAAAAATGTAAAACGGACTTGGCAGGAATGAAACTTCCTTTGGTGGAAGGGGGTCGAAGTCGCCGGGACTCTTCCCGATCGGGTACTGAAAATATGGTTTTACTTGAGGCCTACCCTTGTTGCACCTCAGCGGTATGTTTGTGGATAGCATTTTAAGTTCTTTCTTTCTATATAGTCAAAGTAGACACGGATCGACCCACGCATATTATTTGCGAATTATTTTATTTTGAGCACAAAACTTATGATATCAAGCGAACCAAGATTATTTGACACTTTATCAGTCTATAAGGTTACGACAAATGGCCGAGTTACAAAATAAATTTTCATTTTTATTAGCCCGAATCTGGGCTTATGGAACCGTCATGTGTCCGTCCGTAAACGCGTTAGTAAAAATGGCTGAACCGATTGACTTGAAATTTTTACCGTGTACATATTGGACAAAGTTAGGAAGCGGGTTCGAAGATGGGCGAAATCGGTCAAGTGGTGGACCGGTGGGGTCATGTTAGTAGTTGGGATAAAATTTTGAAATTGTCGTAGAAAGCTGAAATTTGGTACAGAGGTAGCTAATGACTTCTAATAGATAAAAATGATTTCAAGTTGGAAAAATTTTTATCTTGAGAGACCCTATGGGGTGACACATTTTTCACATTCCGGTTTTTCAAAATCGATATATCGAGTTGAAATTTGGCAGAGAGGTTGCTTATGGGTCTTATTGGAAGAATAAGAAATGAAATTGGAAAATTTTTTAGCTGGAGCGACCCTATGGGGTGACCCACACCGACGTTTAGAAATTGCTTTAAAACTACGAAATCTGGCACGGTGATACTTAATAGCTAGTCATGAAAGAATATGAAGTTAAAATGCCAAATAATAGAAAATATCTAATAAACATTTAGCTATATACACCACGGAGGTTGGTAATATTATTAATATTATATTAATATGTCGGTTTCGAAAAAAAATAGTGAGCTCTTTAAACACAAGCTAGCGACCTGAAATTTTGCGAAGTTCATCTTCGGGTCAAAAGTAAGGATAAGTTCGAAGACAGACATGATCGGTTTTGTCGGTGGGGGTGTTTTAAGTGGTTAGGGTTGACAGAAAAAAATATTAAATGTCATAGAAAAGTCCCAAATTTGTCGCAGGAAGTTGAAATTTTGAGATTAAGCCCTACGGGTGAGACCATAGGGCTTAATCCATACAGATCTTTCAAAAATATGCCACTCCCACCAGTTAAATGGTGGGTTTAAACGACAACCGCAGTCTGACTCGGGCTCATAAAGGCTGCCTACTGGAGATTTCAAGTTTACTATTTGAAATAGTACCCTCGAGATTTTCAGCTTAAAAAATCAAGCTAAAAATTACGATGATTTCATCTTTAAGAATTAAATCTCTATGTCTGTCCATTCAAAAGTTATTAATGGTCAAAGAGTTGTTTTTTTCGACCATCGGGAAGAAACAACTATTTTTAAAAATAATTATTTTATTTGTAACTCAACCATTTGTCGCAACCGTTAAGGGAGACTAACGTTACCAAGATACTAAATGTCAAGCAATCGTGCAAGCGAACACAGTATTGAGTCCATTAGATATTTTTTAGGTTAAGTATATAGTTTTATCTACTTGTGTCATAGTTTTAGGCCTTTTAAGATGGCCTTATAGATTTACCAAGATGTCTGTCTGTCCGTCCGTCTGTGCGTCCGTCTGTGCGCACGATAACTCTCTTTAAACAAAAGCTATCGACTTGAAATTTTGCACACTTCATCTTCGGGTCAAAAGTAAGGATGAGTTCGGAGATGGGCATGATCGGCCAAGTAGTTGGCCGGTGGGGGTCATTACTATCCAAATGCGTTGCCCTTAACTACCAAGAACCTTTAGAGCAGGTTAAATTATTTAAGTGCAAGTAAAATATTTGTAGCTTGAAAAATATCTATAGTAATAATTTTCAGTAATTTTAGTATGAAGATTGCGACTGACCTCAAAGCGTTTAAATTGGAATGGAGTTTCAGAAATTTTAAACCTGGGAGACCCGATAGGGTGACCCGACGGATTTCTAAAATTTGTAGTACGTAGTTGAAATTTGGAACAAAGGTTGCTAGTGGATTGTAACAGAAAAAACTGAATTTAGGTTGGAACAATTTTAATCTCGATGGACCCTATGGGGTGACCCATACTGATTTTTCAAAATCGTCATATCGAAGTGAAATTTGGGAGAGAGGTGATCCATATCTATTTTTAGAAATTGCGTTAAAAACATGAAATCCGGCACGGTAATACTTACAATTAGTGGCTTCTCATCAAAGAACTTGAAATTAAAAGTTAGCTAACAAGGGATACTTTCGAGGTGATAATCGTGTCCAGGGTACCACTCATTGGTCTAAATGTTTTTTGATCGAGTGTTTCTCACGGGTTCGGGTTCTTACTTCGGGTTTCGGGTTCGGATCGGGTTTGGGTCCTGCTTCGGATACGAAATTTCAGAACCCGAAACTTTCGGGTTCGGGTTCGGGTTCGGGTTCCGACTAAGAACCCGAAACCCGAACCAACAAGAACTTTTTGCCACAACGAATACGAAAACATTAAAAAAGAAAATAAAGTGTTAACCACACTTGCTACGACGGTTATGCTGCAGTAATTCATTAAATAATTCAAATTTTTAATTGTCGTAACTTCTTTTCACAAGTGTCTTCAATTAGTGTTATGGTTTGAATATTGAAATAAAATATATTTTTTTATCAAAAATTTGCTAAATAGTTAGCTTGAGCTTACTTTAATATTGGAAACTTGAAACTGAAAATCATTTTCAGTTTTCAACTGATTTAAAAATTTCTGAATGTCACGGAAAGCCATTATCCATGGTCGATTTTTTGAGATTGCATTATTATGGTCGAGGAATTAAGATTCACATTTTAAAATGCGTTATGTACTTATGCAGAAATGTGCTTAATTATAATTCCTCGGTCATATTTACAGAAGTATTGTTTGTTTGAAACCTTTAGGCTAAAAAGCCAGTCACCCCTTAAAGTTAAAATATATTCGGTTTTTCGGGTTCGGGTTTCGGATTTGATCCGCCAGTTCGGGTTCGGATCCTTGCAAACGGGTTTCGGGTTCTTCGGGTTCGGGTTGCCCTCAAGTTTCGGATCAGTAGTATCGGGTTCGGGTCTCGGATTTGCAAGAACCCGACCCGTGAGAAACACTAATACCCATCTTCGAACTCGGTCGTTGCCCAGATGCATGTCTGTATCAAATTTGGTAAAAATCAGCCTACTCCTTCGAGAGTTATGGAAAGACAGACAGACGGACAGGTCGATTACATAAGCCCTAGTTCGGGCTAAAAATTATATGCCAATCGTTCATTAGAGTCTGGCTTTTATGTAATAATGCCGTCTTAAAAGGCCCCGCGAAGTTGCTTGGAGTAGGTTTTTAAACCAGTTTTGTAAACTGATAACTATTAACACGTGAATAAAGGTTTAAATCAAATCAAATCAAACAGTAGTTTTTGGGTTCCCATTTACCTATAGTTACATAATTACAGAACTGAAATATTTATGTAGAAGATCCAATGGGAGATAAGCCAATGGGGATATTACATATTACATATTATTATTTATTTCGAAGTTACATCCGCGGAGTGTATCCCTTGCAAGTGGTCATGTTGAAAGAAACGGTTGAAAACTCCCCATTGACCTTCTTGGCCTCACAGGCTTTCGTCATGTTACTCATGCAGTCCTTCTCGTCGTTGATTCTCTTGACGATATCCTCGCACATCCAGAGCAGGTTCCCCTCCTCTCTCCTCGTCTGCACCACCTTGTCCGACGTAACCTGCCGTGAGTGAAAAAGAACAGTGAGATGTGGACCAAGTAATAAAACTTTTCTCTCATCTTCAAAATGAATTATCTACTCGAGACATGTCAGAGAACAGTAATGTGTTGGAACTACTAGCTTACTTACGGCGTGTATGGCGAGGGCGCTGGGAAAGAAGTCGAACAGGGCTTGCTCCCATAGAGGCACCAGTCGCACTGGGTATCGCTGGTAAATGCTCTTGCGACACTGCCCAAAGTCGGTCGAACTGTTTCCGTACCTCACGAGGATTAAGCTCCTTTGGTTGACCGGACTCTTGAATTGTAGCAACTTGATCAGTTCCAGGCTGTAGCCCAACTTTTTTTCCTGCATTTCAGTCGGACTCATCCGCTGGCTCTCCATGTCCACAACTTCCTGTGAAGTATTCACCATGCTGATGGCCAAGAAACAGTGCATACTTCTTTTGTCTATCGCTTTTTTGATGGTATCATTTGTGGTTCTTTGCACTTGGTCCAAAATGTCCGTGCTCGCAAAAGACGAGTCGAAATCAATTTTGACGAAAATATACTTGCTCTCTGTAATATTCCCGTCGAGCACATACCTCTCGGCTGCTGTGTTGTATAAAATAATCCTGGTGCACTCTCGTTTGTCCACTTTCTCCAAGGATATTGCCTTTTCGATGGCTTTCCAAAGAGGTATTGGCTCAATTGTGTGAACTTGTAGGAGCAAATAATTGCTTAGAAGGAGGAGGTGGAGAGACATTCGCACGTGGCATGTCATCGAACTAAAGGAATGGTGATGAATCGAGTTGGAAATGCTTTTATCGAGAAAGAAAATACGACGTGCTTAATGTGATGAAATGAAATGATGGACACATCAATGCTCGTAGTAATTCAATAATGAACAAAAGAGGCCAACTCAGTTTTCCACAATCAGATAGTCACGGTCTCGAGAGTACATACGAGTAAGAATTACTAGAAATTTGTGAGTTTAGCAGATTGTGATGTGTTCTTTGTGGAGAACGGAATTTCGCAGGACTACTTATGTACGGCTGGTGAAAGGAGAACGATGACTACCAAATTTGCAAAATGTTCAATTGTCTGTTGTGTCTCGGTCAAAAGAAGGTGCGTACATATGTACGTATGTATGAACATAGATACATACGTAGAAATGTCCACCGTGACAGTTTTTTAGGGCAGGAGACGCCATTTATATTTCCAAAGCCAAACAGAATACATACAACTTGAGGTTTTGATATGGTTGGCTTGTGGGTTACGACAGAGCATGATTACTTGACATACAGCAGGAGGAGACCTTTAAGTTAAACACCGCCAATTTAATAGCTGAAAACCTGGTGGCCACACGTATAAATGGAATGAATTCAGCCAATGCATAGCTTTCTCGCATGAAATCCATTTCATACCTGTCGGAGTTATAGGGAAGGGTGAAAGGAGAAGGAAGCGACTAAAACACACTTAGCCTCTCTTTCCATGCTCCTGTCCAGTAATAATTAATTCATAATGATGGGACAATATGACAACCCTGGTGCAAACAGTTATGCGATGATGCATGGTGGTAGCATTATTGGATGCATAACCTTGTTTCTCGTCGCTCAGTTTTATCGAAAGAATAGTAGTAAAAATCAATAGGATATATATTTCCTTCTATGTAGATTGTGCCTGTTGTATGTACTCGACTCTCCCTATTTCGCAATGTGGTCCTATACACATGAGCTTATATTTTATGATATTTAGGACAAATAATATTTTATTCTTGTGTACATCGTTTTTTGTTATAATAATTTCTGAAAACTTTACAAACCGAATAACACAGAGAAATTCAACTTTTAATCCAACACTCTACGAAACTTCGAGGTTTAAAAACATTTTGGAACCTGATGTGCCAATAAACTTTTCTTCATGTCCACGAAGGGAAAGCACTTCGGTGGGGAGGATAGGCCCGGTTTTCTCTTTCCCAACAGGAGCAGCCAGCCAATTGGAACTGTTACACTGCTTACAAGCTGCGGAAATAATATAAAATGACACATATATAAATTTATGTTTAGTACAAAACTAGTTACATATACATGTATGTTGCTTAACTTACGATGTTTTGGTAATCTGTCCAATGACATGGTACGATTCCCACAATCTTTGCATTTAAAGAATCGTTTGGTAGCCTTTACAACACGGATTTGATGATGTTGTTCTTTACAGTACTCCGACTGTCCAAGTGCCACATATTTGCATTGTTTGCACATCACAGCATTCGTGGCGATAGAAAAAGTATTGAGCAGTTTATTTTCAATTGCTTCTTTCTTCACCAATTTGTCAAAATACTCTGCTTGAACTAAATCAGTCGTATGCTCATCATAAACGGATTTGGCATTCAAAATATTCTTGAACTCATCCGATTCAAAATCAAATTCAACTTCCAAGCCGCCTCTTGAGGAAGATCCCGAAGCTGAAGTTTTTGAGCTTGAGGAACCACCACTACCGCTTGCACTGATGGATGAAGAGTTGTCATTTATCTTTAAGCCACTTGGGAGGGATTTTCTTTTCTGAATGCCCCCATTTGGGTCCTTCCTTTGAATAGGTCCCTTCGATTTGACGAGATCCAATGCTTTCTTCATGTTTCTCAATGTTTCCCTCGTCATTGAAATTGGCTCGGCTTCCTTTCGTCTAGTGTCATGAAGGTTGTACTCTGAAGTTTTCTGACCATTTTTATCCTTTCCCACTGTTAAATACTTCATGAAATTCAGCGATCCTGATGTTGGATTAGAGACAATTCTGGATGCAATTTCAGCACTACACGGTTTCACAGATTGCTGTTTTTGTAATTTCTTATCTTTTTTGGACGTCTGTTGACTTGTCGAATCATCACCATCATCATCATTGTTTTCAGCTAATTCCGCAGACTTGGATGGACTGCCAAGAGCGGATAGTATGAGCCGATCTTTCTCAGTCAAATGTCGGGTTTTAAAAGGGTCTAAATTTAGGGCTGGTTTAGGTACAGGGTTCACTATAGAAGGAAGCTTTGCCAAAAGTTGATTATTTTCTTTCTTAAAGGACACGCTCGTAGCATTTCCGATGCTCAGAGAGTTTCTTTTAACCTCGCTGCAAACGCTGGAGCCTTGTAATTCCATCCTGGTCAAACCCTTACCCGGAAGATTTATTGGCACTTTGGGTGCGGAAGTAAAAGACGAGGATTGTTTCGAAAGTCCAGTTACCGGTTTTCCAAAGTTAACAGTACGAACTCCTTCTCCATGTAGGTTGAGCGGAGGATGATCAAATGCAGTGCCCTGAGCAAATGAAACGCCAGGTTTTCGTTCTCGTTTTTTACTACTTGCACCAGACTTCATTTTTTTCAGTTCCGAGGTAGCGTGATGAATGCATGTACAGCACTCCCAAGTATTCACGACAGCAGTGCAATCTTTCCCATCCTTTCTTTTGGATTGACAAAAGCCAAAATCTTTTGCAGAGCCCACAAGTCGAACTTGGTTAGAATTGTTGATGGAAAACTTGATCGGTCCTCCTTTGTTGGAATCCATAACTGATGGTGTGGTGATGTCAATAAGGGAACCGACTCGTATATCAGCTAACGATGGGGCAGACACTGCAGAAGAAAATAGAAAGAGAGTCCATGACTTGTCCAGTTGTTTGAGATCGTTTACTTCCCAAAGTGAATATTCGTTGCCTTTCGCACTCTTCCTAACGCCGGGCTGTTTGCGGACAAGAACTCCACTTGTCCAAAAATTCTTTGTTTCTGCACCCTTGGTTCGATACCAGAAGGTAAAGTTGAGCAGACTGACATACTGAAGGCCAAAATTCCTTTCTCTCAAAACAGATTCTTGGGTCATCCCTTCCTCAAGGTATAGAGAGATTGAAGTTTTAAACAGTCGAATTCGACTAAAGTGATCGATAATTAATTGGGACGTGTCAAACTCTCCAACACTGCTGGAGGCAGTCTTGATTGTAAGGGGTTTAACCGGTCTCGACCCCAGTTGGGCGACGACGCTATTGGCACAGGATTCCACTTTCGTCCTGTCATTTCCAGACTCTTCATCCTCACTCTTTCGTGCTTTTTTCTTCTCTGGGCTACCAAACAGGTCTTCATAAGTCAATTCTTGTAATGGTTTTTTGAATGGAGTCGTAACCAGAGTTGAAGAAGAAGGAGCCGATGATGACCCAGACGATTGAGTCTTGTCATTTTCATCTGCGTCGTTTTCTAGCAAGTCTAAGAAATCGTCCAAGTTATCATTTTCGAATGACGACATTTTTTGAGATGAAAGTCACAATCACAATGCTATGAAGTCAGCCTAAATGGAAGAATTAGGTTAATTTGAAATCTGCTCTACATGAAAGAAAACCAGGATTGTACTGTTGCCTTCTTCCTTACCAGACTACACGAGGATGAGTTCTTTCTACCGATGAATTAGGACTTTTCCACTGAATTGCACTGGTCACGAACTGTTACTGGCAAAAATAGTCAAAATAATGAGGCGAACTACAAGTTGTAGTCTACATTGTAGACTCTACAACTTCTGACAAAGTAGAAACTATTAGAAAACGTCGCTAATTATAATTATAATCATTCCTTACCTTCCAAGCAGTAAGCTTAACTTCAAGGCGATTTAGCCTTCTCTCGGAGGAGATGCATAAGTGACCGTGGCGTAAGTGCAAGAAAGTTGAAGAACGCAGAATAATGTTCATGTCCCTCCTTCTTGGATCACTTCCCGGCTCTCAGCGTCTCAAAAATGCCTCAATAAATAACATTGAGGCTGCTTGATTTTCCAACACGTGTTCTCTCCTTATTCAATCTCCTTTTGATGTAATTTTGGTAAATCCTAGTTCCAATTTCATACTCATTTTTTAAAGACTCAAGCTAAACCCCATTCGGCCAAGTGAAGAAGTGGTAAAGTACTTTAACATTCCTCCTTTTAATTCTGTAGCGTAGAAAATTAATCTTGTATTGTTTTATTTCTTGCGTGTGCTTAATTTATGAATAGCTTTGATTAATTCTCTTTTCTAAACTTCCATGTTGAATTTATGTTTCAGAAATTGGCTAGATCAGATGGGTAAAATCAAAGCAAAGAAGCCCAAGGGAGTTGCTGGTGGGGCCCATTTTAAGCAGTCGATGAGACTGGAACACGCAAAATTTGGACAACATTTGCTCAAAAATCCCCTTATTGTGGATGGAATGGTGGATAGGGCAGCTGTTCGAAGCACAGATACAGTTCTCGAGGTATAAAATAATTATTGAAATTATAGATTGAATATTTAAGACTTTTTGATTTGATGTGAGTTGGAAATATTCTACAGGTTGGTCCTGGTACAGGAAACTTAACCATGAAGCTTCTCCCCAAGGCGAAAAAAGTTATTGCTTTTGAAATTGACCAACGGATGGTCGCCGAAGTCATAAAGCGATCGCGAAACGCTGGGATGGAGAAAAAGCTGGAAGTCATTGTTGGAGATATTTGTAAAACTGGAGATCTACCTCAGTTTGACATTTGTGTCGCTAATATCCCATATCAGATCAGTTCCCCGTTGGTTTTCAAGTTATTGCTGCACCGGTAATACATTTATCTTTATTGATTGGAAGCCTAGCTAACATATATTACATGGATTATAATGTAACTACAATTTGGAACGCCTTCACAAATTATAAATTAATACATGTTCTCTCTTTTACAGACCCGCTTTTAGATGTGCTGTATTAATGGTCCAACGCGAATTCGCCCAGAGGCTAGTTGCTCAGCCAGGTGATAAGCTGTATTGCCGTCTAACTATAAATACCCAACTTTTATCCCGAGTGGAACATCTCATTAAGGTACTAGCATGATCTGACTCGAATACTTCCGGTTGAAGATTTATAATTAATTGCATGTTAATCTTTAGGTTGGGAAGAACAATTTTCGCCCACCACCCAAGGTGGATTCTTCCGTCATTCGCATAGAGCCTCGAATGCCACCTCCCCCAATCAACTTCCAAGAATGGGACGCGTTGACTAGAATAGCATTCTCCAGAAAGAATAAAACTCTCCTTGCCAATTTCAAAACTACGTCCGTCGTGTCCAGCCTGGCAAAAAATTATGCAGCCGCAAATATGATGCCAAATTCTAATGCCGCTGTTCCATTATTATCCAGTACGACAAGTAGTAAATCGACTGCACAGCCTCCAAAAGACTATCAAGAACTGGAGAGGCTAGTTATGGAGAAGGTCGAACGAGTTCTTGGCAATGGATTTGTAGATAAGCGAGCTAGAATGCTAGACGTCGATGATTTTATAAAATTGTTGGTAGAGTTTAATAAAGAGGGCATTCACTTTGCCTGATTGTACATTTCATACATAGTAATTATTTTAATATGCAATCAATTAAAATATTTAAATCAGTACAGAGTTATAGTAATAGGTAAATTGCAGATCGATCGCATACTGAGATGAGATATGGATGAGATTCAGATTATTCGCATTTTCATGTCATGGGAGAAGTTGGGAATGTTATGCTCTTGATGGCTTGTTGACAGCGGGTGTTCAATTCACATGATGTCATTTTTAACTTCAAACTTGAAGTGTACAGTCAGTGGGATTTCTAATAATTTCTACTATTTACAATGTGTAACATTTTGTTTAAGTCGATTCAGCGGTAGAGTAAGTCGCGTCACCTGCTCGATATTGGGAGTCGAGGAGCAATAGGTTTCAATTAGTTTTAAATATCGTATTAGTTATTTAGATTCAATATTTTTGTAACTCTTCCCTTCAATAGTTTATTTTCTATAATGGACATTACTGTTGAAATATTAGCCACATCTGTGCCCGTATCAAGGGAAAATTTACGATATAAAGTCAAGACATGGTGGGCTCATGTGGACGTTGAGGACAACGAAACTATAGTCAAACTTCCCAGCCTTCCAATGATTCAGACGTTTTACGACATCAACGACCGTGAAACGACAGTCTTTGTGGAAATGTGGTATTCCAATTCTGACATGTTTCCAGTGGGGGCGATGAGGTTTCTTGGGTTGGTGAAGCAGCGAGTGGATAACCAATTGAGGAAGCCAGCATGGAATCCAACTGTTGAGGTTAGTAGGATTTAATTAACGCAATGACTTAATTGTAATGTGCAGGTACAATTCATATGTACTAAGTCTACCTCTGTTTAATGTAGTGGCTGGAGGTGTATGATCCAATTGAAGACATTGTTCGTGGTCGACTCTTGTTAAAAATTGATGCAAAATTTGTTCCGTCGTCAGAAATGCCACACCAATCTCTACATCCATGCATCAATCCGGACTCCCGACTGAATTCATCATATTTTAATAACTCTCAATGCGAATCGACCGTTATTTCTCATAAGGGAAACCATGAACAAATACATCATAATACTAATAATGTTGAGTCGTCAAGAACCAGTGTTGCCTCTATAAATTCGCCAATAACTACTTGTGAAAAGATTCCAGATCAACAGAGCCACGAAGATAATGACCATCTACAAGCGTATCAGGTTCACAACAAAAACCCAAATTTCCAGAAAGATATAGACTTAGATTTAGAATATGTAAAAGCACAGTTAAATTTAGCTGTCAAAGATCGTGAGCGTAACAGGAAATTGTTGGAGGAACAGGGAGAGCAACCAAAAGGGTTAGCTAGTGGTAGAAAGTCGAACAAAAATCTGCCAGAATTCGGAGACTTAAGTCCAGTTCAAACTTCGACATCGTCAAGACGCTGTTACTACAAACCAAAAAATCCTGTATCCATTATTCAACAAGAAGATAGTTATGAGGCGGATGACTCTGAAGTTGATGATGTAATCCACCTTTTAAACCAGCAAATTAAGCCCATAAATCAGAATGTTGCCAGTAGTATGCAAAACTCGGAAATCGACATTAGGACAGAACGCTTGATTAATAATATGCAGAAGCTTGAAAATCTTCAACATGAAATGAAGCATCTGGGGTCTCAGAAACCCTTTATTTCTGGTGCTGAAAGGGGTTCTACAATTGAGACCAAGAAAAATAGCCACATTATTAGTCCTCCAAAAAGACCAGAAGGCGGTGGTGGTGGTGCTGATAGCAGCATAGTAAATTCAAATCCGACCATTGCACATCAAATATATAACGACGATATGACCATTTACGGATGTGGTTTGCACGTGCAGCCGAAATCTGGAAATCCCATAAAAAAAGGACCCCCTGTCCCAAAAACCTCTTTGCTTTATAAATCCGTTCATGTGAATCAAGCCCAGTCTACAAGTAATGCAGGACATAATTCAAATCCCATTTCTGCAAGCGTGCATAATTCTGCAGGGGGTGATAAGAATCTCTCTAATCTACAGCTTCCACCAATAAGTCGTAAATGTGCTGCAAAATTTGACCAAGTCCAGTCAATTCCAAATCGATAAGTTGTCTGCTTTAAATGCGAATGTTTGAATTATGACATACATATTTTGAGGTATGTGATAATGTAGGAATCAAGTTTAAAATGTCCAAAATGCGCCTATATTTTTTAAGAAATACTTTGTGATGAACTAGTAACTTTAATTTTAATCATATCATGAAACGGAATTGTAGTGTACCCATATTTTTTAATTTGTACGGAATAACTTGTGCAGAATAAGTAAAATATGCCGATGAGCATAACTTACTATTTTAAGACGATTAATATTAGTGCTACTTTAAAGTTAGATTTTTACATGATTTTTACTTACGCTTTCCATCCTTCTCTTTGCCCAAATGCATACGACTACGACATCAACTTGGCACGAAAATGAAAGTATTCTTTTTGCAGTTCAATCTGAGGCGAGTGAGATAATATTAGGACATGACATTCATGAATGAAATGTGCGTTGCAAAACTGTGTGAATACTTAAATACTAATACTTATTGCAAAAACAACAACAGATTGCTAACAGTTAAACTTTAAACAACAGAATGTAACGAAGTTTTGTTTATTATTTTGCCATTGAGTTCGACTGAAGATGAATACAAAACTAATTTAGGTCTTAGTTGGTTGCACTGTATGCAATTATTCAAAGCAAAGGAAATTTGAGAAGCTATAAAATTATTAAAAGTATCCAAATTAATCTAAATCAATACAACATCAATTCACATGAGGATAAGGCATATTTAATAGGTGAAATCAGTTAAGTTAAATTAATTTTGACAAAAAGTACGTATAATTGACCCATGCTTTGGCATCTAATTTGGTTTTATAGATTGTGGTATTGCGGTATTTTCCTGGCCAGCATTCTTTCACGGTCAATTACGTCACGCCAAGATAGATTTGGATTATTTCAATGAAAAATGAGCTCCTACTCTGCTTTTCGCCTGTTTTTCCGTTTAGAGAAGCCTGGTCGACTCCTCTCGTATGGAAATGTCGGGATAACATGTACTACACCATTCCTAGAACGCCAGCACCAAGTTCTTATAGCGAAAAAAAATGAATTGCTTCGAAAAAGTATGTTGGGCGTGTTGACGGATGGCGGCAATCGCTTCAAGCTCCCAGCTATCAGGTAACCCGGTGACCACTACGACTACAATCAGCCTTGAAAAACTGGTGAATAAAATTTTATCATTGCGTTTAAAATTTAGACGACACTACTCAACTGCTGTGTCGACTGGTGACATCGTCAAGTCAGACTCGGCTAGGCTAGCCCCAAAAAAGAAATCAAAAACTGCCGAATCTCCAAAGATCATGTTGGTATCGGAGACGAAACACATATCCGTCGTCACTTTGGAGGAAGCTCAGAAAATTGCAGAAAGGAAAACTCTGCACCTAGTCGCAGGAGACAGCAAATTATCAAAAGACAAACCTGTTTATAAGCTTGTCACAAATGCAGAATTTTTGGCATCAGATTCGGATAGTTCTAGAGGTATTTATTTTAAAATAAGATTTGTATGGTGCAAATACTTATCTATAAAATTGTGACATGAACCCGTTATAATGAAACAAAAAATTGAAGAATTGAGGCAGGAGAAGGATGACAAGAAGAAAGAGAAAGAATCAAAAACGGTCATATTGAGGAGTAAAATTGCAGAGAACGATATACTATCGAAAGTTAAACAAATGATTAAGTGGATAGAAAAAGGACATTCTGTTCGCTTGATGATTGGTCAATCTGGAGAAAAGGGAGATGCTGTAAGAAAATATGAAGCTAAAACTGTTACTATTGTTTTTTTTAGTTATTATGACTGGTACTGGTAATAAATACCTCTGGTTTTGGGTCTGGATTTCAGGACCATGTTTATAAAGTGATAGAACAAAATATGAAAGAAAGCGGAGCACGATTTCTGCAGAAAGTAGTGAAAGGTGACCAAATTCGCTGCCAACTGATGCCACCAAAAGAACCTAAGAAGCCTGTGACAACGATTGATGAAAACGAGTAGTAGTAGCATAACAAGTATATATCAATAATAATCAAATCACATATATATATTATTATTAATCATGGTGTCTTCTCCAATGAATATATGTAGTTATAGAGGAATTAGTACGAGTAATATATTAAACTTCATTTTTTTGAAGTTTTCTACTTATACGTTTTGACTTTATTCCTGAAGCTGCCAATAAATTAAGACTTATGGAAATAAAGCTATTATCACAATATGTCACAAGCATTTTGCATCATTTATGACTTAGAATGAGCTTACCTCTACTGTTCAACCCCTGGTTTTGATGTAGCGCCCTATAAGTCTAATAAAACCCTAAAGTGGTTTCATTTCATGACCACATTTGCTGCACCCACCCAAAGGGGAAATTTTCAATATCCGAGCAAAATTGGGTCTTTGGCGAGACTGTTAAGATGGTGATTTTTGTGGTTTTGGCTACTTTGATGGGTGCAGCAGGCACAAGTGGGGCTATATTATAAAACCACTTGAGGGTACTACAACTTATCCAAAGGACATCAAAATCTGGGGGTGAACCGTAAAGGTCCCCTACTCTCCTCCTTATCTGAGCTTGAGCATAGTCAATTCCTATTCTCAAAAGTTAAATATAAGTATAATTGATCCAAAAATAGATTTCTACAAGTCTACGTATAGCCTTCGTTTGCATGCAGGCAAGTAGGAAAATCTCTTTTCTTCTTGGTGGCGTGATCTCTGTCAATTGTCATTTCATGGACATCCATCCTATGTTTATACCATAATCTTAGGTTCTGAGACAGTGTAACTTTATGAACTGATATTGGCATAATATTGAGACTAGTCTTTCAAAGATTTATTTACAACACATCACGCATCTCAGTCAGTTAAGCTGCCACATTTTTAGTTATGGTAAGTATGCTTAATTATGGTACATGCAATTGTTTAATGTCTATAATTCTTGTGATTCACATTTATTATAATTTTATCGAAAAGGCAGGAATTCTGCTGAATTTAGTTACCAATTTTGAATGAAGTTTTGTATTTAAGAAATGTACGTGTGAAAGTCAAACTGCAAGTCAGAATTTAATACCAGACCTATTAATACTCTCCTTACAATTCGTTCTCGTTTACTGTATGTGTAATTATGGCAAAATTGAGACAATAACACAGTGCATGCATGTGAATAATGTCTCACATTCACATATTTGTATGATATGGTGTGCAGAAAGGTGTGCAAATATGTGTAGCCCATCCAGCTGGAGTCTCAATTCCAGAGTGCAATTGCATATTGCATTACGAAAGGATCCTTTAATATAGTCTGAGGTCCGACCTAATAAGTCAATAAATGTATTTATAAATCTAGTCGTCTCTGCCACCTATCACTTGAGATAAATTGATCACATCATAATCCTAGAAACATTACTCGGCTCTTTACGGAGATTATTTACGCGATACTAATATTATTATTAGTACGTAAAGGTATTTAGTCAAGTAAGTAAATCCTATAACTGACAGTTTTAAAATATATTTCAGGGTAAAATAATACGAATCTGAAAGGTTACATCATAAATATTTCCCTATCAAGGATTTCCAGAAGAGCTGATTTCCAAATCCGAACTACTAGTTAATTTTTTAAGTGTGCCAAGCTTTCACCCAGAATTATCTCCAATGTTCAACACGAGCTACAAACTGCTTCATGTCCGAATTCTTTTCAAAGATGCGAGTCGAAGTTATGGGACTTCTTCAGGGGTGAGTATTAAATTATCGAAATTGCAAAATAATATGCAAATACTTGCTTAAGCATTGCTATTTTTGGTGAAACAAATTACTATATATTAACAAACAACGACATGTCCAGCTTATGTTTTTGTCATCATCAAATTCTCAAAGCAAAATGACCAATAATCAAGTACGAATTATATTGACACATATAATCGATAATTTAAGTATTGCACCACAAATATCTTATCTGGATGTACTTACGAATTTGCATGCAAAAGAGTAATATTAACGATTTTAAGGGTAGTTTAGTTTATAGTTGTGGGGCAATGTATGTAGTTAGTAAAAAGTGTACAACATTAGCAATTACATTTATTGGCCACAAATTGTGGCACTAAAGAAAACACAATAGAAATTTATTCCGGAGTTTGTGTTAGTGCATTTTATATCTTGTACGTACTTGGACAAGGCAAGGCATTATCGAGTTTCTGGTTTCAACATTCAAAATATGTAAGATTTATACTTTCCTTTCGTCATTTCAGATTTCAGTACCTACATTGACAAACTATAAACCTGTTGAGAAGTTAATGTTTATAAAGCATTTAGCATTGGTTTGATTGCACATATGCATGTAACAGTAATCAGTATGTATGCAGATAGATATTTATTTATTGCTGAATATTAGATCAATGAACAGTCAATTTCACGACACATGCACGTGCTACATTATGAATCACTGTGTATTTCGCCTACCTAATTGTGTGAACATGTAAAGTGTCTTTTTAGCTATTTTGCTATATAGATAGACATAACATTATATTATACTTCGGCGTTGAAGTTTAGCTAATGATACTAACTAACTAATATGTGCACATTAGTGCACAAACCTCGAAAAATTATCTCCTTGTTCCCTATTCGTATGAAAACAAAGGCAGCAGTAGCAGTGCGCTACTTGATTATCTACGAGACGACCTATCTTAATAATATCAATACCATAACGTTTATTTCGTTAAAAAAGTCCCCTTCACCAACTCTAACCTGTAAGCCGACGTATGATAATTATCACTTCGTGTTATGCAACCTATAAAAGAGGATTCTACAGGTCTAGATTTTTCCAATTTAAACTATTGTCAGTCAAGTAAATAATTTTAACTTTCCGCATTACTTCCAATTAGTTGTAGGTCAAGGTCATGTAGTACTATTTATCGTCATACTGACATGATTAATCACAGGCACGCTATGAACAGGCGGTCAGGTGATTGAATTATCAGTCTTTAAAAAGTTGAAGCTCTTTTTTCCACTACTCAGGATTGGTTGAGTTCAATTTAATATCGTGTGATAAGTTACATACGTCATTTCTTGATACTGTCGTCGTAACTAAATCTTTGCATGAAAACAGAGAACAAACATGTTTGGTGGTCTATGTTTTTATGTCAACTAGTTGTTTAGGAGCAGGCCATAACTAACAAGCAGATGATTCGACACTTTATAGAATTTAAATTTACAAACTGTACATTTCAGACTGAAACGTCTCTTGAGTAGTTTATTTTCAGAACTGAAACTCAGTGCGACATTTAATCATAGCATTTCCTTGTATAATAAGTTTTGTGCTTTTTTCTGTTGGTCGTGTGTATTTTTGTGCTGTGCTCGCATTCAAGGGAGGCAATAATTTTTAACGCCACGGTTATGGTTCGCGTTTGCTGTAATGAACAAAGGGCTGAATGGGATGTCAAAATATGGGAAAAGGTGCAGCTGCCCTCATTCCGACTCGGACACAAGCCGTCCTACCCCAAGAAAGTCCGCATAGTGGAAGTCGGTCCTCGGGATGGGCTACAGAACGAGAAGGTCCTCGTCCCTGCCGCCGACAAGGTCGAGTTCATCAACAGACTCTCCCAGACCGGTCTCCAAACGATCGAAGTTACCAGGTGAGGACAGAACTCAAACCTCGCATAGTCGCTTCAAGAACAATTTTATCACGGATTACACTGATCTGTTGTTCTTGCAATGTTTTAGCTTCGTCTCACCAAAGTGGGTTCCACAAATGGGAGACCACAACGAAGTTTTCACTGGAATTGAAAAGAAAACTGGAGTGAGTTATCCGGTCTTGGTTCCTAACGTGAAAGGCCTTCATTCCGCGGTACGTGTAAGATAATAAATACGTCATTATCATTATTGGTAATCTCGAACCGAGTTTCATTATTTAAACTAAAACCATACAGTTAGAGTTGGAATATAAATCCATTTTAATTGTTTTCAGTTAAAAGTTGGAGCAAAAGAAGTTGCAATTTTTGGGGCTGCATCAGAGACTTTTAGCAAGAAGAATATTAACTGCACTATTTCAGAGTCATTACAACGTTTTAGTGAGGTAAATTATCTCATCCGTTCCTTTAAAATTGTCTATGCATGAATAGTTTTATGTGGCAGCGGCAGCATTGTTATATTAGATGTCTTCATAGGTTGTAAATGAGGCTAAGAAGGAAAATCTAAAGGTTCGAGGCTATGTTTCCTGTGTATGTGGATGTCCTTATGAAGGTGCAATCGCGCCTAACGCTGTTGCTAAATTGGCCAAAGAAATGTACGACATGGGCTGCTATGAAATATCGCTGGGCGACACAATTGGGGTGGGAACTCCAGGAACAATGCGGGCCGTTTTGGAAGAAGTACTAAAAGTTTTACCTGTGGAAGTCGTGGCCGTCCACTGCCATGACACATATGGACAAGCACTGGTCAATATCATTACTGCATTAGAGGTAATAAGTGGCTGATTTCGTAAATTAACTTTGTGGGCAAAAGTCATTCCATAAATTAGTGAGTATTAGTGGCTAACAAATATGTCAAATATATTATTCTCGTATAGATGGGTGTTAGCGTGGTGGACTCGTCCGTCGCAGGTCTCGGGGGGTGTCCTTATGCCAAGGGTGCAAGTGGAAACGTAGCCACTGAGGATGTTGTTTACATGCTGCAAGGGATGCAGATCGACACGGGCGTTGACTTTCAGAAGTTACTATCCGCGTCCGAATTCATATGCACAGTGCTAAACAGACCAACAAATTCCAAAGCAGGGCTGGCCCTAGCTGGAAGGAAAGGTTAACAAACTTCAATGTCTAACCAAAAATGAATTGACTTTGATTAAGAATTTCTACACTGCGCTAAGAATACCATGACCGAGGATCTGATCTGATTTTCATCTGATTTTACTGAATAGTGTATAACGAGATGGTACATTGGTACAATTACAATCTCAATTACCACCAAAGTTTTATGTGCGGAAGTAAAATCGTATTTATTCGTACAAATAATTTAGATTGTGATATAACATTACTATTATTTCTTATTTCACAAGAAATGATATTATTCATGAACGTCAAGTTTGTACATCTTGGAAGTTTGGAACTGATTTCCAATAAGTAATTCAATTCGAATAATGTTTGTACTTTTCTTCATTCACGACTTTGCATAAATCTTCTGTCAAGAAAAGCAACAAGTTTTATTTTCGATGACGTATGATCAAATTAATATCAAGGTACTTATTTTATTTTTATGTAGTCGTGTGATAACTGATGACATATTTATAAAATTTTGACGAATGTCTATGATTTCCAGCACAGTGAAATCATGAAGGAAATAAAACATGTATTAAGTTGATCTAAACATTTGCCAAGTTTGGGCACAATACACTACATAGTAAATCGGAAAAAAACTCCACCAATTAAAAATATGGATTCATATTTGTCTAATTGTATATCTTTTCATGATATTTAACGCCATTTCAGATTTCTGTACACCTAATGATATTGGGCGAAAGGAATTAGTATGATTTATGACATATTAAGATGTTAGCTCGTACAAATGTTAGTACTTCCATAGTAGTACCTGAAATGCATATGCAATTTTTAAGGAAAGCATGCAGTATATTTTTGAACAGATTTATCATCTACTCAGTAAATAGTCAGAAATCGTCATCTACCTTCTACTTAATACTTGCAAGCATTTTCTGTCCAATTTCTCCTAAATCGTTAATTTGGTCGGACATTACAAATTACATTACTGCTTTGATGAAGTGGAGCTTTCTCCGCTTTCTCCTTTGTGCATAGTTGGAGGCAACGTGAGACTCCAACTCCTTGTGAGAGTGAGTCTCAGATCTCCCCGTCCAGTTGTGGAGAGCTTGAACCAGAAGCACATTGCACACCACCGGCCATATTGCCATCCTCCACTCCTATTAGACTGCGAGTGTCAGAGAGTGAACGTCGTGTTCCCAATTTTCTTCGAAATTTAGACCTTTTTCTAAACCCACAAAACTTCGTGCTTGTTCTCTTCGGAGCTAAGGCCTTTGGCAACTTGCATCCCAACAAACCAAAAACAATCTACACCTCTTTTCGACCCCAGTCGTTGCATTTACTTCAACATAAAAAGTATTAAGATGGCTTCAAATGCTGAACTTGCTTGTGTCTACGCTGCACTCATCCTGTCTGATGATGACATCGCTATCACGGTAAATTTACGATATAAATATATTTTACTTTAGGGAAATATTACGAAGCGAGTACACTTAGAGCAAATATTAAATGGCTATTTTCCTTTATTCTTCCTGCAGGGGGAGAAGATTGCGACCATTCTAAAGGCGGCAGGTGTGGACGTGGAGCCGTACTGGCCAGGTCTGTTCGCCAAGGCGTTGGAGGGAGTGAAGGTCAAGGATCTCATCACCAACGTAGGGTCCGGTGTGGGTGCTGCACCCGCCGCAGCCGCAGCTGCGCCAGCGGCAGCCGCCGCCGGAGGTGGCGACAAAGGGGGCAAGAAAAAGGAGGAGAAGAAGGAAGAGTCCGAAGAGGAGGATGACGACATGGGCTTTGGTACGGCAACATACTTGTTACATTATCTTAGAATGCATACTGCAAACGTGGTACAATTTTATATATTTTCTTCACTTTTCAGGTCTGTTTGACTAATGTCCAAGTTTCTCATCGCTCGACAAAACAACTTCTGACAAGAAATCAAATGTGTTCCAGACTTGAATTTATACATTTTTATTTGTTAACTATATAAGCTCATGGTGTGGACATGTTTTGATTTAAATAAAATCCAGCTCAACGGATTATTTGATGTTTTCCTGTTTCTTATTTCTCAATATAGCCAGCTTAGCTGACTCAAAATTAATCATGTGCACCTAAACATTCATCGTTCATTTATCCCTTCAGTGGTATTGACTTTCTAGCTACAAACACAAGGCTTGGGTTCATGGTAGCTTAACTTAATCAATTTGATTTAATTCCCACGGCATATGTGATAAACTAGCAAATTAAGTTTTCTTTTAGAGCATTCCTCATGTAACAAATAAGTGCAACCTAAACCACCGCAAAACAAGAGAATCTACTTTTTTCTTTTCCCCTTCCAGAGAAAATATTCTTTTATTGGCCCATTAATATCCAATCTGTAACATTGAATTGCTGTATTAACAAATGAAAAAGATGATAAAAACAACAATAGCTATTTCTTCTTGATGGCCTTTTCTGCGGCTTTTGTGGTTTTTCCGGTAGCTTCCTTGAAGTTGACAGACTTGATGACACCCACGGCGACGGTTTGTCTCATGTCTCGAACGGCGAAACGCCCCAAGGGAGGGAAGTCGGTGAAAGCCTCAACGCACATGGGCTTAGTGGGGACGAGGGTCACGATGGCAGCGTCGCCAGACTTGATGGCCTGTAATAAAGAATCACAGAAGGTTAATTTTGTAAATTAATATAATTTGTGAATTTATGCGGACAATTAGATGAATACGATAAGAGGAATTAAAAGCTGTAATTCATAAAATACCTTGGGATTCTCTTCCGTGGTTTTTCCGGTACGACGGTCGCACTTTTCCTTGATTTCCTGGAATTTGCAGGCGATGTGAGCGGTGTGACAGTCCAAAACGGGACAGTATCCGTTAGAGATTTGTCCAGGGTGGTTCAACACGATGACCTGGGCAGAGAAGTCGGCGGCCCCCTTGGGTGGGCTGACCTTGGAGTCTCCAGCAACGTACCCTCTTCGGATTTCCTTGACAGAGACGTTCTTAATGTTGAAACCAACATTGTCTCCGGGAACTGCTTCCGTCAGAGCTTCGTGGTGCATCTCCACGGACTTGACTTCAGTGGTCAGACCAACGGGGGCGAAAGTGACCACCATTCCGGGTTTGATGATTCCAGTCTCAACTCGGCCCACGGGCACAGTTCCAATACCTCCAATTTTGTACACGTCCTGGAGAGGAAGACGAAGGGGCTTATCGGTAGGTCTAGGTATTCATTAAAAAAATATCATGAGCACCATAAAAAAATATTATTATTGTAGATCGTCAGTCATCATTATCAGCATATTTAATTTTAATTTAAGTAGATATACTAAATTGTTTTTAAAAATTCATAAAAATAAGAAAAACATATTCACCTCGATGGGGGAAGGATAGCGTCGAGAGCTTCAATCAAGCACTTGCCGTCGGCGTTTCCTTCCTTGCGCTCAACCTTCCATCCCTTGAACCAGCCCATCTTGTCGGAAACCTCCAACATGTTGTCTCCGTTCCATCCGGAAATGGGGACGAAGGGTACGCCAGCTGGATTGTATCCAATCTTCTTAATGTAGCTGCTGACTTCCTTTTTGATTTCCTCGAAACGGGCCTCAGAGTATGGGGGCTCAGTGGAGTCCATCTTGTTGACTCCAACAATAAGCTGTTTAACGCCAAGGGTGTAAGCGAGAAGGGCGTGCTCACGAGTTTGTCCATTCTTGGAAATACCGGCTTCAAACTCTCCAGTTCCGGCAGCCACGATAAGCACAGCGCAATCGGCCTGTACAAATTAATACGGCCAAACTTAATTCGTGTAGCACATAATTGTAATATTTCAATGCAATGCATTGCCGCCATGTCCATACTACTCATTCATATTATTCACATTCAAGTTAGAAAGATTTTTTTTACATACCTGAGATGTTCCCGTGATCATGTTCTTAATGAAATCTCTGTGTCCGGGAGCGTCGATGATGGTGACGTAGAACTTTGCGGTCTCGAACTTCCAGAGGGCGATGTCGATGGTGATACCACGTTCTCGCTCAGCCTTAAGTTTGTCCAGCACCCAGGCGTATTTGAAGGATCCCTTTCCCATCTCCTGGGCCTCCTTCTCGAACTTTTCTATCGTTCTCTTATCGATACCTCCACATTTGTAGATCAAATGGCCCGTGGTGGTGGACTTGCCAGAGTCGACGTGGCCAATGACCACGATGTTAATGTGCACCTTTTCCTTTCCCATATTGTGGCGGATGACAAGAGGAGGAGGATGATAATCGAGTAACTAGCAGAACAGAAGAGCTGCAAAACCATGCACACACAAAAATAACAATTAGTTCAGAGTGAAATTGCATCAGCTTTTCACAGGCAATTTTGTGGAAGACCGAGAGAAAACCCCAACCCACCCACACACAATAAAACGTTTGCCGAAACGTTTTATATGCCCGACACTTGGAAACCCAAATATTTCCACAACCACCCCAAGCTCACCTCTACTCAAACTTCAAGCCACACCCCCAGTTGAGCAAATACAAGCGGAAACCCCCCACAAAAGTAGCCGGTAGAAAAAGAAAGTAAAATTTTGTAGAACTCACCTTGCCTGGTTGACAGCCGAACGAAGAAGAGCCGGATTGAGTACTGTGACTCAAGTCAGCTCGGTCTCCACTAAATTCCGTCCACCTCGAGGCTCAAACACAGTTCCTCGGCCTCGGGTGACTAGGGTCAGAGATGGCTTAAAATTCGGATGTTGCTCTCCTCCTCCCTTTCTCACCTTCCTCCAGCCAGTCCTCCCCTGGGGTGTGGTCCTGTGGGTGGTTCGCAATTTTATGCAGTCGGGTGCCTAAACTGGAGATATAGCAGATGGCCAATTGGGAGAGTCGACACTTGTTGGCGCAACGTGCACTCGTCCGCACTGCCACAGCAAACCAGCATGGCGACGCGGAGGGCCACACTCTCAGCCATCTCACCCCTCACTCATTCCGCAGCGAAACAAGGATCCCATAGGGAAATTCTTTGTCCTAACCTTTGTTCACTAAAACCTATCATTGGCTAATTTTTCATGAAACTTTCTGGTTATCAAATCGCTGTTAACTGAACCGTATTATAGCCAAGTTTTGTTTTTGTATGAATTTTACATTCTTCGATTTATGCCTTTTCACCAAATTGATGTAGTTTTAAGTACAACGAAATTAATTGTACTAATGTCTTGATACTTGGACAGCGCCAGTGGGTGCGGAAGCCGTGGGGACATCTTGGGACATTAACATTGTAGGATCGGCAAGGGAAGGGTTTGTATAACGTGTGGAAATGATGGGGGCATCGAATAACCGTGAGGACATTGTCCCCTGTCCTCTCACTTCCGCGGCCACTGGACAGTGTACCGGTAAGACTAGCAGGAGCTGCGGAACTGTCAGGACAATGGCCCCACAATCCCCGACTGGCAATCACGGATGAGCATTTACTTATCCGTCATATCATAATAAACATGCGTGGAGTGAAAGTTGAAAGTGAAATTCAACTATTTTCTAAGGGGAGCAATTAACAGGCGATATTGATAATGATGATGCTTGATGAGGCTAAACTTTAGTGTGCAACCAAGTATTATTGTTGCCGATTCTATGTCATGCACTTTGCAGAAAGATGTTGCTGTGTCTGATTTCCACAATTCCGATGATCCGATGATGATACGAGGACCAGCATCTACAAACATCTGAAAATTTAAGAAGCGAGTTTTATGTCAAACAAAGCAAAAGTCAAGTTAAAGTTTTAATCTTGCCAGTTGGGGATTAACAAAAACTAATGGTTTATTCATTAATGGTTATTTACGCACGTATTTCAATTATTTAGCGAACAATTTGATAACTTATAGACTACATCACTCTTCTACTCTACCAAATTCCCCGTCTGACTCCAGACATTTTGTTATAATCCGATAAGTGTCTGAAGAAGAATCGACTTATTCTCCAGTTACGAACAACTCCTGTTCCTCTCGACGAAATGGCACAACGTTCGTGAAGTGTTAAATAGGCAGCATGGATTGGCATCGCGTGAAAATCTTCCATCGCTAGTTCCTGGAAATTAATAGCAAATTTAATTTTAACAATTTCATAACTTTTGAGTTCTGACATAATACATTAACCGTTCAACAATCTTGAATCTCATACTACGTACTTGAATTTCTCTTGGTAAAATGACTTGGTTTTTCATGGCCTTTAACAACGTGTGCTCCAAACCCCACTCCACACATATTTGTCTGTTTCTGTAATTCTTTTTCATCCTCCAATCAGTCCATCCCTGTAATCCGCCGGGTTGAGGGTTCCACTCAATATCGTATTTCTTTGGGGGTTGCTTCGGTGGTTTTGGAATCACTGGTTTACTTTTCATGACAGCGTGAGATGCAAATCTGCACTGGACTAGTGGCCCTATTTTACCCAAATTAAAAGAACTAAACATTTCTATATTTGAAAATTTCAATACTTAAAATTACGTAACGAAGTTTGGTGTACAATGTTTTGTTTTTGCAAGTTTGAAGTAAGCGGAAAGTGATTTAGATCCTTGTTTCGCTGCGGAATGAGTGAGGGGTGAGATGGCTGAGAGTGTGGCCCTCCGCGTCGCCATGCTGGTTTGCTGTGGCAGTGCGGACGAGTGCACGTTGCGCCAACAAGTGTCGACTCTCCCAATTGGCCATCTGCTATATCTCCAGTTTAGGCACCCGACTGCATAAAATTGCGAACCACCCACAGGACCACACCCCAGGGGAGGACTGGCTGGAGGAAGGTGAGAAAGGGAGGAGGAGAGCAACATCCGAATTTTAAGCCATCTCTGACCCTAGTCACCCGAGGCCGAGGAACTGTGTTTGAGCCTCGAGGTGGACGGAATTTAGTGGAGACCGAGCTGACTTGAGTCACAGTACTCAATCCGGCTCTTCTTCGTTCGGCTGTCAACCAGGCAAGGTGAGTTCTACAAAATTTTACTTTCTTTTTCTACCGGCTACTTTTGTGGGGGGTTTCCGCTTGTATTTGCTCAACTGGGGGTGTGGCTTGAAGTTTGAGTAGAGGTGAGCTTGGGGTGGTTGTGGAAATATTTGGGTTTCCAAGTGTCGGGCATATAAAACGTTTCGGCAAACGTTTTATTGTGTGTGGGTGGGTTGGGGTTTTCTCTCGGTCTTCCACAAAATTGCCTGTGAAAAGCTGATGCAATTTCACTCTGAACTAATTGTTATTTTTGTGTGTGCATGGTTTTGCAGCTCTTCTGTTCTGCTAGTTACTCGATTATCATCCTCCTCCTCTTGTCATCCGCCACAATATGGGAAAGGAAAAGGTGCACATTAACATCGTGGTCATTGGCCACGTCGACTCTGGCAAGTCCACCACCACGGGCCATTTGATCTACAAATGTGGAGGTATCGATAAGAGAACGATAGAAAAGTTCGAGAAGGAGGCCCAGGAGATGGGAAAGGGATCCTTCAAATACGCCTGGGTGCTGGACAAACTTAAGGCTGAGCGAGAACGTGGTATCACCATCGACATCGCCCTCTGGAAGTTCGAGACCGCAAAGTTCTACGTCACCATCATCGACGCTCCCGGACACAGAGATTTCATTAAGAACATGATCACGGGAACATCTCAGGTATGTAAAAAAAATCTTTCTAACTTGAATGTGAATAATATGAATGAGTAGTATGGACATGGCGGCAATGCATTGCATTGAAATATTACAATTATGTGCTACACGAATTAAGTTTGGCCGTATTAATTTGTACAGGCCGATTGCGCTGTGCTTATCGTGGCTGCCGGAACTGGAGAGTTTGAAGCCGGTATTTCCAAGAATGGACAAACTCGTGAGCACGCCCTTCTCGCTTACACCCTTGGCGTTAAACAGCTTATTGTTGGAGTCAACAAGATGGACTCCACTGAGCCCCCATACTCTGAGGCCCGTTTCGAGGAAATCAAAAAGGAAGTCAGCAGCTACATTAAGAAGATTGGATACAATCCAGCTGGCGTACCCTTCGTCCCCATTTCCGGATGGAACGGAGACAACATGTTGGAGGTTTCCGACAAGATGGGCTGGTTCAAGGGATGGAAGGTTGAGCGCAAGGAAGGAAACGCCGACGGCAAGTGCTTGATTGAAGCTCTCGACGCTATCCTTCCCCCATCGAGGTGAATATGTTTTTCTTATTTTTATGAATTTTTAAAAACAATTTAGTATATCTACTTAAATTAAAATTAAATATGCTGATAATGATGACTGACGATCTACAATAATAATATTTTTTTATGGTGCTCATGATATTTTTTTAATGAATACCTAGACCTACCGATAAGCCCCTTCGTCTTCCTCTCCAGGACGTGTACAAAATTGGAGGTATTGGAACTGTGCCCGTGGGCCGAGTTGAGACTGGAATCATCAAACCCGGAATGGTGGTCACTTTCGCCCCCGTTGGTCTGACCACTGAAGTCAAGTCCGTGGAGATGCACCACGAAGCTCTGACGGAAGCAGTTCCCGGAGACAATGTTGGTTTCAACATTAAGAACGTCTCTGTCAAGGAAATCCGAAGAGGGTACGTTGCTGGAGACTCCAAGGTCAGCCCACCCAAGGGGGCCGCCGACTTCTCTGCCCAGGTCATCGTGTTGAACCACCCTGGACAAATCTCTAACGGATACTGTCCCGTTTTGGACTGTCACACCGCTCACATCGCCTGCAAATTCCAGGAAATCAAGGAAAAGTGCGACCGTCGTACCGGAAAAACCACGGAAGAGAATCCCAAGGTATTTTATGAATTACAGCTTTTAATTCCTCTTATCGTATTCATCTAATTGTCCGCATAAATTCACAAATTATATTAATTTACAAAATTAACCTTCTGTGATTCTTTATTACAGGCCATCAAGTCTGGCGACGCTGCCATCGTGACCCTCGTCCCCACTAAGCCCATGTGCGTTGAGGCTTTCACCGACTTCCCTCCCTTGGGGCGTTTCGCCGTTCGAGACATGAGACAAACCGTCGCCGTGGGTGTCATCAAGTCTGTCAACTTCAAGGAAGCTACCGGAAAAACCACAAAAGCCGCAGAAAAGGCCATCAAGAAGAAATAACCATTGTTGTTGTTATCATCTTTTTCATTTGTTAATACAGCAATTTATCGTTATACATTGGATATTAATGGGCCAATAAAAGAATATTTTCTCTGGAAGGGGAAAAGAAAAAAAATAGGAAGGTTTTTTATACTTTACATGGATATCATGCATCATAGCCAACATTTGAGATATGTCTGCTTCGAATGACGACACACCTTTTGCTTGTTCATCATCGCATAATAAAAGAATAAGGAAATTTTGAGTGACTTTTGCACATGGCGTAATTTCATATTGAGTAAAGTGATGATAAATTCACTGGATAGTTGGGCGACGGGATAGAAAATGAGGATTTGATCTAAAAATAACGTAGCAATCGTTTCATGCAGATTGCGTAGGGTGAACTGAACTGGGTATCCTTATGAACTTCTCGCTGTGAGACTGAATGTTCGGAAGCCGGGTCGTTATGTTGAACAGACAAGAAAAGATGATATTATCCCGTCTTCTCTGTGTGTGTACGGTGTCGGATTTCTTTATGGTGCACGGTGTCGTTCATGCCAATTTACAAACATTCTGCAGCATACTGACATGTGGTAGATTTATAAGTACGTTATAGACGTTTCGTGGCTTTCGCACATTTCAGTCTGCTCTAGCCAGCCAAAACAACCATCCGTCCATTCTCTAAAGTAAGAGTGGAACGTTCACTTCCGGTTTATTTTTTTGGAAGAAACGAGGAATATGTAACTGCCATGAAAAGCAGAGAAATCTCAGGTTGATACAATAACTGACCAGTTTACAAGTCATTTTATTCAGGTGAAATTTGTCCGTGGCCATGTGTGGGAGCTGCTTTGGGCTGTGCGGGAGGGAAGTTGAGGAGTCCTCACTTCCTGAGCCGGAGGGAGAAGGCGGGGGGCGGCTATTCGACAAGGTTTCACGAGAAGAGAGGGACACCTCGACCATTCCGGGCGTCATTGGACGACGGAGGAGAATTCGACGACTTCATTGCAGAACCGGGTTCGACGTGGCAGTGTATGCCAATGGAAAGATTAGGGGCACGAAGTCTCCCAGGAATAAGTACGGTATGTAAAAAAAAGTCGTATATGTAAAACTGCATGCAAAATATTATTACTGGAATTTACATTCCTCCAAACTTGTAGGTCTATTGGAATTTGAAGCTGCTGGTCTGGATGGTCAACTCAGAATAAGGGGGGTTTCTACAGGGTTTTACATTACGATGACTCCGAAGGGCAGAATTGTTGGGCAGCCGGAAAAGGATCAGCCAGGTACAATTTGGGTACGATTCAATCTTTGTGACACTTACACTCGATTTTGTTGGGTTCGTTCCGTGCAATAATGACAATTCCCGATAACGCAATGTTTCAGATTGAAGCTAGAATGGGAGTGACAACAACGTACATGTCATTACTTTCTCAAGATTTTGCTCACCTTGGGTGGTACTTGGCAATAAAGAAATCCGGAAAACCGAAAGCAGGTCACAAGACAAACCATCCATATCCACAAAAAGCTATTTCATTCCTGTCCAGAGTGGTCGGAGAAGAGTTTTACTAATCCTAAGTTACCAAATGTTTGGTCTCAAGTTCAATTTGTTGTGAGCCATGAAAACATCTTCAGAGCTTTAGAAGAGGTTCGAAAATTTTGTGTTCCAATTTTAACTACTTTACAAATATATAGAAATTTATGAATCCATTTTACATGTGTATTGTTATTTTGTTTTGCCTTTCACAGTTTTTTCCTGCTTATATAAATATAACTAATAACCACTAAATTCGATTCACTTATTAGTATTTTTTGATATGATATATTACATGCAAAAATAAAACGATGATAGATAAAGAGACGAGCTACATTTAGCACCATCATACGAGATTTATTTTTAGAACGCACATTCATACTCATTCATATTATTATAGAAAGCAATGCTTCTAATTTAAAAATCGACTTTGATAAAAATATAGTTATTTACAAGTTTTAAAACAATATCTTCAAGCATGATATTGTATAATTGCTGCTTCTGCAAGAAGCCTTTTTTCACAATCAGACATGAACCAAAAAAGGGAAGTATTATTATCTATTACGTGCAATGACTGATTGATATAAACTTACATATACCTATTTTAGTAGTAGTTATAGGAAGAGCATTTTTGGTGGTGAAAGTAAGGCTTTACTGAAAGTCTGAGAATCTCAGGTTGTGCTAACGTTTTCTTTCCACTTTGGCAGTTTTCTTCTTGGCCTTTTCCTTTTTTTCTTCAGCCAACTTCTTTTGCCGAGCCCTACATATCAAAGCATGGAGCATCATAATTTTTTATATGCATTTTTGAGTTAATGCGTTATTTATCATAAGTGTGATGTCATTTACCGGTCTTCTTTATCCTTTTCACGCTTCTTAGCAGCCTCAGCTTTGGCTTGCTCCTTCATTTCCTTTTGAGCACTTAGAAGGCTAGAAGCATTTGTATTTTTAGCTAGTCCGTCCATTGTCGATTTCTTGCGAGATTCGCCATCGTCATCCGATTCACTTTCATCCTAATCAATCATGGATAAGCAGATAAAATTTGTACATAGAATCTTAAAAGATGAAGGCATCATTTGTTCATCCATATATTTATGTACTCACTGTGAGACCCTGATATTGTTGAAGTATTGCAGCTCTGAGAGCAGAATCAGTGACAACTCCTTTCTCGTTACCACTTCCGGTCGCGCCCCCACTTTCTGGAGAATGGCGCAGTAACTGCTCGAGCTGTTTCTCAATTAGGGACTCACTCTCAGTCTTGTTATCTCCCTCCAACACAGTGGATGCATTCTTCGATTTATCCTTTGAAGTAGCTAAATGTTCATTCCATCGTGAAATTATTTGCGCAGATGTCAAAGATTCGACGGATGGAGTAGCCTAAATGCGGAGACACCAGTTAGTAACCTTTTAGTAGTAAAAGCATGCGGTAGTCGGTCAGTTTGGCGAAAACACTTTTGGCAAAAAACTTTAGCCAAAAAATAATCCCATTTGGCGAAAAACAAATTCCATGCATTTCACCGTACGTTAGTTTTATTTTATTTAAAGTACCTTTTGGCGAAAATAATGTCGCATTTGGCGAAAACGAGGATTTTGTGAAAATCGTTACTCATGAAGAGCGTTCAACCCTCCGGGGACCATCGGATACATGGATTTGTGACGGGATGTTTAAATCATGTCCAAAAATATTCAAAAGAAGTGGTCAACTTTACACAATACATTGCATTTAAGAAGCAGTTTACGGCATAAGGCGAACAAGCCGACAATGCGTTCCAATAGTTTATGCCTTCTCCCTAAAAAAAGAGTGCTACAAAATACTGTTTGATGTTGTAAAAGATAACGTCAAAAACTATAATCCTTCTCAAATCATACTAGATTTCGAGGCTGCGGCAATTGATTCTACAAAGTCCATGTTCACAAAGACAATAATTGAGTAGGTTCCACCTATGTCAAAGTATTTTTAGGAAAGCTCAAGAATTAGGCCTACAATCAAGCGATTTGACATAAAGAAATGCGAAATTTAAATTTCGCCAAATGTACTTTTACGAATTTTCCACTTTCGCCAAATGTGACAATAATTTCGCCATTTAGTACTTTCATGGCAATTTTTTACCACCTTGGCGAAAATTTTTTTTCGCCAAACTGGCTTTCGCCAAACTGACCGTCAATCAAGCATGCAGTCATCAGGATGAAACGAAACGAAATTTCTCTACCTTACCCCCAATTCCGATAGGATGCCGTCCAGGTCCTCAATTTTCTGGTCCAGCTCCTCATCCCCTTCTAAAATGCTTGTAATGTATGGACCGAAGACGGCTTCGTCCGTCTTTAATTCACGGAGTCGTTCAGATAGCCACGTATCGAAATCCATCATCTTTTGCTTTCTCCGAGTGAAAGTTACAAAAAATCTTTAAATAAAAAATACACGTCTCCTCAATGAATACAACCCGATTTAATATCATGAACGCTGATGAAGCAACTGACTTTATATCAATTAAAAAATAAGTACTTAATATACGACTTAAATTAGCTTCTTAATTTAATTACCCCGTAAGGTTGAAAGTGTAATGGATTTATCTAAGTCCCAAGGGAATCTTTACTGCTCCCCGTATTATTTCATACAAGGACAAGGACAAAGTTATGCAGCATTATTGAACATTACGAAAAAACAAACGTATTTTGAAAATAAAATATTGTAATCAACTGGGACTTTAAACTCAAAATTAAAAGTGTGTATCAAACTGTGCCCGGCGTTTTCTGAAGAGAAGATTGCGAGCCGGACTGAGCAACCAATATTTTGCCATCTAATCCTAACTTAGGATTCCTAAGTTTGCGAGTCTTTATTGAATTTTGCGCTGTGCAAAAAAGACGCATGTAACGATTTAAACAAATGCATGCAGCATAAATTCGTTCACTTTCCTTACATTTTCTTCAGCTTAGCTCCTTAGTGGAGAATACGGAGAAAGCACATTTTGCCTAATACCGTGTAAATAGTACTTAAGACGACGATAGGGTCCGCCAAGTTGTAACGTCAGATCTTGAATTCTAAGGATCTTGAAGGGCCTTTTGAAACGGAAAATCAAAACGTCAAGCGGTTTGATGCCATGGTCCTATTTGCGCCCTAGTTTGATTTGTTCGGATTTTCCACTCGGATTTTCATAATTTGTATATACATGATCTCAAAAAGCTATCCGACATGAATCTAAACTTTTTTGGGGAAATTTGCATTTTTTTCAAGGCAAGACCCTCAAATATTCGAAAACATTGAAACGTAAATACTACCTGCCTATAGCACTACTCACTCATTGTCAGAAAACTCGCTTTCTTCGTGCGCTTTCCCCTTCATGCATGGGCTTGAAATTGCTCCAAATTAACAATAAACTTCTTTCCGTTTCGATTAGGGTATCACCATTTTTATTTCAAGATTAATTTGTGGTATTATTAACTGAACCTATGCTGATCTGATCTTAATTAACGATATCATAATGTCATGGATTGCACTGTATAAATACATGCTTCTCACGCAGTGCAGTCACAGTGGTGCAAGTTCAGTCAGACGCATAAATCCTTGCATTGCATTACGTACTTAATAGTTGCATGAAACAACAGAGTCACACAAGCTATTTATTACCATTATTACTTGCATTAATGTTAATTTGATTTTTCAAGTATTGTTGGATAAGTGATATATAATTCGTCACAGACTTATTTAGAATTACCATTTGCGGCGATCGTCATTAAATAATATACTAATATTCTACAAGGACAGTACAGTTTGCGATAAATAATATTATTAGCGACAAAGCAACTCTGCATGATTAAGGTCTTCGGAATCGTCAGACTATTTTAATAAATATTATACAACGGATTATAGGATATTGAAGATGAAAAATATATACCAATTAATAATACTAATTAAATAAGGAACAACCAGGGCAAATACTAAAATTATACATATTATGAGTTGCATTGAGCAAATACAAAATGATGCAATTCATAAATCTTATCGATCACGTGATAAGTAATAGCTGCATCTGAGATTAAATGAATATAATAAGCAGCAGAGTTGTCACTGAAAAGTGAAGATCAATTCAATTAGTCAAACACAATAATCAAAAGTATTCAAAAGTAACAAAATATGATTGAGTAAGTCGCTTGGCATAACAATGAAATGGCACGAAGAATAGTGATAAGTATACACATTGTCACATTGTATGTACATTGTACATGCTAAGAAGTGAGGCTGTGAAGTAGTGTGAAGCAACAATAACACAAGTGAAGAAGAAAATTTAAATTGTGAGTCGAATAATAAACCATTGAAAATTTCAATTTGAAATTTGTTGCCTGCACTATGAAGGTTATTTGTAAATTGTTGTGTAACCGGGACCAATAAAAAATATCTAAATGTTACATAATGTAATTGTACACACCTAATTAAATAATAAACATATTCAAGTTGTATATTTGTACAATCTTCATTGATCAATATACAAAAATACACCAAGTCATTTAATGGGAGCTGTACAATTTGTAATATTGATGTCTACAAGATTTACAACTTACTACTCTTTATCAACAGTCTGCATTATGTTATTGGACAATACAATGCGGCGTCGCGTCGGATTAGTTTTTTAACATTGACTGACTATATGTATATACGACAAACTAACAGTAGTAATAATAATAATTAATGATAAAAATGTGCTATGCACGGTTGTTCTAGGTGGTTGGAACTAGTATTGAGATTGAATTGTTACGAAATAATAATGTCATGTTACAAAATTTGTTGTTAATATGCATCATTTGCATGTTATGGGACTCATGTGAAAGAGAAAGCTTTTCCCACGAGCGAGGCGAAGATGGGGGAAAAGAGTTTGAAGAAGGCGATGGCCTTGCCAGCCTCGTCGATGGAGCCGCTGGACGTGGAAGGGTGCTTCTTCTTGGACACGTCCAGGATGGGTCTCCTTGTCGTCGAGGTTGTCGTACTGGTCGTGGTTCCTTCCGTTGGGAAGAAAGGAGGGTACACTGGTTTGTTTACGCTGGGGGGCGGAGGAGCCAAATCAATACCTTCTGGACCATCTATGCTAAATCCGCCACCATGACCTCGGTTCTTGCTGTTTTTGTTGTTGTTGAATGTATCAACTGGACTGAGGTTGCTCAAGGGGTTTCGGTTCACGTTATTGTTGGTGTTACTGCCGTGAATCTCGTCACTATCTTCATCCTCATCTATTTCCACATCATCGTCATCCTCCTCGTCATCATGGTTGGGTATTGGGTTAAGTATAGGAGGCGAAGGTCTGGATGGAAATTTAGGATGAGTTGGAAAGTTGGGGGTGGCAGAGCTGTGGTGGAATGGTGGCTTTGGATGAATTTGACCACTGGGATCGTCATCATCTGAATCTTCCAAGTCGGTAGGGATGTCTCCTGAACCTGAACCCATGCCACTTCCTTCAAACTCGAGATCATCTGTAATAAAGTTAATAAATGTGTCTGCTGAACCGGTTTATGAGTAAATATAAAATTATTAAAATGACAGTGTTATTATTCACTTACCACTTTCCTGCCATTGGACATCAAGCCCATTATACGAAGCTCTTAATTTCTCAGTGATTTGTTGAAGAATGATTATTTGCTCAGTAATTAAAATGTTGGGGGCAGTTTTTCCGAAAGATGATGACGATCTTGATTCGGGACTCTCATTACTTGTTCGGTTACGGTCAGGTCGGATGGCATGTGTCCCATTCCAACAGAGTTCTAAAGTAGTGATACAAATGTAAACTAATCGTGATAAATAAATCCATTGAGGAGGTTGATACCTACCTCTCCCGAGTTTTGAAGAGTAGTCCTTTGAGATCCCGTTGCAAACCTGTCGCGGAAGTGCCTCCCAAATGCTCTTTGATTTTTTCACTTTGTTCTTGATCTCGCGAAGCAATTTGTCCATGGATTTGCTAGCTTGTACGTTATCATGTCCGGTTGTTGCCCGGAAAGTATCGAGTTTTGACGAAGTTTCATCCGGTCTTCGTCTCAAATTTTCAGGGGGTGGTGATGCCTCGCGTTTTCTGAAACTATGGACAAATATTTATTTATTTATGCAGGGAATACTCTGAATTCCGAAGGAATCATGCACAATCAAGTACAGAATCTTACGTTTTTGCTGAAATCAACTTTGGCTTCCCACACTTTGCAAATACAGCTGAAATGTATAATAAAATCTACATTAGATATCCATCAATTGTACTTCAAAGGTCATGAAACCTCCATATTTTGTGACGTCATTTTAATTAGTAACTATTTTGTTATGTCATCACTTTGTCATCTTTTTATGCACACCACTAATCTGTGGATAAGTAGTATATTAAACTGCTAACGTAGGCATTTCATCTAACAGCACTTTCATTCATTGATCCCTTTCTAAACCACAGATATCTAAATAGAAGCTTTCATCGCACACTCATTCAATCTCCATTTTTGAATTTAAGTAAACTACAATTTGGACATGAAAATCTTCTTGTTTTGCGTTTCAGCCAATTATTTGACTTAACTTATTACTTACATTGACTAAGATCTGGACCAGACTCTTGAAAATTCATGATGGCTTCAGAAATTTTAATGTGAATCGGTTCGACGACAGCTTCCACATTGTATGGACCTAACAGTCGGTCAAGTACGTTTTCCATCGAGTTTGTATAGTCAGTCCAAGTTTTGATCAGGGGACCCATGACAGCCAGACACTGGGAAGTGATCCCTGTACAGAGTGAGGTACATGGCTTGATAACCCGCATCTCGCTGCAAATCGGACACTGCAGCATGTGGGACAAAGAGGACGCGCATTCTGGGGTCGTTTTTAGCTGTAATTCAGCAAGATCCATTTATCAGTACAAGACTACGACACCATTCAACGACGATTCGTTACAAAATGTGCATACCTTTTGCAAATTGTTGAAAATCCTATCTGCATCATTCAGCCCTTGTGCTAGGGCTCTTGTGGCGACGAACGAGCGTCTGAGACTGGAAACAATTTGTCGGTGCAGGTCACCACCCTGTTTCTCGCTAATGACTATGGTGGCGCAGGAAAGGTACGCACTAAAAACATTACACAAATTGGAATAGTAAGAAAAGCTTTAAATATTAATCCCGAGCCTATCAATGTCTTTCGTGTAAAGAAATTCAAATAAAAAAATAACGCTGGGTTTGGATTTTTTAAATAAAACTAATTAAGACTGATGTCTCATCAAGAATTTTTGAATACCCACGTTGCACAGATATAAAGAGCATATCTAATTATTTATGCAAGATAAATAATTAAATTTTTGCTAAACACTTACTCATCAAACTCGTACTGAGAGTTCAGGACCACAAACATTTTTCTGGTGAGTATTGCAAAGAACTCGTTCAGTTTCCCTTCCAAAGACTCGAGGCCCGTGTCGTAGTACGCCTCCAGGGTGGTGAAGAGGGCATGGAATATCGGAGCGTGTTGCATGTAGAGCATGCCATACCTGTGTGGCAAAATTGCACAATTGACAGATGAGATAATTATGAATTGGTTAGTCAAACGAGGTGTTTCTTATTATTGCAAGCTACTGAGAAGTAATAGTAGGTACATAAATAACAATAAGACTCACGTTCGCTCAAACATGGCATGGAATTCGGAATGTGCCCTTGTCAGCAAGTCTTTAAAAGTGGTATCGAACTTTTTCTTCCTCTCCTTGAAAATGTCCCCATTGGCTGCCAGTTTAGGACTCAGCCATTTTTCGCCAAACTTTGCACCCATCTCTCCCCTCTGGATGGTGGAGTTAAGCTCACGACAACACTTGACCCCTCTCTCACCATTCTTCCCCAGGGGGCAGGACGCCTGAGGAGTCATGGTCGTAGTGGTCTGCTGCTGGGCCCTGTTAAACACGCTGCCACTCCCCTCCTGCACCCACCAAGGGTACGTGAAGTCCTTGCTCCGGATCACGTTCCCGATGGCCTTGCACTCTTTGTCCACCGGGCTGCCCACCCGCCCCCCTGATCCCAAATCGATGAGGAGGGCGAGCGTCGTGAGGAGGAGAAAGTCTGAGGAGAAAGTTGTCATGAATATTCTCCGGCGTCGAGCCCAGGTTTCAAAAGACCTCAACGTCCTCATTTTGAACTGCATGATGTGTGATTCTGATTTTCTGTCTTGGAAATGAGATTGTGAACACTTGAGTACTTTTGAATAGTGAGAAAATATATGCAGTAATTCACTCACTGTATTTTGTATATATGTATTTAGAAGTATTGTGGTGACTGCTTTTAATTCCTATTTTGTGTATCCATGTTTATTCTATAATGTCAACCCATGAACCGATTCGGTGGTCTGATTTAGTTCACTTCCGGTATAGTTAACATTCACACCAGCCGGCCACCAACAACTTGGCGTTAGTTACCCAACGGTCTTGCTTGATTGTGCATGGTGTGTTTTACCAACGATCTCAACTAAGCAGTTTCCGCACATTGTCAATTGCTTACAATTTTTATGGCAAGTCCGAAACTCGTCGTGTTTGTAAACTAAGTTGTATCGATATCTGGTACGTACACATAAACGAATACAGTATAAGTTAAGTAGTGGAGGAGATCATTGTTATTGACGTTATCTCTGGCGCACTCGAAATGTGAATGCGATTGTTCAAGTATGGAGAACCATTATATGTATGCACATACATATATCTCATTTCATAACATAATAATACTGTAACTGGTGCTGGGGTGCTAACATTTCATTGGTGTTTGGTAATTGTCTCTTAAAACTGAGTCAAAATTAGCACAGGAGAGTCGGAGCCAGTCTTCTTCAAATTAAGCAGCTCAGACTTTTTAATCCGTGTCTTGTTTAAATTCTGTTACTGGATCGAGTTGGAGTAGTAAAGTAGCCATGATTCTTGTCCACTTATTAGTACTTACACCCTTGGTTTGCACCTTGTTAAATTAAAATTTAGCCCAACTCATTTCACCACTCGCTCCCCATTCACTGTCGATCACTTTTACACACAAAATTGTTTTACTTCCAAGTTCAAAGCACAAGCACCAAAAAATGGTTATGTGTGAATACGCATAATTGTTATGTTTGCTTTGGCATGCAAGGTAATAACTCTCACTTTGATTATTTTCCTCCTCCTCCTCCTCCAGTTGTCTGCACTTTGTAACGCCACAATTTGTCCATTCCGACGACGATGTCGTTTAAACGGACGAATATTTGTAACAGAGAAGTTACAAATATATGTAACAAAGGGTCTCGTTTTTAAAAGTCGTCCACTTTCTTGGAGGCAGGAGCAGTGGACATTGGTGGATTCGAAAGGGCAGTTACTGCATAATATAAGACGGGCAAGGAAAAGGTAAGAGATTTTTTAGGTGACCCGATGCTTGTTACAAGAGGGTCTCCAATTCCCAACCAACTTCTGGTGCATATAAAGCAGTTTTAGTCAGAGAGAGACTCCAAACTCAAACTCACACTTCATATTATTATCCCAACCTATTCCATCCTGTTGTGTGCCCCATGAAGCATTCATGTCGGATTGGCGTAGCCACAACCAGAGAGAAGTTTGAAGTTGTTGGATTTTGGATGAAATTCTCGCTCTCTCTGCTTTCATACGTTGGCGTTGGTCGTCCGTATGTAGAATATATACCTTCCCCAAGAAAGAAAGAAAAGGGCATTTGAACTTGAACAGGAAAACAAACCCGATCCGGTGATGATGATGATGGTGGGATTGGAATGGAGGTTGATGCAATGTGCACGTAGATATGTGCGCTTATACAGTTACTAACAGATTTACAAGGAATTGGATTGGAATGAAATGGTCTTATACTTAGGGCAGAGATTGGTCTTAAAGATGGTTCTCATATGTGCATATCTACACCTCTGCTGCTGCATTCACTTGGTTCGTAGTAATATCCTGGACACACGCACCAACGCTATTGCTGAGCATGCTTTGGCTCAATAAAGGAATTAAACTGGTCTAGTCAAATATAAGTAAGGAATATTTGATGATGTTCGATTTTTGATGAGGTGGATGTAGTAAAAGGAAAGAAGTGAGCACACAAGACGCCGACTCTAGACGACGAGCACTTACGCGTTAAGAAACACTTTTTGTTAATGTACTACGAATGCCAACCCTCGAAAGGATTATACTTAATGTGTGAATGGAGCAGGAAAAAAGAAATACCGAAATTGAAATATGAGTTTATTACCGACACGAACCCTGACAGAGTTTTTGCTGAATAAATGCTTTTACTTTCTGTTACGTCGCTCCATACATTGTATTCCATTCCCATTAATCCCAAGTCAGGCTTGTGCAATAGTTATGCATACGTATTATGTGTCATGCATGTATTTAGTGTATTGCACGCCATGCATTGATTGACAGAGTTGGGAAATTAAACGAGTTAGCTTGAGATTTGTATGTTTTGTTGAATTAGATTGAGGTTTTGGAATTGAATTATTCCGTAATTAGTATTTTCATTCTAATTATGCGGATTGGAATTAAGTGATCTAAGACGTTCATTGAGTGTACAGATAACACGACAATTACAATTGAATAAATATATCCTAATCCAGGGTTAAATTTTTATGTAACTTGTATTCTGAAATCTGAATGTGTTCATTTAGCAAATGTTTCAAATTTAGAAGGTGGTAAAAGGTCAATCCCATGAAAAATTCGCCAAATTGGATTTGCTTAGTCTATCTATAGTGGCTGTATAGAAGAAATTTTGATGTTATTTTGATTATTTCAACTCTGACTGCTGAGTACTGAGTCAGTACCACTGACAACTGACTTCCTAGTTTCGAGTAAAATTATGTGAACAATTGCATCACACTGTTAATGAAAGAAAAATGAAAGATTAAACAGACACATAGGAATCAAGTAACGTGTAATTGATTCCTTGTATAAAGTGATTTGTTTGTTCCGACTCGAAATATTGATAAAACAATGATAAACTTAATGTAGAAAGTGTAATGGTTTTCATGTTTCTATTCGGAGTTAGTAAGTAATAAGGATGATTGATTTCCTCAACGTCATGAGCAATAAGTAAAGCAAGCTTTTCCTTAATGGAATGCATGGAGAGAGAACCTGGACAAAAGGGTCACGAGTGGAAACATCAAAAAATGATTGATTAAATGACACGGGCAGGGAAAAAGTGCTATGGAAAGTGGAAGGAAACGCGAGCTGGTGGTCCGGTGCAGTGGTCGTATGATTTTTTTGTCCTGCTGCTGGATTACAAATTCTTCTGCCAAAATTAATAACAAATTATCGGTGACAAAGATATGTCAGACAAGTTGATTGCTTGACATGTTTGCTGATTCGTGTACATACAAATCTCGTTGTTATATCTGTCACAGTTCAATTTTTTAACATTCCAACTCCACTATATTTGCTTGCCCTGCTTAATGAAGTTTCCCTTCCTGATTTAAGTCATACATACCACAAATGATGTTGGAATCTCTGTACTGACTGGTTTTGAGATATGGTAAAGTAAAATGCTCATCATAAACTGCTATAATCAGTGCTATAAAATTTTATGGAAAGATTTTGCTGAGTTGTCAACTTTTTCCAAACATACATGTGCGCACCGTACAAAATAATATTTTTACGTTCGACGAAAAGCATAATAATAAATAATTGCATAGTTAAAAGAAGGAACAAACCAACTGTGCGTCATTCTCAATGATTTGTGAGTACTTATTTAGCATACATGCCATCATCTGTCCCAAATAGATAATCCTGTTCCATTTCACTGCTTCGGAAATATAAATCTATGTATATATGTATCAGTATTGTAGTAGTAGGTATGTATTTAAATATGTACATGCATGCGTGTGTTGGGTCTTATTTACGAAGACAAAAATTAAATTAAATCACGTTCGATCCGTTAATTTTTATGAGATGGTTCGTCGTTGTTTTAAAACGCTTAATTTTTTTGAGTCAAAGTCAAAAGTATCAAGTCACCACATATCCATATCAAAAAAGTCTCAAATTTGTACACAAAAACTTGACACGTCAAAGCTAACTCGTGATCATGGAACGAATGCGTCTGTCATCTGTGTAGTGTGGGGTAACATTTCTTTCTTCAACGTCAACGTTTTTCAGCTTCTCTGTGTGTCAGACAACATAAATCAAACATTAGCACAAATGGTAAACAAAGTGTCACGATAGGCATAACGGATTAAGGATAGACTCCTTTACAGATTTATTTATTCTCATCTCGTGAACAAAATTTTGCAGCATGTTTCAAATAGAGAATAAAGTGTAAAATATTAAATGTTTAATGATAGCCGGTAACTCGGTATGCATGTAATGACTGCCGGACACCACTACTGCCGGTCTCCTATTTCAAACTACGGTCTCCTTCAGTCTTTAAATAATTGCATCATGTCTGCTCACATTAGTCATTAATTGATTCCTGAGTGATAAGAACTACGTGTCTTCAATACAGGTGTATATGTTCTGAAGAGCAAGAGCCTCGTTTTAACTTGGACTCGAGAAACCACATTTTATATAAGATCGGTCATTTTGTCCAACGGACTGGGTATATATGATTCACGATTCACCAACCACAAATCTTGTGGCATGTAATATTTTAACACTCGAAGCATTATTGACTGAAGAAACCATAAAATATCAGATTCGAGACGGTGGTGATTATCTATTCATTATTTTGAGCTCCGATTCATTCATTTTGCTCTATTCAATTTGTGTTTAACTTTTTTATCATTTTCATTTTCACACCGATAGAGCAGCACCTGCCTGCCTGCCTCTCCGTCTACCATTTTACCACCGTCAAATCAAATAGAAGTGCATATACTTTTTTGGGCAGGATGATGGATATGACAAGCATAAATATATAACGAGATGAGGAAACACAAACTGGAGTAGAAAAGATTCATTCACTCGTTCAATTTAAGGAAACAGGGAAGAGGAAGAAAACGATGTTAAAAAGTGGATGTAGATATTTTAAAATAGTGATAAAGTGAGAGCAAGAAGTGCATAGCTCCTGCTTGTTAGTTGACTTTGTCCAAAGGAAGCCTGTCCCGAGTGAGATGCAGATGGATTTACACATTTTTCAGTTCATTTTCAGTTTACTTTGGCCAAAGAACTGCCCAAGTTTCCTTCCATCTTCTTGTTCCTCCATTTCAAAGTCGATCCTTGGCCAAAGTTAGCTTAACATTCCTCCAACACATCAAAAACCTTGTATTTAGGATTACTACATATCTTTTCTGTTCATTCATCTTCCTTCTCCAGGCAGCCAGCATCACGAGAATCTCAGGACTGCGGGGTCGACCACTCGTATGTTATTACAATTTGTACGCTGTCATTGTAGGGTCGAGTGAAGAATATCTGGAAACGGAAATACGCCATGGGCACCCTAATTACTATACCTACATACATACGTCTCCCTTCATGCTGGACGACTCGTATTTTTCTGAAGAAACAAAGAATGAATGGGTAAAAGTGTAATTCTAAAAAAAGTTAGTTCAACAAACTATGCATGTCCAGCTTTGTAAAAGAGTTATTGTTGTACAACTACAAGTCAACAATGAAGGGCTCAGAAATTGAGATTATGGTCTGGTCTGGAAACGTTAGGTGCTGTCGTCTTCTTATGTTTTTTTGTAAAAAAAAGACGCTGTGCATTTGATATCTTCCTGCTAGACATGATGCTTGCAACAACGAACAATTGCTACTTACTATTTTGTTCCTTATTTATATGTTGTCTTATCGAATAAAATAAATCCTTCGTATAAAATAAATGCAAGGCACGAGAACGAGTTACGCATTTCACCCTAACCGGAATCAAGGAAAGCTCACGAGAAATGTGAGACAAGGAAGTCGCCGTCTCATGTTCCCATCTGACGATGAGACAACTTGGGTATTTATGAACAAAGGCTGGTTGGCTGCCACCTGGCGACGGGTGGAGAGACGACGGCGGATTCCTTCGCCCGGCACCTTCACTTGGCTCTGTCAGCCATCAGCTCACTGCACGCCGTCCTATCGTCTTCTCACTCGTGCTGTTCTACCGGAATAGGATTCCTCCTGAAAAATGGGTAAGTATTTCCACTGTTACACCCCCAGCGGTGTGTGGGGGTGCCCACTCCGTGTGGAAACGATGGAACTGGTTCCGATAGAATTGATATAGCTTCAAGTTGTATCGCTGTACGACATTCAAGATGGGCATAGATTTTTAAAACAATGGGACAAATCATTTTTAGTTTATCAAAGAGAGTTTTGGCAAACAGATTATTATTGGTACCAGTTTCATCATATGTAAAATTAAATTTTGCAAAAAGCGTAAATTAGGTAGTTTGCTTCAACATGATTTATGAAGGATTTAACGATTGATTGTTTATTAATTGGCTAGGAATATCCCGAGACCATTATCACAAGCGCCGTGCCACCGGCGGAAAGCGGGCCCTCCTTCGAAAGAAGAGGAAGTTCGAGTTGGGTCGTCCTGCTGCTAACACCAAGGTCAGTAAAACAATCTTTATGGTAGACAAATGTCGAGAGTTTATAGTTTTTTATATCATTCGTAAATTCGTACGCATAAGTTTATACTGGCTGACCGTATTTTAAGAATTTTAATGATGATTGAATTAAGCTGAGAGAAAATCTTGCTGAGATATTCCATAGATTCACCTCTAACGTTCTGAAAAATCTTAATGAAATTCGTTATCATTAGGCTTGAGTTTTTAAATGAATGTATTAAAATTATTTTGTATTTCCACAGTTGGGACCCCGAAGAGTTCACACCGTGAGGACACGAGGAGGAAATACCAAGTATAGGGCTTTAAGGCTCGATACGGGAAACTTCTCCTGGGGTTCTGAATGTGAGTTTCATCAGTTATTAATTAACTAAAGCTAAACAGTGATTAAAAGCCAAGAAAGTGATCATTTATGATGATAAAGCGTGTCAACTGATTTGTTATGAGTGATTCAACTTGTATTCATCCTACAGCGATCTGAAGTCAATTTTTTGCATGCCAAATCTTTTAATGAATAAACAAAATGTTGATGGAAAATGAATGAATATAATTAATAATTTCAGGCTGTGCTAGGAAAACTCGTGTGATTGATGTTGTTTATAACGCTTCAAACAATGAGTTGGTTCGAACTAAAACCCTCGTCAAGAACGCCATCGTCGTCATCGATGGTGCCCCCTTCAGACAATGGTACGAAGGGAACTATGCTATTCCCCTTGGCAGGAAAAAGGGAAATAAATTGGTATGTCTTGTTTTTGTCGGGATATAGAGTAGTCGAAATTAATTGTAACTCGGTAATTATCAATATGATTATTTATTTCTGAAAATAGACCGAAGCAGAAGATGCCATCCTGAACAAGAAACGGTCCAAGAAGGTTGAAAAGAGACTAAAGATAAAACAGAAACAATCTAAAGTGGATCCAGCCCTTGAGGAACAGTTTCAGACTGGCAGAGTATTGGGTAAGTTAGCTATAAATTGTTTCTTATTTCCGCTATTGATGAGCTCAATAATTCCAATGATGACCACCTCATGCCGCTATTTCTCGTGGGCGCATCATGTCATAGTTACTCTGAGGGTTGACCTCACTTTCCTTAGAGGTTCCCTTGAGATTAGTATAATAGACCGTGTAGTTTAACGTTTGTCTGTTTTTCTTGTGTTTGCAGCGTGCGTTGCCAGTCGGCCAGGTCAGGTTGGACGAGTTGACGGTTACATATTGGAGGGCAAAGAGTTGGAGTTTTACCTCAGAAAAATTAAGGCCAAGAAAGGCAAATAGATATATGTACCATCATTTGTAAGACCTGAAAACGGATTACGTTTCTAATAAAACTGGTTTGATTTAAATCAATGAGTTGAATTATTTAATAGGCATTTCAGTATCTGAGTAATTCACCATAATCAAAATCAATACATACATAATTCATTAATTTTAATTATTACTTGTCCATGATTTCGATCCCTTCTTGTTCCATTTAATTTAACACGTCCTTGTTCTTTCCCCTTCCCCTCCTCCTCCCACCCCGAAATACATATATATGCAATATTGTTTGTTCGTTCGATTGAATCCATGATATTGTTTGCGTCATTGTAAATGTTGGTGGCGTTACCACTTTTGTGGGTTTATATAGATTCCAAGTAAAATAAGTTGCAACCTTGTTAAAAATTTATAAGAGTGGGTTTCGAAGGTTGTTCATTGTGTAAACAGGCTCGTGTGTGTGATGTCAATGATTGGTTCTATTTTGATAACGTGATATATGTACGGCTTCTTCTTTTGCCACTTTTCTCCTTTGTTGTTGAACACCACCAGCCAGCCAGCCAGCCAACCAACCAGCATTTCATGTGATTCTCATCGCATCATCATTACGCCAAAAATAATGTCCAACTGTTACTTGGTCGATAGGCCAATTTGTTCTCCTGCTGATCCATTCCACCCATGTTTCGATACAAATAATTGATGATGGGAATCAGGAGGACTCTCACTGACCAATTTCGCATTTATAATCTGACATACGGTATACACATTTTCCAATCGAAATTTTTTTGCAGTTGAAATATTGCACCATGTTTTACCCTTAATATATCTGTCATAAGGTCTACAAAATTCTGCGAAACTCTGATGAAACCGTACGAGGACAAAAGACCTCTTGTGATCTGGAAAGCAGAAGTAAACGATTGAGATTGAAATGAAATGAAACGAAAGAGGGAAATCATGCCATGTCGTGTTATGCAAAACTAAAAACACCGAATCTCATCTAGTGACGAAGTGAACACATTATACGCGTCATGTTCTCTTTCCCAATATGCAAATACAAACAAGGTATGCACGAGCTGAGTGAGCAAATAGTGTGTGCAAAAGATCGGGTTAATAATGAAGAGTGAAAGCGGGGTGACGACATCCGATTCTCCCGTCCCCCTTCTGAGGCTTTATTGAGACAAATAAATGACCAGGAGGAATATACAGCCTGACAGTGGTGTTTTGTTTGCTGTTGCATGAACGTAAATATTTATAGCCTTCCCAGAACTTTCATTATCATCGTCACTTAATCAACTTAACTTGTTGGCTTTCTTTCTGACAAACTTTCATCATCCTCCCTCGCGTAGAAAAATAATCCAGTCCGTGGTGCGAGGTGGACAAAAACAACACTCCTCACATGGTCTGACTTGTTGATGATGTATCCGAATATATGTGCGGAGAGAGAAAGGAGTTGGTGTGAACGCCATGCTTTCACCAGGCAAGGGTCTCTCGTGTTGTGTAGTAGAGTGGTACATACGTACGTACGTACAAGAGCCAGTAGTAACAAGTAGAGAGAGGGAGAGATGAGGACATGAGTGGGTGGAAGGTGCGTCAGAAATAATGGGCTGGGTTGTGTGTGCAGTTGATCTTGTCTCTCGTCCGATGATTTGGGTTTAGCAGCGACTTTCACCACCATCACGCTAATTCATTCATTCATACGTGTGTCACTTGGAGGACTTTCTCCAGCAGCTTGAACCCGGCGAGGCGTCACACAACTGAATGCATGCATATGTAGAACTTAGAAACCCACCAGGACGGCTGCAGGGTAAAGATTTCAATGCTGAGATATCCAGCCAGACGCGACATGTATGGTTATTTAATTAATGAACTTTGGACGAGTAAATAAAGTGAAAATGGATGGAAGCTGGATAAAAGAAAGACTTGTCAACTGATATCCCGTTGTAACTTTAGATTGAGTACACACAGCACAGACGGACGTCATCATGACTTTTATGACATCCTCCTTCCCCCGTTCTTGGGAGAACCAATATTTAAGTGGGACAAAGAAAATGCATACCCAAAGCTCATTCATGAGCGTATTTAATATATATTTGCCCTATACGCTAAATGTGATATCGTGGAAGAAAGACATATATTTCAGACGTCGTTCCAAACCGTGCAGGTTTATTAGCTGGAGGTTTGTGCGCCTGTTGAGCTTTATCTGCCCCTTGTACACAACTATATTTAAATGTCCTTGAAAAAGAATGCATTTATTTATCTATTATAATACGTACTTGCATACTACGAAATTACGAATATTGTGAGATTCTGGAGAAATTTCTCTCTTCATTTCAGCAGAAAATTAGAAGAAGCCTACAAAATGGGCATAGACCTTGAAAAAAAAACTAATCAATACATCATACAGACAACTTGACACTTTCTTGTGGAGCTGGAAGGCATCAAGTAACAGCAGCTCTAATAAGTACAGGAATCTCACATTTCCATCAAACAGCAAAGCAACGTAACATAGTCAGTCGTCGTCATCCTGGTACATAAGTACACATGTAATGTAACCACGAAATCCAGTGCAAAGAAAGAGGAGCAAAATGCAACTAACAGTAATAATTGCCTCCAAGCTCTGACTCACAAATTGTCCGCAAGACAATTCACATGCTCTTGTAGATAAGAAGGGGATAAATCAATGTGACTGACTTCTTGTCATTTCTCTCACCCACAGTCTGGCTTTTTTTATACATTATTGTTACTGTGGGCCAGAGCAGGAAAGTTGATTACGTTCATGCTGAGGTGCAAAAGGAAATTTGGTTGACACAAAACATTAGCAACGCATATGAATCTGGACAAAAAAACATATGCTTTTTGATAACACTGAATTGATGGCTCAAAGAGTGAGCCGTTTGAGGAAAGGCATGACGTTATATTACTTGTATGTATATGCGCACGTACATAGAATAAAAAACTGCATGCGGTGAAAGCCTTACTGAAACCATGCATTATGTGATTATTTACTACATTCATATGTATTTACATGTAGATGACTGCATTGCATTGCCTATTTGAGAGTTTGGACCAAATTGATTTGTTTGCTTGATTGTTTTTGAATTGGTGTGAATGGGACGTCGAGTTTTCTCTTGGTACAATTTCCATTGCTCTTTTGTCCAAATCTCTCAAGTTCTTTTGACTGCACAACGAAAAAGCCACTGATGATTTCGACTGAACGATTTTTTTCATAAATAAAGCATCACATGGAGGAAGAAGCTTCTTTGTACTCGTGCCTGTGTTCCATTTGTGAGTTCAACAAAAGGTGGGAGAAAGTGGTTGGAAAGGGAGACCTCAAATTGGTAACGGAAGCATGATGATAATAATAATGATGATGATGCGGAGAAAGTCATGCGTACGTTCGTCATCGCCCATTCACAAAAGTGGATAGAGTTGTATCCACTATAATGCCTACATTTGGTGGTGGTGCGGGTAGTTTTGGCTGTGTCGTAAGTTGAAGCCACTCTTTTTAACAACCTCAACCTCACCACCACCTCCACCAACACTCACTCGCCTCCGTCCCTGCCCAAAGAAAGTAGGAAGAAAGAAAGAAAGAAAGAAAGGAAAGCTGCTGAAGTTTGAAGTGGTCCCAGCCCTGGAGGAGTGGAGACTTTGCGAACCATTCTTCCCCAGAAACCAGGAGCAGAAACAGGCCTAATGTTCTAATGTATGTATTCCATAACCTCCATCCACCGCACACCATTTTTTGCACAGTTATCCTTTGCTTATCCTTCCTCCTCGTTCTCCTCCTCGAGTTCTCCCACTTGGTTGGAGTATCTCCAACCTAGATTTCTCGTACCTCAAAATCATATTACCTTGTTATTAGGGTCAAAGATCCTTCATCTCTTCTGACCGTATTTTTTTTTCTCTCTCTCCATTTGCATATATTTAGGTGTGTATTCGTAAGTATTAAATAATGCACGTGTGTAAAACTTTCGAGATTGACACACTCCACAATAAAACATCTCAATGGCATAATTTGAACATATGTGGCTACCAGTTTTACATGTAGCTCTCGTTGTTTTACATTAGCGATACATCGCGACAGCTATATGTACACCCATGCATACATATTTATGTCATGCTGCGTTCACGGGGAGAAAGAGTAAGCGCTATGGATGGAAAGAAAAAGTAAAGTATTCATTCCTTCCTGCAAACCACCGAATCTATGCATGTTGAATCTGAATCAGGAGCCACGCGAGATTCTTGGAGATGAACATGGCAAGCAGCAGGGTCTGAATTCTAAGCCAAAGTCCTTTGCAAAACCTGAGTTGGTTGGTGAAGCAGACACTTCATTTATCACGAAGCATTACCACGAATCTCTTTAGGTGACATGCCATCTCACGATCATCCAAGTACACTCTTCTCTCTGAATGCTAGACCAAAATGTTGCATACCAACAACATTGCATTGTCCACTGGCCTGACCTTACCTGAAACTCAGATTTTGTAATGTACTTACTGCACCACCAAGAGTAATGAGTCTTATTAGCCGGACAGTTGTCAATTGTGTGGTGATGGTGTTGCTAATGAAGACCTTCCTTCACAATATATAAATGCATGCATGCGGGATTGTGAGTTTTATTCGAGAGGTGGATGTGCATATTCTATGGAAAATTTCTAAAGGTTTGCAGATTTTCCTGTGACTTTCTTGAAGTGTAGGAGGAGGGAATCCTGAGAAGATTGGATATCCAATCTGTTTGTAATACTGCTGTTTGTAGGTAACGACCCATCCCGTCATCATCAGCGGTTGTGGTGGCAGCTACACGAGTTCCGAGGATAAGGTGCATGTTGTGTTAAAGAGTGATACTGCATACGAGCTTGACTCTCGCTGCGCCACTTTCCCCACAAACTTTCCTGAAACTTTCTTTCTCTCCTCGAAACGAAGGTACCTCCCATGACATGACTCTTCCCATCCTCATTCCCTTCGTCTTCCGTACGTAGAGTCCAACTCAAGGAAAATGCCTGTGTTTGCTGGGTTAGTTCGTGGCGGTGGTGCGACGACGACGACGACGACGAAAGCAAGTAACAGTTGCAGACTATCCACTCTGTGACGCTATGTATGCCCTCTCACTCTGCCAGGACAGACAAGACCAACAAAACCCTCCGAGAAAGCACCAAGTGGAGGAGAAGGAGGAGGAGAGTGTAAGTAGGAAGAGATTATCTCTCTCTCTCTCTTCATGAAGATAAAGATAATATGATATGTTACGCTACTTTACTCCATATTTCTCCCCAGTAGACAAACCTGTGAAATGAAATACTGGTCCACTGCCAAATACATGCAGATTGTATCTGTTGAGGGAGAGAGAGGATAGAAAAGTGACTAAATCTCAGTTGAGTAGTAAGAATGTGCTTCTCTTGCACATATGTACACGTGTTGGTATACAGACAATAATCTTCCTCTCTGGTACATGTATGCATACCTGGAAAATGTAGCCAGAGTGAGAAATATTGAGGGATTTCACGTCAAGTTCGTAACCTACGTAACTGCGTTAGGTTTGTAAGTTTACACACTCTTGACGTGAGTTGACTTTGTAAACATTTTCGTAAACTTTTTTTTGTAAAAAAATATCACATATAAAACGTCATCAAAATGTTGCTAGCCAACTTTATCCTAGCGTAGACCAAATGAAATGTAATTATTTTTGAATTTTTTTGCCTAAAATATCAGTTTTTCAGGAATTACACAGCCATTTCTTATGTCACAAAATTCTATAATATACCAAAATGATCGTATGATCAAGACCGATCGATTGACACCCCACTGGATGAAGTGTGTCAATTTAGCCCGGATTTAACATTTGGGGACTTCGGATAGCGACCAATATTTTCGGCTGGCAGCAATCTTTTGTTAAATAATTAAATTAATTTGCATGTTGATGGGACGAGATCACAAAAAAATTACAATAGACAATTCGTCTCTAAGACAATTTCAACCGAAAATGCAAATATCAAACTCGAATTATTTACGAACTTTTGTTTACGAACCAAAAACATGCGTTTGAAGTGCGTAAGTTTCGTAAATGTTCGTAAGTCAATTTTCCTTAGAAATGTGTGTAAAAGTTCGTAAAAGTTTGTAAGCTTACAAACCTTACGCAGTTACGAAGGTTACAAACTTTGACGTGAGTTCCCTCATTGCAAAATTGGAAGTGAAAGTCGTCCCCATACAAAAATGTTCACTAGAAAAAGGTATGAGAAGGTTCAGATTTGTGGAAAATAGTACGGATACACAAATCCTATATGTCAACACCTAGATCTCTTGGTTCACGTAAAGTATGCGAAATCACTGATGAGCCATTTTTTCAACTAATCTTTTATACCGCATATACAATATGACATTCATGGCACCGTTTCATCGGAAAATTGCACTTTTATTCCAAGGGGTAAAACATACCTACAACGCATACAGTGCAATGCAGGATGTATCTTCGGCGGAGCCTTTTATCATATCCCATCGACTCAAGAAGACGCAAACATGTACTCGTTTTCATGCACTCTTGACTTTTGTGGATATGCAGACAATGCGGAAGGCTGTGTGTGTGGATATGTTTTAGCGACCCCTTGTTCCAGTCACACAGTAAATCCACCGTACGTGCATATCCACAAGGATAATGGCCTTCCCCAATTTACTTCATGATACATTATTACATGGTCAAAAAAGTTACATCGTTCCTCAACACGACGGAATTTGAACGGGTCGTTCCAGGCTTGTTTATGATGTATTCTGGAGGAGAAAGTCCTCGTTCCTCGTACTTGGTGGGTTGGTTGGTTGGCAGAGCCGTGTGTCTGCTGGTGCTGGATGAGAGCGGAGTGGTGGGAGAAGGAGAAAGCAGGCCGAAGGGGGAGTTGAATATCGTGGTGGTGGTGGTGGAGCAGGGAATCAATAGGCCTGCTGACGTCAGCGCTGAATACATACATTAGACGACGAGGAGGATGAGGAGGCATCCGCTCAAGCAGCTAACTATACACTCTGCGCCAGGAGAGGAGCAATACCCGGGCGGGCGAGGGGGAGTGGTCTGACTGAGGCTGAGGGTGCACACGTGGAGAAAGTTGGCCCGTCACTGCCACCCTCAACCACCACCCCCTTCGGCCCAGGCTCTCTGCCCGCTCCCGGCTGCACCACTCGCCCCGAACCCACCGTCTGCGCAATATACGTGGTGGATGTATGGACGGACGGACGATGCTGACTGTATGCATGATGTGAAAGCTCTGCTGGAGAAAGCACGATGATGATGATCCTCTATCCCGCAATACATGCACACGGGCTGACTGAGGCAGCAGTCAGAGCTGGCTGCCCTATAATATGCACAAAGGAATGTGTGTGTGGTGTGTGGAAAGAAAAGGCATACACGTTCAATCCAGTGATGATAGTGTGCTATTTGATGGTATGGTGGTGGTGGTAGTGACAGAAAGAGAGAGATAGAGTGAGAGAGAGAGAGAGATATCCGAGGACATGGAGAAAGCCGTGTGGTCCTTATTATTTAAGGTCAGCAGTCAGGGTTTGCTGTTAGCCTCACACTTGACACACAGGGTGGTGGCCTCCCCCACAAGATATTGACCTCAGCAACAAAAACTTTGTGGACATTGGGGGAATAATAAGGTTTTAGAAAGTGCTCGAGGACCAGGAAAGGAAATGAAACCCTTCCCTCGTCATAGAAAAACGCATAGGGACGAGAAATGTGTCATTTCTGGAACAACTGTGAAAATTGGTGGGTGAATTTTTGCTTACGATTTGGGTTCTAAAACAAAACAATGATAATGTCGGGCGTAACTTTGATACAGTTTAGAAAGTCAACGTAACTTGGACACAGCTTTGACATAATTTTTTTTCAAGAGCAGTTTGAGGTTCTAGTGTACTTTGTGAAAAAGTGAGCGAATAAAGTGCAACTAAAAATGTGAAATAGCGCAAAATGAAAAAATGCCTGGAAATATGCGCAACAACATCAAAAACCTTTGTCCAGGATCGTTAGAAATTTCTTTGCAAAATCAAAAGTAACGGATATCATGACACAGTGATGAAGGTGAAAGTTGGGTTTGATTTAAATAGCGACTGACAATGATTACCCAAAAAGTTGACGTTGGTGGAACAGTGACATTATTAGACACTCGAATCTTCTTGATTAAACATCCTCCTCCTGAAACTACCACACATTTCCTCACCACCGTCCACTTTTACTACTGTTAACATAAGTATAATCCAGTTATCCACTTATCTAATTATATTCTTATTATTATTGCTAACGTCGAGAAGGTTTCATCCAAGAGTGTAGACCACTCTCCCTGCTGGTGCTTGCATCATCTCTGAGTTGATCTCAATCCTTTGTCTGTACATGAGAGAGGAAAACGTTTTCTCGTTATCATTGATTCTTTCGTACATATGACTTTAATAGTTTGCGAAGAATAAAGTGCAAAGTTAAGTAATGATGCATACCTGAGTTTTGACGACAACCAATTAAACTACCTATAACAAAAACGTTGGGCGCTTTGAAAATTTCTTATGATGCTGCGGCTGCTACTTTTTGTGATAAATTTGTGAGAAAGTGTTCTTGTGTTTTGTTTAACAACACTATACACACAGTGTGTGACCGTGTTTTGGTCTCATTTGCATAATTAGTGACTTGTTACTCCCTGTCATGAGGTGGTGGATGCCGTTTCGAAGAAGAGTGATGTGTTTCTTCAAAAGGTGGTCAAATAGCGTTGAGCAAATCGAGGATGAGAGGTAAAGTAGTTGGTGGTCACTTTCTGGTAGACGAACCTGCAAACTGGTCAGGGAACACAACATTGAACGAACTCTTGAACCACGGTCCCTGGAGCTCCACCACCACCACCACCACCCACAGTTTCAAGCCATACTCTGAAAACAGTGCTAAGGGCGGAGTCAGTCCCCCCGCGACGACACATTTGTTGGTCCGGCCCCACAACATCCTGGGTGAGACAGGAGATGACGATTTAAGAATGAAAGGATGGCAAGTACATCTCACGTAACCTCCGACCTACCTCCTATGCCTGGTAAGCAAGCAGTCTAAAATACGCGTGTAGATTTGAGATATGTATCTTAATTCAAGTGCATGCATTGCCACTGTGGAATAAGTAGCGGAAAATTGCTCAATTCCCTTCCTCATTCATTCATCTCATCTCATTTTCACAGATCTCTCACATCTTACTGAGGAAGAAAAGCAAATCATCCACCAGGTTTGTCAAGTCACTTTGATGCTTTATTTAAATGAAAAAATGCATATGCATTTGCACATGAAGTAGAAAACCATAAATATTTCTGAAAGTCAAAATTGGCATTTGAAATTAATCTTAGCATTTCAATGGATTATCGGAAATTTAGCGTCGTTTGTTTATTCAAATGTAGGTGATGCTGCGTCAGCAACAAGAGGAAGAAAAAGAGCATGAAATCGTAAGGTAAGTTTTCACTTGAACACTTTCACTTACTTTCACTTTACATTTTCTCTCCTGTTCAAAAAATTATGAACTATAATTCAATAACAATGATGCCCCTATCACACGAATTTTATGTTTCTTATCAACGCACGTGTTGAAATTAATTACAGAAGGAAAGCGGACGAAGTTAAAGTCTTAGAGGACACAATTCGCCAAAGAAGTAGTGAAAGAAAGGCCGGTTCTGGTTTGGACGCAACATGTCAGTTGTGCCTCAAAACCAAATTTGCAGACGGAGTTGGTTAGTACTTAATCAAATGACTGAGGATTAAATCCTCAGTCATTGCCTTTTTATTAAATATTCTCCATTCCCTTCACTCATTATTGCAGGTCACGTCTGTGCATATTGTGGGGTGCGGTGTTGCGCCCGATGTGGAGGCAAAGTTACACTCCGTTCAAATAAAGTGATCTGGGTGTGCATTCTCTGTCGCAAAAAGCAAGAACTGCTCATCAAAACAGGTTCGAAAAGCAGTTTTATTACGCAGACTTTAGTTACTTCAAAAATCCTTTGTTATTGAATCCGCTGGGGTTGGTGACGAGTGGTCTACAAACGGCTCGTCGACAACATCTTGACGGCATATTTGTCGCCAATCTCAACTAGCCGACAACATATTAGTCGGCACAGCATATGCAAATTATAAGTTATTAAGAATATTTTTAAGGGAAGATATTTGATTTTATTGCATTTTATTGCTTCCAAGTATCCAGAGTTTGTACCAATAAAAGATAAGATACTTACCATGGATAGATATCAATTGCAGTGGCATATATTCAAAAATGCTTATTAGAATTTTTAACCACTTGGGTTTTTGGTGTGCGACCACGATCGACTTAGGCATGTGTCGTCACTGTCCTCAATGACACATGCAAAGAGCAATAAAATTTGAGATTGAGATCTTCAAAAGTATTTCAAATAAGTCTTGGTCGATATAATTTGTTCAGATAAAACACAAGATATGGTAATCCTGCGTGGAATAATATACAAGATAAGGTACCACCTTGTATCTCATTTTGTATTTTGTCCAATTGGTCCTAATATTGTTCTGAATATTAGGGGCCGTCCATAAATTACGTAACGCAAGAGGGGGGGAGGGGGGTCATGGGAAGTGCGTTACGAATTGTTATGAAGGGGGTGGGGGGTATAAAAAATTTGTTACGTAACACATTTTATAAACTGGACTAAAATTCGCCAAATATGATACGCCGAGCATATTGAATTCATGTCATCCAAAAGGTTTCAGTGTACGCATGTAGTAAATATACATTTTTCATTAGTTTTCCAGGTGTAAATTGAGAAAAGGTTGCATTACAGTGGGGAATTTTAGGGCGGAACCGGTCAAGGAAGGGGGGGGGGTAACGAGTCCATCGTTCGTTCTGTTACCAAGAAATATACGAAAAAATCTAGTTTATTTTTACATAGATATGTACAACCAGATCAATTCATTTGCAAAAGTTTGCGGTCAAACTTTGACCTTAAATATCTCAAAATGGAGTAACCGAAATGATCTGGTTGTATAAGTAAAAATAAACTGGATTTTTGGCTCTATTTTGTGGTAACAGAATGAGCGATACCCCCCTTTCCTTTCATCGGTGCCGCCCCAAAATTCCGCACAATGCATTGCGAGTGCTAAGTAAATCATCTGCGGTGAAATCAAATTTATGTTACGTTACGAAGGGGGAGGGGGGGTAGTCGAGAAGCGTTACGATGCCGTTACGAGGGGGGAGGGGGGGGGTCTAAAAAATGACGATTTTTGCGTTACGTAATTTATGGACGGCCCCTTAGCTTTCTACGACCAATTTCTAAAATCAGTGTGGGCGACTATTTAAAGTCCTGTGTCGGCCAGTTTGGATTACTCACCACCAAGGCGTGTAATTAGATATCGATGGGCTGGTTGTTGACCATTCGCTTCCGTTCATCTATTTATCAGACCCCAAAAGTTTCACCAACATTTTGTCCTTTTTGTAAATTACCTCTAAATTAAATTATGTGAGGCATGCTAAATTAAAAGTTGTAATTTGCAAGGTCAATGGATGACTCAACCTCTGCTGGTCTCCACGCCGGAGAAAGAGAATCGAGGCTTCGGCCCTGGAGGGGGCAGAGGCTTGCACATGTCCTCCGGCGGCTCCCTATCGCGCTTCCCCCCGCCTCTCGTGCGCACCTCCTCCCTCCAAAACCAAGGCCGAGAACTGCCTACTCCACAACTCCGAAGACAATACAGTCAAGAGAACAGGCCGCCACAGGCCATGGTCCACCACCAGCACCACCACCACTTGCAGAGGCGTGGTTCTGCCTCCTCGGAACCCCAAGACTATTACCCCCACCACTACAGAGACTCATTTAGTTCAGAGTACGCTCCACCACCCCCACCAGCTCCTTCCCACCCGCCTTCACACTACGCCCAGCATCCACACATCCCCTTTTATACCTCTTCCGGTATTGGACCGCCGCCACCACAGCCGCCGTCCTCGTCCTCAGACTGGGCTACCCCACCCCCCAGACAACTCCCCAATCCAAATAATATCTCCTCCAACAAGGCTCTAATTCACCCCGGCGGCTCACTTCACCATCCAAGCAGTTCCCAAACGACCACGAGTAGCGGGAGGCTGAGTGTCGTGAGTTCCTCGACCACGAAGGGTGGCAATAATAGTGGGAGTGGTGGGATTGGAGGGCAACGGTCGCTTAGTTCTTCGGAAGAGGAGTTGAGGTCCACGCCAGACTACACGTCGGGGGATGAGTTGGATCCCAGACGCCCAGCACACCACAATTTGGGACAATCGTCGTCATCCCATCTCCAACAAACCTCAGTGTACCTTCATCACCACAATATTCACCAACAGATTCATTCCGCCTCTCCGCTGGACCCTCCGGGCGGCCTCAGTTCATTGACTAAGGGTGCATTTGACGGTGCTAAAAGTTTTAGTGGTAGTAGTTCTAGTGTTGTGCTTGCTGGTGGAATTCCGTTGGGGGCTGGTTCCTTGGGTGGAGGTGGCTATCACCGCTTTCACCACGGAACCGCCCCTCCACCCGACAGCAGGCGAAGGGGGTATACGGATCGATCTAGAACTAAGAAAACTGTTCGCTTCGACTCTGACGATTTTGTGGGGGTTGAAGGAGGACCAGTGGTGGGGGCAGAAGACGAGTGGTTTTCGTGGGATCAAAGTTCAGCCGAAAGGCAGGGTTCACAAGACTCGACAACAAAGGATTCGGGAATTGATACATGTTCCAATTTTACTTCTAGTGAAGACTCGAATCGTGAATTGGTTCATACAAAGGTAGCAACAGAAGTGCGTACCCTCACGGATTACACAATGGTGGGCTTTGCAATGAATTCACGCTTTCCTTACTTTTTCAGCATCCCGTGTCATGGCGGCCAAATAGCGACGGATCAAAACTTATAGGTCATATGATACTGAAGAAAGACCTTCGAGACCACAACAGCTCCTCGGCACATATCTTGGTAACAATTCGTCCATAAAATATCACCAAATATTTATTTACTTATGCTGTTGTGCTTGTCCCCCAACATTAACATATCCTTATTAGCATTGAGCAAATACAATCTCGCAATCGGTTTTATCCCTTATTACATGCCAGCACGAGCAAATGCACATTTGGAATGCCAGCCATCCATACATTTTTATTTTTACTTACAGGGACTCAAAGTTACGGGGGGAGTGGTGATGGATGTCAAGACAGGACGGTTAGGTGCAGTTGTGGAGAAGGTTAAGGAAGGATCTATAGCGGATATTATTGGGAGGGTGAGTAATTTACCTCTATGCTTCAAGTCATCCAATAGTATTACGAAGTGATAAAACCAAATTAATTGCAGTAATTCAATTTGTGTACTACGATATGATTATACTTGATAATTAATCTAATTTGTGCACTATGATAGGTGCGACCTGGAGATGAAATTGTAGAATGGAACGGGAGGTTAGTGTTTAGTTTTTTGGAGGCATTTTGGCAGCAGGAAGAGGAATGCACTGACGCTCATTGTGTGTGGCTACTTTAAAATTGCAGAGGTTTGATAGAAAAGACTTTTGATGAAGTTCATGAGGTTATTGCGGATTCGAAACTTGACCCTCAAGTGGAAATTGTGGTCTCACGTCACATTGGACCCAGAATGAGTGGACCCCCTGGTAAAAGCTACCTCAGTATTCGTAAAGACATTAGACGACCAAGTGTAACGGTGACATCTCCCTCATCGCCCGATCCAACCACGAGGATTTCTCGTTTCGGACCAGTGGATCAAGGGAAAATCCAGTTAAAAATTTGGGTAGGTTTATTTTCAGTTGCAAAGTTGATGCTGGTAAAAAAATGCGAAAAGTCACAAAACAAGAACCTTAATCTATATTATTGGCTTTATACGTATATTATCCAACAGTTTGACCCATTAACGCATCAGTTAACCGTGACGGTTATAAATGCTTGTGACCTTCCGTCGTCGCGACATGGTCTACCCAACCCTTTCACCAAATTGTGCCTCCTTCCTGACAGAAGGTATTGTAAATTCAATTACAAACGTTCTACAAAACTTAGTTTTTCCACTAAATGCTGTTCATTCATTGCATACACAGCGAGAAATGGAAACGCCGAACGAGAACACTGCAGCAAACACGTGATCCAAATTGGAATCAATCCTGTATTTGTGAGTACACTTTCACCTAATCCATTTTATTTACTCTTTTCTCTAGTCCGTTATATCACACTGATGGCACTGATTTAATAATGGCACGTTGCATAATTGCATATAGAGTTGTCATACATATGCACGTGAAGCCATACATACTCGTATTGTCTTATTGACTTATTGTCTTATGTCACGATCCTCTTTACAGTCGCACCAATTCGTCTGTCGGAAATTAGAACTCGAATATTACAAGCCACGATATGGGATTGTGACCGCACAGGAAAATTCGACTATTTGGGGGAAGCCTCCGTTGAACTCTCCACCCACCCGTTGGACGATGAGGCCGAGTGGCATTATCTCACATGGGATGTAAGTCCTCATATATACCATTGTTTCAAATGTACCTCATACGGGAATGCAACCTTGCTAATAAACTGTCCATCTGCCCACATACGTAGCGAAAGTCGAGCTTGTACATTGACACTGAGACGTCGATGATGCCCTTGACAGCAGAACATTTGTCACCTCCAAGCACCACTTCTCGTCTTTCGGACTCCGACACTGAATTCGATAATGAGAGGCGTATTGAAATTGCTTCCATTTCCAGTTCCTCAAGGTGAGTGAAAGTTGTCTTGTGTTGTAATTGGTCATTTACTAGACGGACTAACTATACTCCATTACGTTCTAAATGAGTATTATTAATGCGAACATCATCTCAATTTCCACGCAGTCCTCCGCCGGACGATTTAACTAATGACCGGAGATCACGTCGTGACCTGAGCCCACTGAGTCGTCGAGTGACAGAGTGCGAACCATACTCATCGCATCCACCACATCCTCGAGATGCGATGGGTCGCCGGTCTCTCTCCGCCACGACTCAATTCCGCTCCAAAAGTCCACCCAAACGACCCTTCTCCCCACTTCGAAATGAGATCTCGGGGGACTTTGTCACCACCCACCCGCCGCCACCGCGAGTTCTCCGGTCAGCCACCGCAACCCCACAAGGCTCCCCCAAAAAGAGACAACTGCCCATCGTCCCACCTGCCAGAGAGAGAATGTCACAGGTATGCAACTGTAGATATGTACTAATTAATTATACAAAACATCAGTCTTCCCATACATCCAGGCCAAGTTCCCTTGTCGCCCATGTCCATGGGATAGCGACAAACAAGTAGCACGACAGATTCGATTACCTTGAACTTTGCATAACTCGCAAATTAATTGTCTTTGTCCCCCAACCAAACCAGTTATTTCGCAACAGACGGGAGAAAATGTACTCCAGCCATCTCTCTATCTCTTCACTTTCTCCTTGCATTTAATTAATATGGAATTTCCTTTCCACTCTCATATTGAGTAAACAGATCACTCGAGAAAGTCAAGTAAGCTGCTTTCCATTCTGAATTACTGAGGTGGTTGGCCAAGAATAGGCTACAAGTACCAGTAATAGCTAGTTAGTGGTAGTTAGCGAGTGTGATCTGAGACCAGGGTGGGCATTGTGAGAGGGTGAAAGCAGGACTACAATTGCAGTATGAAATACGTAAGGCTGTAATAAATTGACATTTGCAGGAGATTGACGAGCGGGCGAGGGCACTTAAGGCCCGGATGCGCTCTTCCCTCTCTGCCTCCTCCTCCTACTCCTCCCGAGGGCCCAGCATTGAGAATGAAGCCATCCGGCCATCCAATCGAGGCATTTCACCCGATCGCGAATGGGCGGATTCTGACCTTGAAAGCGTGACCAGTGCCTTTTCCACCCAAAGTGAAAATCCTAATAGACTTAGGTGAGTACATACATATGCATGCCTTCCTTCCCTTCTGCCTGAAGTTCACAATTGCACGGAGTAGCATATATTAGCATTAGATTTATTAATTTATTACTCCGACGAGCCGTATATGACCACACATGCGCTGCTTCAACACACTTTTAAAAAGTACTGAGGCCAAAAAACCTTTGAGGTATCAAAGATAACCAAGGATAAAGTTCGTACGCAGTACATTTTGGTACGCCTACAGTCAGATCAGTTTGTTATAATAATCCTACTTGTCAACAAGTGGCTCCAATTAATGGACCCAAAAGTATCGTATAGATACGAGCCATCCATTAATCTAAATGTCAACACGAAATCTTACTCAATTATAATCTCAGACAAAAGGAGCCCACCACTCGATAAAATGCATTGTGCCTGATTCTGAATAATATGAATTTCGCCAATCAACTAGCAGCAGGAGGAGATCGTTCTGGGAAGCTTATAAGATTAGAAAGCTTCAAGTGCTGCCCTTATTAGCGACGCCAATAATGCACAAGTAAGAGCTTATTCCCCATTGGCACATGCCAGCCTCTGTTGAGAATAACAACTAAGAGGCGTCTCTATGTCTAAAATATTGGTCCTTGAAAATGCTGTAGAGGACCGTTCGGTGTATAGAAGTTTAGAGGAGAAAGTTCGAATTATGCACGATCAAGATAGTCTGTCATTTGTTGTCGGCGATGCGAAGAAATAAATGTCAAAATTTTGCTGACTTGATTATTGGATGAAATGAAGAAAATTGAAGGTTGAACAATATGCTTGCACTGGGAGACATGGTAGAATAATTTTGCAAGTAGGACAACGTATGTATCACGTAAAAATCCGCATCCATATCTCAATATAAGTACCTAAGGACGTATTCAGACGTAGATCATTTAGGTTAGGTAACACAGCACTCAGTCGTAACCTGGCAAAATGTTCTTCACAATTACGAAAAATAACCCAATTGACTCTATCTCTAAGAGAAAATCAAATGAATCCAGGACTAAATAATGAACAAAGGCCGAAAGGAGTGACGTTATTGCGTTATTGCAAAAATAGGAAAATCGAGAGACTCGAGGAATATGTATCCTGAGATGAGAATGAAAAACCTGCTGCCCGAACTTGGTGAAGCCCGAACCACATGGTTTTAATTTACCATCTAATTATTTTCTTATTGACCTTCCTAATTCCTGAATTTTAAAGAAGGTCTCCTTCTCGTGTCTGTTTCGAAAATTTGGACATTGAAATCATATTATTTTGTCCAGAAAGAAACCTGTCGCATCGACTATGTAGTAAGTATCTGGGAAATTTATTGTCGATCAGATGAATAGTTACCGAGTCACGAAAGGACGAACAGAAGAGTTCCATAAGCCCTGACTTGAACTAATAAGAGCAAATGTTGAAGGAAACTGAGAAGAGAGGGAGAGAGATACAAATCGAATTATTCCTCTCTCTCTCTCTAACAAGCAAAGTTTCATCCAAGTTGAAAAGAGAAAGTGACAAACCACATCTTCACCTCGTGGAAGTCGTAGCAGCTCGATGGAGAAAGTGAATGTTCATCATCATTATTATTCTTATTAAATTTTAATGCGCGAGTAGATGGATGACAGTATTGACTCGAAAAGTCTAGATTAATTAGACAACTTCAAGGCCACTTCAAATTTTACGTATCTAAATAGTTGCAAGTTTCTTGGAGAGAAAAAGACGACAATGCACAAGTTGCTGAGCAAATAGGAATCCGAGCATAATGCAAAACCAAAGATGACTCCGATAACGTATATGGTAGAATATAACCATGTTTTGTAACAGAGGCCCAAGATCCAAATCACAATTAAGACTTTAGGATAATGTTTTCAAGGAAGAAAACTGCATGTTTGGTCAAAGGCAGTAAATCCCAACCTTCTGGCAACCGTTTCACCAGCCGGATTTATTATACATCCGGTTGGACGAGGAACAGAGATTCCTTCCGGATGAGCAGAATGGAAATGCATATTTGTAGGGATAAGTTGGAATAAATTGACTGATGCTTCCATGCACGCACTCCCCTCCGATTTTCATTCCCTACTCTCACCGCAAAAACTGCTAAAACCCTCTCTCCTCATTTGTACTCTAAACTGGGTGAGCAACATTCGAGAGCAATTTGCAACACACAAAGAGAGGAACCTGTGGTTGAAGCAGCAATGTGGAACAATATGGCAGTAGAAGTAAAGTAGATCTCATGTTGATACCTGGTCATTGTAGTGAATATGCTTTGCGTCATCCCAAAAGGAATCTGGGTACCAGAAGCCTCTCCTCGGACACCGCACCAGAAGAGAAAGCCGGTGAGTGTACCATTTTTCTATTTCCCCTGTCACACTAAGTCTCAACAACTTATTAGTTTTTCTAAATAACGGTGGTGTAAACCACGGTAGGAAGCAACCCAAGTAGACAAATTCTTAGCATTGATTTTTCAGATTGGTTAATTGAAGCTATTCATATAATTTATGTAATTAAAATGGGGGATAAAATTAGCTGGTGTGTGAAGACATTGCAACTTTTATTGTTTTTGTTGGTTGGTGTGCAGACGGGAGTTTGAGTGACACGGCGGTGAACCTGACGCCGGGAAGTTTGGAGCGGCCGAGGGGTCATCGGACGGGGGGTCCACAGACGAGGCTGATGGCGCAAAATATGTCCGGCTTGGGTAAAAAATCCAGCTCTACCTCGCAGTTATCGGCAGTATCCGCAACCGGTATGATTAGAGCTTTTACTGAATTTCGCTTAGTGCAGTTCACTACTTTGTTTCTCACTTGATTTACAATTATCACACATGATTTCACTCTCGGACAACTTGAACCGTTTAGAGAGCAGCTTCTTAGGGAAAGCATAATTACGTACATGTAGTGGCTTCACAGTTATGAGTTCCATTCGTGGTTGCTGTTATTATGATCTACATATTTTTTCCAAAATATCTATTCAGAGCGCAGAGTTAATACAATAGTATACGTAGTACATACATTTTCACACGGTTGATAAGTAACATATACCGTTAATTACTACTCTTCTGCTGAAATTGATACCAACTAACTCACTACTAAATATACAATGCTAATCAACTGTTGGATTGTAATGTTATGTAATTTATCGTGATTGACGTGGTATAAACAATGTACTTTGGTGTACATGGTGGTTTAGGACGCAAGAGACGCTTAGGTTTTGGTCGTAGCAAAGGCGGAATAGGGATCCATCGGAGTGAGGAAATTTTACCCGACGAGCTGAGGTTGGCAGTGAGCCAAACTGGATCCTCCATCTCTTCCGAAGACATGTCCATCTCTCAAGATACTTCCGACAGGTACATCCACCACCACCCCCACCACCTCTCGCCCTCCTCCCACAACCACACCCACAACTAACTCATCCCGCATCATCAAAGTCGTCCTTCATCAACAATCCTCTCTGTCTGGTCCTCCTTTCAAGTCCATTTCTCTTCCCTGTAACCTCCTCCTCCCACTCCAGTCAATATCCTCCCGTCTCGTAGTTCCAAAACCAAAGGACTTCCTGGTCACCAAGTTATGACTGCGACAGCCAATTACATCAACATATAAATTATGTATGTCGACGACTTTCACTCCACGCGAACATACGTACTGTACATTGAGACGTTTTGACTTGTTGACTCTTGTGATGGGTGAAGAATCCGTGTTCAGCCGTGTTGTTATGCTGGACTGCAATACACATCTCTGCGACAAAAGTTGCCATAATGAATGTCAGATCATGAATGTATTATAATCCAACAATAATCCCAGTGTTGATTACCACTGCAAAAAGTATATACAGTAACGTACTTGTGTAGTTTATGAGCTTGCACATTAGTTTGGCATCACACCATAATATACGTTTAAAAAGTAGTTAGTATTGGCTAAGAATTTGCATCAACCATGACCATACCGTGTTGTACCTACATATGGTAGAAATACATACAGAGAATCATCGGTCCTATTTTACGCAGCAGCAAACGAATTTTAAAACTTTAAAATCCAGCGTTTGTGAATTTGCTTTGTTCGTTCAACATGTTTCCCAGACTTCTGGCTACCAAATAGTCTAATTTGGACTTCAGCTTATTAAGTCATCCTTTTAACGAATCTGTCGCTTCTCCTATCTCTTCAAGGTTGACCTCAATCCACTCAGCTTTAGGAAGTTTCCAAACCCCGTTCAGAGTGTCAGAGCGACTTTTCACAAGTGTTTGTTTTAGTAGTCCAAATCAGAAAAAATCCATGCAACCTGCATCAGAACTCTTTATAGTCAATCTTACTTGATACATTTGACCCTGCCATATAACACCCTGTATATCTGGACCCTCGGAACTTATCGAAATTTGTCTACATGACAGATTAACATGTTTTATCGGTAGATCATCTTCAGGTGGGAGTTTCTTCTACGTTTTTGAACCAATTTTCGACAAATATTTTTTTGGGATGCTGCACAATTTACTTACTGAAGCTAAAAATGTCGGTAATGTTTACAGTCCAATCAATGAGAGACAATCAACGGTCAATTAATTACCTACTGCGTAAAATATGACCGATGATTCTGTATTTATATATGCAGGCTGCGTTATTTAAAGCTGAATGTCTGCTTTTACGGGGTTGTTAAAATCACATGCAAAAACCGTCAGACATATAGTTAGTTGATTTTGAATTGTTTTTGAAAGACATCAAGAAAATGCATATTTCTCTCTAATATGTTACAGATTAGTTCATAGCTCATAATTTCACATCTCTAGGACATATTCTCGTTATGTCTGTGTGTTGAATTTCTTTACAACTTACAAATTATTATTTGTTACATGTGATTTAAATTGTTTAGTCGAGAAACTCTGAACGCTTTCCGTTGTGTTGTCCGTGTCCAAAGTTGTTGTTTCTTCCATTGTTATCTCTCACGCATTCTATTTGTTTGAGCCATATTATGATATGATGATAAATAATTGAGTGATGTGCGGAGGGTTGTACTGAGTAATTTGAATGTGGTGGTGGCCTGGCCTAGATGGGGGCGGCCCGTCAGGGAGACGGCTGGTCAAACAGACTTCAAAGGAGTCCACAGACGGAAGTGTTGCTTCCATCTCGTCAGACGGATCAACGTGAGACACGCATAAATGTCATGTCGTATATACAGATTTTATGGCCTTGTATCTATATATCGATTAAATTAATGCTCCTTTTGCATGTTTGTTTGTCTTTGTGTCGTAATAATAATCGCTGTTGCAACTCTATCAATATCGCTGCAGTATCACTGCCACCTCCCACCAACTCACCCACCCACCCACCACAAACACATCACCACGTGACCACCATTCACTATCTCACCCCTTACGACGTTAAAGTCTGAAACTGAACCGAAATTTTGTAAATCAGATTTCCCATCTGCTTTCTCTAAAGTTTTTCAACAAAATTCTTATTGATGACCAATGATATTATGCACATAAAAAGATTATCATGCACACATCTTTTACAGAACCCAGTTAGAAATTGCACGTTAGCATCAAGATATTTCAGAACGTTGTAAGCCAAAAAAAACTGTCAATGATAATCACAACATTTTGATTAGTGGGCAGATGCGGAATTGATTGTTGGGTAGAATTATTTGTTTTGTCCATGACGAAGCGTAATGCGAGTATAATAATAGTTTGGCTATAGGAAATAATGTAAAGGAAACGTGTTTATTCTATTCGAAGCTTAATCTTGTCATGCAACAGAAGTAGTGTAGTATCAACACAGGAATAGCTCATTCTAATCGATTTTTCCGTGCAATCTAAATACACACACAAAAGTGCGAGTGCGTGCGTACATACATTTTTTATTGACATAATTTAATCTAATCCATATATACATACATCAAGAAACAGTCCCATTCACTTACTCTTCTTCTTTCTCACTTTAAGTTACTTATGTATGCGTGTATGTGTGTCTTGTGCAGATGTCTTGATTTTTGTTTCCATTGAATGTGTGCAAAAACGGTAATGTCGCGAACCAACTATGTAAAGAGAGCATAAAATTATGCTTTTGTTGGTCAAATAGAACGAACAAAATAGACTTTGATTCGAATTTCGAATTATGACTCGACAATGAAATGCAAGTCAGTAAACATGTAGCTGTGACCGATGCTGTGCGAGCTGCTGCATTCCAGTCAACTTTGCTCAATTCCCTATGGCTTACATTTTTCTCACTTTCTCTCACTTTCACTCCACCCTGTCTTCTCATTCCTGTCTGAATATATGACCTCGTCGACCATGCCTTGAACCTAATTGGCCAACATTTCACACTCTATGATGGTGAATGTTTGTTCTCAACTGAAAGTGCAAGTGTTTTGCATTTGGTTTGAATTTTATTATGGACCACCCTACACAACACACTAAACACTGGACATTACTCTTTTCCTCCATCATCTCACTTGTTACTCCACTTCATAATCTGCTCACCCTCTTATTTAAAAAACTCAATCTTCCTGGTTCCCCCTTCTCCGTCCCACCCATTTATTACTACACAACTTAGATGAAGTGTAGAGTCAATCCAATTTACCTAAATTTCTAGCTTGAAAAATTTAAATAAATATTTTGCCCTTGTCTCCTCCTCGTCTTCTTCCTTTTCTGTTTTTACGAATACTAAATTGTTATGATGATCCTCCTCCCTTCTAAATATCCCCCATCCGAGGGTTAAAACTTTTGAATGTATGTTGTAACTCCTGTCAGCTTCATCCCTTCCTTTTCTATTCTTTCTTGGGGAAACCCATGAGTCAGACCGTAATGCTTTTCTCTGTGGGTGTATACAGCGGGTGGATGCCGAGAATGACGACTGGGCAAACGACGGCAGAAGGAGGACACATCACGGACTTTATCGAAGGTCTAGGACCAGGTCAACTAGTTGGGCGACAAGTTTTAGCATCCCCAAGCCTTGGCGATATCCAGCTTAGCCTTTGTGACAGAAAGGGGAACCTCGAGGTGGAAGTCATCAGAGCGCGTTCACTCAAGGCAAAAACTGGGTCGAAGGTATTGACCATAGGATAGCAGACAACATATATTTTATACAAATGACTATAAAGGCAATGTTTTGGCTACGTGGTTGCAGATTACACCAGCTCCCTACGTGAAGGTATACCTCGTGAAGGGCAAGAAATGCCTGGCGAAAGCAAAAACAGAAAATGCACGACGAACACTGGATCCTTTGTACCAACGACAATTGGTTTTTAAGGAGAAATATGGCGGCTGTATACTTCAAGTGAGCAACTGACTCTGGCATTTACTATTTTAGATTTTACTAGCATTAAGTATTACGTACTAATAATGAGATACTGTGAATACTTTCATAGGTAACGGTTTGGGGGGATTACGGGCGAATCGAAGGGAGAAAAATTTTCATGGGAGTAGCACAAATCATGTTGGATGACTTGGATCTATCAAATATTGTAATAGGATGGTATAAATTGTTTGGAACATCTTCGCTGGTAAGCTGTCCTAACGAATTGTCTTTTTGTCTGGCATGCATATAAATAATGCATACCATGTAAAGCTACACTCAAGAGCCATACATTTTAATTATTACATTTAATTTTTTGTTACAGATTTGAGATTAATTTCACCTTAAATCTTGAATTGGAGGAAGTAATTTGCACAATGTGCCACCAGGGTTGTTATCAAAAGTGGGCCTCGCATAATATGCAAAACTATATTAATAAGAGGGTTTCTTGTCGAATCCGTATCAAAACGGTTGCTGTCGTAAGAAAAGCGTGTTCCGTCAAAGTATACAATAGTGCCCAAAACTACAAATAATGAAACAAGTTTCATCAAATCTTTCCCGAGGAAGAAGAAGGATTGATTAATGAAAATGTCGAGTTAATACAAAATCATAAGCCAAACTTACCTTATCAAGAATCTTCGACAGAAACAACGTTACTCGCATGTCTGACGAACTTTAGTATATAAAATAAAACCAAATCCGTCGTCAACTTCTTCACCAAACTGTTCGTTTCAGCTCTTTGGACTGTCTTTTTTACGGGAGGAATTTTAATTATTTATATTAATGTTAGTTAAGGACTTATAATTACTCCTCCTCCTCCTCTGATCTATCCATCTATCTATCTATCTACATATATATGTAACATATTGCCTCCAACAAATTCAGACAGTCTTATCTCAATTGAGTCGGATAATTACCTCCAATAACGTCAAGTCATGATGCTAAAAATAAGGTCTCCTTTGGCTTTGAGTCAATCCATGCATACATAAGTACGTACATCAAAATGTACATAAAATAGAAATCAAAACGAGAGAAACAACGACAGACTTCCATTTTCCAAGTCCAATCCATAATATCCAATCCAACCAAAACCGTAACAAAATGTGTCATATCTCAGAGGGACGATTTACATACAATACATACGTACACACATATTTCATTACTTAATTATCCAAAATTTTAAAACTCTAATAAAAGTATTGTTCACTACCAGACAAGTAAATGTTGGTAGAAATATTTTTTACTAAAGTCTATAAATATGTGTACAGTTTTAGTTTTGTTAATTTTTGAACTAAATATTTTGCATTGAACACAACAATTAATGTTATAATTGACTGAGTTGATTGTATTTAATTATTTTTTACCATTTGATAAAATAATTTGGATGGATGACTTGAAGGCGAAGCGATCAAAAATTTTAGTCTCTCTCGTCCCGATTTTAGAAATATTCAATTGACCAAACTAACTTCCAAACGCAAAAGAATCTTGATCCAGCCCCAAAGACATTTTCTACTAAAACTATGTATTATTATCAATAATATGCCATTAATTGGTAAAATAGGTGTTCATATATATATTATCTAACTGTCTATAGTACTTAAATTTATCAATCAAATTAATTACTTACTTACTGGAGGGTATGCATGCATAAGAATCTATGGTTCGGACAGACCATGGGCATTTCTACTAAAAAATGTCATCCAAACATTCATTACAAAAATGAAAAGATTTTAAAATTCCTCGTATTGATGCTGTACTCTGCACTTTTAAAGCTAAAATTTATACATCATATGTATCAGAATGTCTTACATTGATAGAGAAGGATAAACATTAATCTAGGAAGCTTATCTACTGGCTAGTTAAGTTTTTACTATAATAACGTAAAAAAATAAGTAAAATGAAAATGACCAGTGCGGATTTTTATCCAAATCCAAGCAACGCTTAACTATGATTGAAACTTAGGATTGCTTCGCTATACTCGTTTTAATTAATTAATTGCATCTCTACCTGATTTAAAAAATATACAGCTACTGCATACATACATACATATTTAAAGAAATGCAACAGACCTTTTGGTACCTTCGACTTTCGACGACGACGACGATATATTCAATCAAAATATATCTATGTGTAGGCTTAGGAAATAACCACCGAGACGTGGATACGATGAAATCTTTGAAAACCAATGCACGTTTAATTATCACTCGATTAATTAAAACTAAGAAAAGTACAGAGCATGAAAAATAAAATAAATGAACTGCCTGAGGAATGACGAGTCAGCAAATGTCTCACCTGTGTATCGAATATCGATATCGTTATTATTACAAAGTACCCCCAACAAACCAAACAATTTTGTCAATTGTGTACGAATTATGCAAAAAAATTTGTTACGCTATGCGCATGAAATTTGAAAATGATACCTTTTTCATATTATAATGAACGCCTGCAACAATCCATCTTTAAGCAAACACTAACCTACAAAGCGTCGCAGTGATTGTTAATTATTATTGTTATTACTGACAAAATTCACACCTTATGACTGTCGCGACGAGGATATTATAGTTATCGTTCGTACGACGGGAGTAAAAAAATGCATACATACACGGTCATTGTGTGATTTGTATTTGTTATCTAATTATTGCATTGGCTATATTATATTAATCGTGTTACATCAACACGCATGTAATACTGGTATTTAATGGAAAGGAAAAATTCTTCGAGTTAACTATTACGATTAATTAATGGCGAATATGAATTACCTATACTTATATATTTGTTATCATGATGAGTCAACTATGTATTTTTATTCCCTGATTCCTAGTGAACCCGCATTTTTATAAGAACTAGACTAGTACGTCCGATCGACAGATTCATGATAAGATGAAGGATACTATTACATACAATAATATAATAGCTATTATACATATATCTCTGTCTACATAATTTAACTAATCTACATAGGTCGTAACGATAAGAAGAAGAGGTTTACCTACAGGATAGGATATTGACGCTTCTTGTATTTGTATCGTAATTTAATATTAGTATAACGACGCTAACCGGTTGATAAGTATTACTACAATATTTACGAAAAGTTGACCTAAATAATTATTATTATGGAACATTTATTGTGTCAGAGTGGGTAGTATTAACTCTATCGCAATTAAAACGGATACCCTTTGTTGTAATATGCCGAAATAATTGGATGATGAAGTTCTGGGGGTGCACAATTTCTTCATATGCATCATTAATAATGATTCAATTTATTATTATTTCTCCTCATCATGTACATACACAGGTTGCATAATACGCAAAAATATTCATGCAAAATTAAATTCATTGCAAAACTCATGCATCCAGAACTCAACGCACTTAGGATTAGTGAGTTGACTTCAATTGCATTCACAATTCAGATATGCAACGCGAGTCTTTACCCACATTAATAATTGACGATCAAAAGATACTTTTTAAGATGCTTCAGAGTATATGCACATGGTTCTCAAAAATTGCCATTTTTGGAAATCATTTTTAATTTTGCATTACACTTACTCTTTCACAAGAAAGAGTAAGTGTAATGCAAAATTAAAAATGATAATCCAATCCAATCCAATCCAATCCAATCCAATCGTGATATTTTTCTTTGACATACATATTTGTATTTACAAGCCATGTTCTCACTTCAATTTCACAATTTTTGACTTCAAATCGTAAATGGCCACAGAGTCGCCAGACTTTTCATCATAATCCGCCCATTCTTTGTCTGTGAGGTCCACATTTTCAAAGATGGTGGTAGAATTGAGTGCCTTGACACTCCAACCTCCCTAAAATTCATACCAATAATGCATAGCGATAAAAGGTCTAGAGCAATTACTCGTTACTTGGACTCGATATTCTAATTTATGACAACCTTACCCTAAAGTCAAAATCCGTGACCTCCATGCCTCTTCCCTCGATAATTAGGATGGTTTGGAAAGCCTCTGGTTTGTCTTCGTCGTGGATGTAGGGTTTCGTCGAGTCCTCGAGGATGAAAAGGGACACTTCTCGCTGACACCCCTTGCATTTGACCTTCATGTGACACTCGGCATTCCGACTGCCTGATCGTCCCTCCATCACTTCGTTGACGGCGACGTACTGCCAGCGGTCTCCACTTCCCTCCCCACAATTAGAGCACAGCGTCTTGACAAAGTACCGAAAGTCTTCACCACATACTTCCAACTTCTCCACATTCTCCAACCGAGCCGAGATCTGCAACCCCAGCTTCACCATGATCTCCTTTGATCAGATTAAACGCCTCTTATTTCAAAATTGAAACCTGCACCCATCTGTAAATTTCAAATTTCATACTTTCATAGTTCAAACAATAGGTTTGGATGCTGTTCAATAATAAATAATACTGTGCTAAAATTACACGACTATGAATAAAATATCCCTTTAACCACTAATGACTGGTACTCTGGTTTACAACGTCAAAACCTGAAATTTTAAACACATTTTGAGCCAGATTGCTTGGTTAGAGTTCCAGCTTTCTCTGAATGACAACAAAAACACATGTCCAAATGCCCAAGTCCCGCTGAACAACAGCGGGCATCCCATTACTCAAGCCAACACTTTACTTATATTATTAGAGGGTGAGTTCCTTGAAAGAATTCAAGGAATTATATTTATTATTTAAATTGTCAATGTTTGACTACACAATTAAAAGTATCCAATAAAATGTAAAGTGTGTGTGAATTCTATTTTGTACCTACCATACAATGGATGGCCCTGAGGAACCAGCATTAAAATCAAGATCATTTAAATTAGAAGCAAATAATAATAATAATCGCAGCGACCGTACAAATAATTGTGGTCTGTCGAAAACGACGACAGACCTAGCGACTAATAGAGGGAGCAAGGAGGTGGAGGTGTCGTCAATTGTTCAAACTGGTGGCGATGTTGCAGAAGAATCCTCCCCTTCTTGCGCCATCCCGACTATTAACTTTACAGACTTTGTGTCCTTGTTATCTCCCAAGAACGTGGAGAATTGCCTCTGCTGCTCCACCCCCCTCCTGACCAGCCCACCACCCACATTCTTGGCCCGAAAGAGACGACACCTGCTCAAATCATTTTGCGATATCCTCAACCTTCCCTTTCACGATGGAGGAGAGGAGGATGACGACCAGCCCCACAACGCGGAGGGCCAACCAGTCGAGACGGATGACGACGAGGAGGAGGATCAGGAGAAGGATGACGTAGACTTCCCCTTCTGTTTTCACTGTACAAATAAAAAGGTGCTTCTACTCAAAGACGTGCACGACAAGTTGGAAGTTCTCCAGACGCAGTTTAACCAGCTCAAGGAGACCATTCTGCAGGACGTCGTACGAGGTTTTGTCACCAATATTGTGACAGATAGGAAGATTCCGGTGCATGCCATTAGAGATGCTAGGATCTGCGAGAGAATGTATTATAGTAAGTTTGTAATAATACTACAATAATATATAAATGTAGAATTTGTTGACATTTAAGTACATTTGATGTTTTTTAGTGTTCAAACGTCACACCGAAAGAAGGACAAGAAAGGATATAGCCATTGATAGCGAAGTACAAACCGACATCTCTTCAGTATCTACACCGTTGCTGAATCCGTCGGCTGTGGCGAGTTTACTGGAAAATAGTAGTGCAACATTCACCAACAACAAACGAAAACGACCATCTCCAAAAAAGCCAGAATATATTTCCAAAAGTTGGAATAATAGCGGCAGCAGCATCCGGAACTTCTCAACTCTGAATCCTCGTCAAGCTAGTACTAATAAGAGTGGGGGTTACTACAATAATGGAAGAATACAAAATACTCAAACCGTCATTGAAGAATCGATTGTGCCATTTGATGAGAACGGTGGTGGAGGAATGTTTCCATTTGATGAAAATGGCATTTTGAGCACTGGAGAACATGATGCGCCTTATACAGACTACTACAACAGCTCAGTAAAACCCAACTATGTTCAACACTCAACCATTAACGGATTTAGTACGATTGACGAAGAATTTCAAAATGCACTTGGCATCACCGATGGATATGATCATGAATTCCCACAATCTGTAGCTGCATCGAAAACTAGTCCTTTAACTTATACCGACTTGGATAGTGTAGTAGTAGATAGATCTCCAAGTACAGAATTATCAAAATTTGCTCTGGGCGAAGTGTGCGACAAAAGTATTATAAAAGCAAAAATGAAAATGAACGTGGAACAAGTTCAAGGAGGTTTGTATTCTCTTATTCTATATAATTTCTCTAATTGCGTCATCCAGATAATTGAATTAGAAATTCAATGGGCTGTATTGTTTATTATACTTAAAGTATGGCATGTTTTTAATATCAGGTGAAAAGCGAACACAATGCAGAGGATGTGATCGAAAATTTTCTAGGTAATTCACAATTTCTTATATACATATTTGTTGATAAATAATATAGTTCAACGAATGATTAATGCTTGACATAATTACATCAATTTATTATTTACCTGCACAGGAGGGATCAATTAGCATCTCATGAAGAACGCCACATTGTCAACTCAACAAGAATTTATTTTTGTCATCGTTGCGTCGACAAAACTGAACTTATTACATGCAAATCATTATACGTTACTCATTGCATTAATGTTCACGCTATCGAAGACGATGTAGTAGAGTTCTTTTACTTCTGTGATAAAGAAGATTGCAATAAGTCATACAAGGTTCGAGAGGATTTCATAAACCACATAAAATCACATTGGAAGATTGCCGAGTCCAACAACTGCAATGTATGCGACAAAGTTTTTGCAGGTGTGTACGCAATAATGATTTAGTAATCATTATTTGTAGAAGTGTATGTTTGTTGATCCAGTCATTATGTTGAATACGTGATTAATGATTTTTTGGGTTGTCATTTCAGAAAAACAACACCTTGTCACCCATGAAAACGAGGCACATAAGAAAAATGCTGTGTTTTATGACTGCTCATTTTGTTATAAAGGATTTGGAAATGAGAGCGACTTCTCTCATCATCTGTTGTTCCATAAAGTCAAGATACCTGAAGAGCTTAAGCATCATTGTGATAAATGTGGGAAGTTTTTTGAGGTATGTCCTCGGCCTGTTTCAGGCTTCGTCATGTGAATTTAACCCCAAAAAATAGTTAGTTACTGTTGGTCTAATTTATGATATGCATAATATTATAGACAGAAACTAGATTCCGACGACATAATTACTCCGTCCATATTCGTGTCCGGTCAAAAAAGAAATCAAAATCGAAACCCATCATGGATATTGAAAGCCATGAAGATGATTCCATTATCCAAAATGATGACGATGATGAATCGAGTACAGTGCCAGATCAACCAGATTTTCCATGCGAGGTAACACTCGAGTGATACAATATTATTACTGTACTCGAATATTTTATCAATTTATCCTTCCACTTCCTTATTGGGGACCTTTGCTTATTATTACAATCTCACAAACCTATGTATCTAATATTTATTGGCAGGAATGCGGAAAGTCATATTCGACAGATGAGAAATTGAAGAAACATGTAAAAAAGCATCATGACAATGGCAAAAGTAAAAGATCTCGTAAAGACCTTGAAGACGATCCCAGCTCGGATGATGATCTCCTAGATGCGGGACAGGTTGATGCTGATAAGGTTATTTTTAAATGAGACGACTCGGATAGACTTTAAAATATTTACACTATTGCTGAAATATTGTTTTCTCTGAATATTTTTAGGAAGATGATGATTACCCTGATCCTACTGCGAGTAGTAAGCAGAAACGCCATCGCAAGAGTCCTGGCAAAACAACAACAAAGAATACCTTCGTGGGCTTGGGTAAAACGTGTCCGTTATGTCCACTGAAATTTAGACTCGCATTAGAGTTGCGACGACATATGATGAAGAGTCATCGTCAAGAGTACCTCAAACGGGGTCAAGTTCACTGTATCGTGTGTTTCAATATTTTTGACAGTCAGGAAAAATTGGATGACCACTATGATGAGAAACATAGCAGATTTAAATGTCATATTTGTAACAAGCAACATCAAAGTACAGGTTTGATTATTTGAGTTTTGTATCAAATTTAATTGATGGTAGTTTTTTGCTAGACAAATTCTTTCACTGTGTCATTCTTACTCATTTCTTACTTACAATTAGTTCTTTTTTTAAGTTTCTCATTCTGCTATAGAAGAAACTCCTGAACTCCATGGGAGTGAAGGAGCAATATACATATTGTTGACAGCTCTCTTTCTCTTTTCAGCTCTGTTGAAGCAACACATGGAACGACATAAAGCACATCCCTTTGTGTGCAAGCTGTGTGACCAAGGATTTTCTTCCAAAAATAGCTTGGGTCAACATATAACAAAAATCCACAAACCAAAAAAACCAAACGGCTATGAGGATGAAGAACCTGTTAGTCCAGCTAACAGCTTATTGTCTTTTCAGCATGACCAAGATTCTGTTGACCTTGACTCTGTTGATTTGTTTCAAATTTGAGCATCAAAAACTTATTGGTGAATTACATGAACTCTCCAAAAATCATGAAAGAAATACAGTATTTAATTATTTAATAATGCGAACGCCTCTGAAGGACCTCGACCATGCCATTCTTACAATGTTATTATTAGTATCATAATATTTTAATTTAAATGTAGTTTCACAATATTTGTTACCAGTTTAATTATTATTTGTTGTTCATTTGACTTCACATAATTGGAGACAGACAAATCGTCTTCAGTATTTTTGATATTTTAACTACTAAAATTCCAAAGGAATAAATGATCGATTGAACCGGTTTTCAGCCCCACGCTTGTCTAAAATCGTTTGTATCATCAGTCGTAGTACCTTGTACATATGTAATTGCATAGATATTCTTGTCAAACGTAGGATTCAAGCGAACCTTTTTTAATGCCAGGTCTTGGGTGTTTTTATATTCTTGCCACATTTACAATACAAGGACCTTGTTAGGGAGTGTCGAGGTCAATCATTTTTAAAACTTAATAGCATATTACATAACATCTGATGGTATATGTATGCATAAAACTAAAACAATATATCGATATCAGGTACTTTCACTAACGTGAAATAGGGACAGCCTTGCCTACAGTATATTCATAGACACATATCTGATCGTCTGGAATCTACAGAAATAAAATCTTAGATGATACGTCCAGACTTAAAATTTCTGCAGCTTCAGTTATTAGCGATACAAACTGACTACGCTATGTATATTGTTAATTATAAATACCGGTTTTAGCCCGAGCCAGGGCTTATGTACCCGTTATGTCTGTCTGTCCGTCCGTCCGTCCGTCTGTCTTCGCGATAACTCTTTTTAAACTCAACCGATCGACTTGAAATTTTTACCACATCTATATCTACTCAAAAGACAAATCAAGTTCGAAGATGAGCCGAATCGGTCCAGTGGTTGACCGGTGGGGGTCATGTAGGTGGTGGGGTTATTATGAATCAAATTTTCAAAATTGTCGTAGAAAGCTGAAATTTGGTACATAGGTAACTAATGGCTTATAATGAAAAGATATGAAGTGAATTTGCGAAAATTTTTATCTGGAGGGACCCTATGGGGTCACCCAAACTGATTTTTCAAAATCGTTCAATTAAGCCGAAATTTGGTATGGAAGTCGATAACAGCTTATACTGAGAGTTTATGATATACAATTTTGAAAATTTTGACCCAGAGGTACCCGGTGGGGTGACCCATACTGATTTTGCAAAATCACTCAATTAAGCTGAATTTTGGCGTAAAGATTGGTAAACAAATTCTAGTTGTACCCACCCTGGCTCGGGCTAAGCAAAGCTGCACTGTAGGTTTTTAGAAAAGTACTCAATTTGGTTTTTGGTTGGGCCATTGTCCACCATCAGCAGCAGTTTTTTCATCGCCTTCATCATGACTATATTCAAGATCATGAAAGTAGTATCGCATTGCGTTAGAGCAAACTTCAACAAACCACATTTCTGCATATCAAGTGAAAATGCTCCAATTTATTGACACCTATTTATCTCTACTACTAAGACTTTGGCATAATTTCCATTCCGGTTTCAACAAAGTTAACATCAGGCTACCGGAGGATGGGAAACATAGGCTGTTTCTTTATGATCAGTATATGTATGTACATACATGATGATTTTGCCCGACCTGGAGACTGCATATAAAGGCTTGACCAGGGCAGGATGAAGTTTGTCTAACGTCCGTTCTCAACTAATCTTCATTCCAACATCTCTATCAAGCTTCACCATGAACTCTGTAAGTCTCCGAAGTTATTATTTTTAGTTCCGAACGAGGGCCTATGTACTAGGTCCTAGTTTTAGTATGTACGCGTTCCCTGTACAGGCTGTCCTGAGAGTTTTTTTTATTGCGATAAACTTGCGACAATAGGTAAATAATTCTGCCTTCTATCGTAGGTCATTGCTATCCTGTTGGCGTGTGCTGCCGTGGCATCCTGCAATTACGTTGCCCCCGTCCAATACTACATGCCATCTTCCGTAAGTCAGAAACCCTTAAAACCTCTAATTGTAAATTGTCCTGAGAGATTTTTGCTATGTGAATTTGCTTCCAGTCCCACTATGTTCAGCAGCCAAGCAGCTACCAATACGTCCAACCTGCTGTTTCCAGCGTCTCTTCATCCGGTATCCAATATGCTGCTGGAAGTCATCAGTACGCCGTTCCATCCACTCAGCAATATGTCTACAACAAGGTTCCTTCAATCGTAAGGAAATAACTCAATTTAGTGTCCGCTTCTCCACTTTACTACAATTTAACTGACTAATGTTGTTATTTTGTTTCAGTATTACACGTCCCCCGTCATCTCATCCGCCTCTGTCTACAACCAACATGGTGCCTACTACAGCCCATCCCATGTCTATCCATCATCTTACGTTTATGGAAAGTAAGCCACTTTAGATCACGACCATGACCACAGAAAATCATCCATGTTCCATTCATATGCAAATCATATAATTAATTCTGTTTTTACTTCCAAACCAAATTATTAAACAATCAATATCAAATGTGCAAATATACACAAGAAGTGTTTTATTACTGAGGCATATCAAGAGCTTTACATATAACACGTAATAATAATAATTGGCATGCATTCTTGGTTTGGATTAATATTTCATACTTAACAAGGAAGCTGAAAAGAAAGTTCCTGTTGTCCCGCTTCAAATGGAAGTGTAACCAAGAGTAAACACTGAACAGTCTGGAAATTTGTAAAATTATATAAAGAAACATAATATACGTGTACATTAAAAAAATTATTTCCCGAAAAATTTCGGGATGAAAGATGGAATGAACACATCTTGAAGTAGGAACAATACAACATAGATATATGGCCATTGCAGAATATGACAACATCAACGTCGTTAGAAATCAAACGGCAAAAATTTATATAAATTGTCAAGTTTTAGAAAAAGGATTTTGACTTTGTCTTTAAAACAAATAGATCGTCAATTTCTTCAAGGTCCTCTTCAGACTCGGAAGAATCAGACACCCCATTTGCCAGTCCGTGTACATCACGCTTGATAGGCATAATAGGTAGAGGTAGTCCATCCTCGTCGAGTGTTCTATCCTCATCAATTTCCTGCTTAATTCCATAATTCATATTATCCATTGATTCGTAATCAACTTCCATTGCTTGTGGTTCATCCATGGGTTCAATCTTTACAATGTTTGGTATCTTCTTCTTCTTCCTCTTCCTTTTAGCCTTCTTTCTAATTTGTCTCTCACTCGTTTCTAACGCCTTCCGAGCTTTCTTGGCCAGTTTCTCCTTGGCTTCATTCCGTTGGACCCAGAGTATACTGCTTTCATAAAACGAAATAATAATGTGGGGAAACAACGTTCGAAATCCGCTGGCTCGAACAACGATGCAGTTCTCTGGAGTAAGTTTTTCAGTATACTTGGGTGCCTTGTGTCGTACTACGTAACACATGTGTCTGTCTACTTCAATAACTCCATATACTTCTAGGGGAATGAGATGCGTTGGCCACTTTGAGTCAACTAAGCATCCCTGCAATAAATAGTGCAAACTTTTGAATCGAATCAATAGAACATATGTAATAGAAATCAATACAGACAAATCTCATGGATTTTTTAAGTTATGAACTATACTAAATGAATTACATACTACAGACTTACAACCAATTCATTCCTAAAGTGATCCTTTTTCTCATGGTCAATAATTCTACCACCATCGCTGTCATCAGAGTCTACGTCATTGTCTCGCTTATTCAGGCGACTGGATTCATACCTCTCCACCATTTCTTGGCATCCCTGTAAATTGTCAAGTGGTTCCCAAGTATTGTGAGCTGGTCCCCATCCTTTCCACTTGATGTGGTAATGCAACAGTTCTCCATCCTCCGTGTCGATGAATTTTTTTCCAACAATTTTCTCCACGATGTATTCACCCTCTTGGATTTTACCGATAGTCCAGCTATCTGTACCAACAGGCAACAAGGTCTTAATATTGGCCTTGTAACGTTGTTTTTTCCCTCTCTTAGCCGAAGCCGAATAACTGCTGCCTTCCCTGCTGAAACTGGCGTCAACAGAAACAACTGAAGCACACTCCGAGGACGAATAACCGTTCATAAGTTCGGGATGATCATTACGTCGTTTCCGTCCCCTTCGACTTGAACCTTTGCTAGAAACTGGCGAGATAGGAGATTGCTCCAGTGTAGATTCCGTCATACCGGGCAATTGAGGTATTTCTTGGACTCCAGATGACTCCTCATTGTTAATGCAGGATGTTGGATTTTGCTGAAGAGGAAATGATTCCCCTGGTGTTGGCGACCGTGGCGATTTCTGCATAGAACACTAATATTTAACATAATGAGCAACCTCCCTGAGCGTCATGCTTATTATTATGATGATACTAACTTACACTCTCTTGTTCAACCGAATCATCTTCACAAAAGTCCAACTCCTCCTCTATATTTCCCGTATCGAAAATATCCCCCATTGTACTTCCTCTTTAATTATCCAACGCCTTCAATTTGATCGTTTTCCAGACCTCGCCAGTATGCAGTATTCGCCACCTTCACACTTGCAGCAGGAAGAAGAATGTCGTCAAAACGAAACAAACACTCATCTAAATCCGACCTTATTACAAGACTCTTATCAAGATGAATAAGAAAAAATATAGATGAAATATGAAACCATCTCCCTTATCCCAGTACCCTCCTCCCACTGCCGCAGCATAATTTTCCTAAACTGTGTTATCTACCTAAAAACATGTCGGATGAGCAAATTTAAAAAGAAGTCCACTTGACTTGAAAAGGCAAAGAAAATAAATTAAAAATTGACTAGTTGACAACTGAAGGAATCGAGAGTGGCTCTGTTTGGCTCGCGTTAGGAGGGAGAGAAAGCCGGGTGAGAAAAGTGCCAAAAATAGTGATACTGTCGCGTCTTTCCCATCCCATCCTCAGCCCATAATAAAAGTTCAACCTTCATCAATAAACGTGTCTGTCTTCACTAATTCTTCTTCCGCTAAGCTATTTTTTAATCGTTTAATTTCGCAATTATTAATAGTCAAGAATTCCTCAGGAGTTTGTGGGATTTGTCAAATCAGTATTAGTGAAACTAGATAGCGTTCGACACTATTATGCTACGTGATTTTGAGATATAATTTTTGGAATATTTTGTGATCTTGTAAACAGTGAATTGTTACCCAACTATTAATCATAATTCAAAACAAAGAGTAAAAGATGAGTAGTGAAGAAGTACGAGAGGATGACGAGTGGCTGTATGAGGGCGGTCGCGGCGGTGGAGGAGAAGCTGACAACGATACCGCAACCCTCGCCAAGGGCGAAAATGGGGAGGAAGATGGCGACGACGACGACGACGAACATGTTGGAACCCCAGTGGCAATCGATGGACAGGAAAACGGTGAAGAAGGCACTAACACTGGGGCAATGGTAAGTTTTTGTAGTAGTACATCTATGTTAAGGCAATGTTTTTCTGAAGCATTTTAATAATAAATTATTGTTCATTAGAATGACGGTGACTCTGATGAAGATGATGACGACGACGACGATGATGATGACGGTGTCCAGGTGGTAATAGGGGACACTAAGCCATCTGCTGCAGCAGCAGGACAAACTCCGTTCGGGGGGACGGGTGTTGGTGTTGCAGGTGTCAAGCGGCCAGCCCCTGCTCCTGATAAGAAGGTACATACATTTATTTCATGATTTTTTTGTGCTTTCCATGAAAAGTCAGGCTAATATATGATTCATGATTTAAAATATTCCAGGGAAAATTTGCTGTAGAGGACTTTGAAACTCCAGGAACAATTAATGGGAATTTAGCGTTGGAGTTTAGCATTGACGGCTTAGAAGAGAAGCCCTGGAGAAAACCTGGTGCTGACATAACGGATTATTTTAACTACGGCTTTACTGAAGATACATGGAGAGCATATACGGATAGACAAAAACGAATGCGATTCGAGTCTGGGGGGCCTCAGATTATTAATCCAGTCGGGCCGAAGGTAAAATATTATAATGATAATAAAATTCGATTTAATTTACTTATGCTTAATTTTGTAATACTGAATAATATTATGCTTATTATAGCCAGTGGACTCTCGCGGAGTGATTTCTGTAGCCGTAAGTTTTAAAAGAAAATTGCTTATCCTTGTTACAAATTAATATTAACTTTTGAGTTTGTGATAGTTTGGAGGACCTTCCAACAATAATCAAGTGCAAAGTCAGAGAATGGAAAACATGAATAATATGATGAACATGAGAAGGAGAGAAGAACCTAGAGAAAATACTATTCAGGTAAATTGGCATGTTGGCAACAATGAAATTCTAGTACAATTAACTTGGTTTTCATCTAGCAATAAAACAAAACTATTCATTCAAACAATTAGGTTATGACTGCAGACAGACGAGAGTACAGTAGAAAGAATTTCGAAATGGGAATTGGTGGTCCATCCATGCCACCCACATTTAATCCGACAATTCCTCCTCCAAAGTAAGTCCAATTTGAACAACTAGTTTGATAGAAATTTGAGTAACAGATGTGCCCCACAAATTATATAGTTTTCCACCCCCTGGCCATGGCCCACCTGGCCCTGAATTTATAAATCCTGAGTTTTTCAATCATCCTCCACCTCAATATTATCCTGATGAGCATCAAGGTTATGAAGAGCAGTGGATGGATCATCACGTAAGTATACATATTTTTCATATGGTCTACCTTTTGTGTACTAGCTTTTATTAATACCGGTTTTAAACCTTCAGACTGATTCGTGGGATATGGGCAGTGGTCATCCACAAGGCGGATCCTCAGCGATTGTTTCATTAACCAAAGTTCCCAACGTTCCTCCTCCTCCCGGGGATGACGATATTAAACACGAGAGAAAAGACTAATTAATTTTTAAAATTTTAATCTAGAATCCTTTCAACCTTGTTGAATCAAGTTGTATATATCAATCTTCAAAAACTGATTGTCTTATAAAAATAATGCTAAACCTAGTAATCAAAATATTGTGTTGTTTAATTATAGGGTAAAGAATATTTAATATGAATTTATGAAAAATAAAGCGAATATCAGCTTTTCACTCTTCTAAATATTACTTCACAAACAAAGCATTACATTAATAAGTATGTAGACACACAGTGCAGCTAGTACCCTTTATTTGTCAGCTAGTAAGCATCAATCTTATAGTTTTCCAATCAAAAATGTACAGAATTGTGATTTTGAAGTGAAGTTCCTGTCCCCAATACGCACGAGCCGGTATTTACGATTCTTCCAATAGTAACTCGTGGTGAAATCGCATAATGAAATCATGATGAAATTTCCCTTGTTTCGTGACAAGAAATGCTTGCAAACCTGTTGAACAAATGAATTCTGGTTAGTTCAAGGGGTGCGAAAACAATGGAAGGTCTTTGTCTCGTGTGTTCCATACGACGTTGTTCCTTCTCATTTACCCTGATTTGATGGTGGATTACTCATTTTGTGACACCGGAAGTCTGCCTTCGGTTCAGCTCCTTCATTAAACTTGTGTATGAACTCAATCTCAGACTTGGGTTTCAATATGTTGCCTTTGTTATGACAATTCATTCAAATCCCCGTCACGGTTAATTTTGCTTTCCAAGTTGTCTTCAATTTATGAACTTTTGACAACTGATTAAATGATTTTCAAATGCATTCAACGATCCAAGATTTATGAGTGACAAAAACTCTCAACTGTTTACAAGTACTATATACATACATCTAATGTTGATCATGATGACACCAGAGTTGCACAAGAAATTATACAATGTCGAATCTATTTTTTACAGCGGTCGTTAGCTTTATTCGAACCCGTATTCTATTGCATCTACTTTTATCGTATTTAAATAGTTCGTTAACCCCCAAATTACTCAGTGCAGCGTAGAATATACATACATAAGTATTTACCCTTACCTAAGTCACTTCTACTAGACAGACACGCATGAAAAGTAGCAATGCGTGAAGTCAAGCTGTTGTTGCAAACGAGATCAGATAGATGAGAATCCTTGTTTTCATGCGAAACTACGATACTTGGTGTATTTAATATCTATATGAGAAAAGAATCTTATGTTTCATGCGATGCACATGACATTCTCATGAAAATAATGTAAGAATATTTTAAGCCGTACTAAGTGATGAAGTGATTCGATGCAGCAAATTAGAATTATGTAACACTTTCTGTGTGTGTGGGATGCCGCCAATTAACGATACGTTTGGGCAAGAAAGAATTATTTACGGAAGTCGTAGCTGAGTGGTTCAGGATTGTGTCCCAATACGAGGAAATTTGTAATATATGTATGTACCACCATGTGTACATACATATTTATGTACATTATGCTTGCATCCCCACGAATTAGACCGTTTCATCCAACTATCCATTCAAATTCTATTTTTTTAACATGATGAAAATGTGCCATCGTGATCTGACTCTGACATTCAACTTATAACTTGTTTGGTTTACTCCTCACGTTATGGCTTAATTTGCCGTGAATCGAATTTATTTTGTAATTGTGCACCATAGATTAATTTAACATATGTCCATCCATTCAACGAATATTTTAAACTCAAGGCTGCAGTAGTAAATATGTAGATGTATCCTTTTTACACTTTTGTGCAAACAAATTGATTACCCTTCGTCAGCATAATATTTACGTAGAGAACGGAAATTTATTTAACGACCTTTCCAAACAGAGCTAAATTCACTTTAAAACCCTAAATCCAATGTCAATTTTAATTGACGCATTTTCAATTAACCTCCCACTGATTGAGTGAGCAGAACAAGTTTCAATTAATTTCTGCAAATCACTAAATGTCATGAAAATGTGATTTGCAATGTTTCGGCACAAATGGTGCTTATTTAGACATGGTTGATGATTGTAAATGCATTTGGACAGATTAAATGGAAAGAAGGTGTGGAAGTAGACATTGACACTTTGAAAGTGGATTAATTTGCAGGACGTCATTTCCTTCTGTTGTATTTATCAAATTAGTAAGAATGTAATCCAAACACGGTGTTTGTACATATGTGTTGCATGTATGTATACACATATTGCAAATGCATACTTTATTTCGGTTGCATTAAGTTTTGTACATCCAATCCCAAACAGCTTAGATTCGGTTGTGTGATTAAAGATTTTGTGTAAGGCAATCAAGTTACTTGAAAAACATGTGCATAATAAATTGGAAGGTCGTTAATTTTGTAAAGGTGAAACGTATGCCTAATTCGAGGAGTTGAAAATGATCCACTCTTAAATAAATGAATTGTACATAACGAATTTTCTTCAGAATTTCTTCTTGGGGATATTAGTATTTTCAAAACAATATTCTGAAATGCATGTACATACATACACTAAGGAGACACCATAATATAAATAAGCTCTTCTTATTAAGTAATGGAAAACGATTTAGTTATTATTAATAACAAAATAAACGTATTCCTTTTAGAGGGTTGCATGAATTAATGTATGCATTATATTAATTACAGTGTCGGACAGATGTCTACGTCCACATAGTCGCGTCAATTTCATTTTCAAATTGTCACTGAACTACTGAACCAATTTTCATCATTGATATATCAAATTCTCACAAATTTAACGTAATTTCATAGCACATTATTAGTTTTCCGCTAAAAAATTTATTTTAGGCCAGAGATGTATTTTAATTCAAAATGAAAACAATTGGATGGACAAAAGTCAACGTCCAGTCAGAGAAAACATACAAAAAAAACTGTAATTTATAAGGAATGTTATAACAATTAATTTTTAATATTTGGTTGGGCCTCCGTTCGCTTTAAGGACGGCTTCAAGGCGTCGAGTCATTGAGTTTACCAAATTCTTGGTCACATCTTCAGAAATGGTTTCCCAAACTTCACGAATTCTGGATTTAAGGCCCGGAATTCCTGAAAAAGATTGTTTTCTTATTTCTCTTTCAATGTGGTCGCACAGATGCTCAATGGGATTCAAGTCTGGAGATTGGGGAGGCCATTCTAGCTTCGGAATTTTTGTTTCTTGAAGTATTCCATGGTGGACTTGGCAGAGTGTTTCGGATCGTTGTCTTGTTGGAAGGCAAATCGTCGTCCAAGTCCAAGTTTTCGAACAGATTCCTGGATATTACGGTCAAGTATTCCCTGGTACTTGTATTGGTCCATAATTCCGTCAATAAATTCCATTTTTCCTGCCCCACTTGAAGCCATGCATCCCCACACCATTACCGACCCGCCGCCGTGCTTAACTGTGGGGTTGAGATTTTTTGGATTCAAAGCTTCTTTTGGATATCTCCACACTCTACGACGCCCATCTGACCCAAAGACATTGAACTTTGACTCGTCAGTCCATAAAATATGTCCCAGAATGTTTGTAGCTTGGAAATGTGGTCTCTGGCAAACTTCACTCGTTTGGTTGCATTCCTCGGTACAATAAGAGGCTTCCGGACTGCTCTGTGGGATTTCAAATTTCCCTTATTCAGTGTTCTTTGGATGGTCATAGGACTAACCTGTTTGCCGAACATCTCCTTGATCTCGGTAGATAGCTTTGGAGCACTAAGTGAGGGTGTAACGTTGACTTTGTTGAGCACGTGGCGTACTTCTCGGTGAGCCAAAATGGGTTTTCGACCACTTCTGACCTTGTTTTGGACTGAACCATTAGCTTTAAAGTTCTTAATGATTTTCTGGATGGTTGTCCTTGCTAATTTATACTTGGTCCATATTTGTCTCTGCGACAGCCCCCTTTTTGTCCACCCTTCCAGTCCTGAATGACAAGATCTCGAATAGCGATAGGAATTTCCTTGCGTGTCGACGCCATCATATTTTTCTGGAAGAAAATTATTTAAAAATTAATGCGGCATATGTTATTGATAGATTTATTAAGTTACCTGATTTTATAAATTGGAGAGATTTTTGTTGTTGACAATTAAAGTGAAGTGGACGTAGACTTTTGTCCGCTCAAATTTCATCCTCTCTCGCTCTGCACTATGATTCTCAGTTTTCCCAGAATTTTCAGAAATAACTCATATGTTTTATGAAATTACGTTAAATTTGTGAGAATTTGATATATCAATGATGAAAATTGGTTCAGTAGTTCAGTGACAATTTGAAAATGAAATTGACGCGATTATGTGGACGTAGACATCTGTCCGACACTGTATACTCATCTCAAAATGCTGATGATCATCAACATTCAAATAAATCTTTTTGCCTGTAATAATTTAGTCCAACTCATCCAAATTTTGTAATTTACTTGTAAATGCATATATAATCCACATATCCCAAATTTTACTAAAAAATCGCATGCACATATTTACACATTCAAAGCAAAGTATTATTTCTAGGAAGCATTCCACAATCTTTCACCGCATAAAATGTTGGTCGTGCATGGATGCATTTATTTCCGTTCTCCAATAAATAATATACTTATGTACATTCTAGTTTGAGACCGGTGTGAATGAGAAGTAGGTAATAAATAATTTAAATTTGGGTTGTCACTATTGTTGCTGTTGTATAGAAAATTTGAGTTTGCTCCATAATTATCGGCATCTTAAGGCGGAATAGCATGCTGGCTGATGCGGGTTTTTTTGTTTGAATTGTTGTGTCTCAACTTTCCCTTCCTCCATGTATTCAAATGGCGATTTTGAAAAATGTTCACCGCCTTTCGTTTTTAACAATATGAAGATATTAATGCACCTAAAAATCAGTAATTTTTAGGCTTACATAGTTAGGAGATAAAAATTTTGATTTTTTTCTTCAATGAGGAAATATTTAAATTTTATTGATTGTTTTTCATCTATTTTATATTTAGGGGCCATCCATAAATTACGTAACGCAAAAATCATCATTTTTAGACCCCCCCTCCCCCCTCGTAACGGCATCGTAACGCTTCTCGACTACCCCCCTCCCCCTTCGTAACGTAACGTAAATTTGATTTCACCGCAGGTAATTTCTTTAACAGTAACTTGCAAAATTTTCATTTGTTCCAGGTTGTGTAGACAAATGTCGCTTTTATTGCTTCTATTTCTTTTAAACTGCTAGATAAATTAGAATTTTGTGAATTTCTTGTTCAAGAACAACGAAATCATATTCGACATCATCATATAAGAAATGGAAATTGTAAATCTTACAGGTCTCTCAACGTTTACCAAGACTCACAATGGAACCTTTTGTCAAGTTGCACCCGGAAAACTATCGTACGACCATTAATAGATGAGTACAATTCTTGACAACCATCATGCCTCCTAAGTGACCTCGTTGGGGCTCAGGTGATCGGCAAATTCGATCAAATTCTCATCTTAAAGGTAAGGCTCAATTAATCGTGAAACTTACGTCACACCATCGCCCTCCGAGGTCACTGTGGAGGAATGATGGTTCACAAGTAGGCAAGAATTTTGCTCTTCTTTTAATGTGAGCACCATAATGAAAAACGTATTTACATGCGTACACTGAAACCTTCTGGATGACATGAGTTCAATTCGATTTTTAATCGCGTTTATGAAATGCGTTACGTAACAAATTTGTTATACCCCCTCCCCCTACATAACAATTCGTAACGCTCTTCCCATGACCCCCCCTCCCCCCCTCTTGCGTTACGTAATTTATGGACGGCCCCTTATCTTCTTGTTGAAGAAAAAAATCAAAATTTTTATCTCCTAACTATGTAAGCCTAAAAATTACCGATTTTTAGGTGCATTAATATCTTCATATTGTTAAAAACGAAAGGCGGTGAACATTTTTCAAAATCGCCATTTGAATACATGGAGGAAGGGAAAGTTGAGACACAACAATTCAAACAAAAAACACGTGATACAATGCCACGTTAAAGTTAAGTCGGAGCACTTTCAAATCTTGAAAATCAAAATATTGCTTGATAGGTTGGTCAGATTTGTGCTGGAGAGCATGATGGATTGAATTTTGGACAACTATGTACTCAGAACGCAATAGTCCGTCGAGTGGGTTGCGCAAAGGTTTCAGCAATAAAGCTTCGCCCCAAATTATATTATAAAGCACTGCTTTAACAAACAGTGCTTTATACAGGTTGAGTTATGGCGATGCCTTTGTTTAGCTTTATTGTTGCTGCAGTACAGAGAGACCACCGGAAGCTGGCGGGTGGACCATGATCATATCATTATGCTCATGTTGCTTCATTTTATGCTCGTACAACCTCTGCATTCGTGCTCACTTTAGCTGAGAATAATTGTGAAAACGCTTTCATGATCATCATTCGTATTTCGTATGTACGTAATCCCAATCCTTGTAAAAGTAAAAGAACAAACGATACAGCAACTGAGGGCGATCTGCTGCTGAAATGCACCTGCATTCACTTACTTATTTATTGCTCTACCTACCTACGTACGTGGATGTACTTTTTATACACACGTTGTTAGAGTAATGATGAGTCACATTGGCAAAGGTACCACTTATCTGCAATATTATTACGAGCAACTAGAGTTGGAGCAGAGGGGACGTATGCAAACTGGGATTATGTTTCACTGCGACGACTCAAATATATAGCATTTTAGTATTTCAGTTAACTTTGTATGTGGTGAATAAAAATGTTTGTTGTGCACGCATTTAGGTGAACAAGGTGGACAGTGTGTATTTGAGAGTTTTATAAGGCTAGCAGATCTAAATATGTAAAAAAAATTGTTTATGCACTGGCGAACATTTGGCGACAATTTTCCCCACCTTTCATCATCTCATAACCCTTCTTTAGTAGTTGGCAGACGTTGCCAGAGATAGTTACGGTGTGATAACTGGGTAGGATGAGCCTACCAGAAATTATTACAATGTGAAGTGAGCGAGCGTGTGCATCTGATTACCGATTTTCGACAAAATTGTGGATTAAAGAGTGATATTTAAATATTGACCTTGCATACGTGGTTTAAGTTCGTTAGTATCTCCCTTCTGTTAAAAAAGACAGAAACATTGAGTCCTCGTGTACATATTTTTTTTATTTGATACCATCTTGCAAGTTACAACAAACACCACTTTCTTGAACTAGTTATCGTGATAATTAAGAAGTTTGCTACTAAAAGTGTAAATCTGACAACCCTATTTTTAATTTAAACAGCAAGAGAGGAGACATTTAGAAGAATTAGAAAGAGTTTTACCGAAACCAGACTATATGCTCATTGTCTCTTTATGCGCTATTTCCTGTCAAGGAGGAAAGGAAAGGACTCTTGCTTGGCACTAAGCGTCTTAACTCTAATGCTTGACGAATATTCTAATTTTGAAAGCCCACCCAACACAACTTGAGGAAGTAAACCAATTTTACCAGTTTTAAAAAACTCTCCAACACACAACAAATTTGACAGATATTTGTCGGAGATATAACACGGAAGATACAGTGCCCAATGTGCCATAATTAAAGTATACAGAGCAATAGGGGCCAATAAGTGACACGTGACGAATAGAACATCGTGCGGAGCATGGAACATGAGGCAATGAACGCTCCGAATCTGATTAAGTTAATTGGTGCGAGGTAAAAGTTTCGATAGTTGAAAGAATTCCTGGAAAGATAAGATGACAATGGACGCGATAAGTTGGCTGAGCAGTGGATTTGTGCAATCTCCAATTCATTTGAATCTCAAGTGGCTCACATTGCTTCTTTTGTACTGGGTCAGCGTGGGGGGTCAAGTTAATGGGATCGTAATTAACATAAGGAAGTTAGGAAATGTTCAAGGGGTAAGTATTTATTTACAAATAGTTGCACACCTTACATACGCTTAATACATATACATACTTAGGATTGGCAGTATTTCGACAATATAGGGTGATATTGATTGATTAAAATTACAGGAAACTTTGCATGTATACAAATTGGTTCATATTTTATCCCCTAATTTGAAATTAGTAAGAGTGAGAATGTCAAGTAACTCTTGTCATTGGAGAATCTTACATTTTTTTTCTCTTTCTCTCTCTGTACACAACATTTGCCAAACATAAAAGACTTTGCTCGTTAATCATAAAAATTTGCAAATACGATACATGACTAATTTACATAATTAATTAGCTAAATACATAATAATAGGTAAGAGATTCAGCGACGAGTACATATGCTTTCCTTGGGCTTCCTTTCGCCAAAGCACCTATCGGAAACCTACGATTTTTGGTAAGTGTAACAAAATTAATCCTCTCTTGCCGTGTCCAAATTTTTTTTAACCTGTTCAACATGCCGTGCACATACAATCTCAGTTTTTAAATTCTCATGAAAACCGTGTCGGTCACGGATAACTAGATGAAGTTCTACGCATTTTGTCATTGTCGTATTTCACATGACTAGAGATTTGACCTTGCTTTGCTCAACTAACAAAGCGTGGGGATTGTTTGTCCAGCGATGTGTGCCAAACGGAGCAAAATATAAATTAAATAATGCAAATTAAATTCTAGCCTCCAGAGCATCACAATGGGTGGAATTCTACGCTAGACGCGTCTAGAATGGGGGCTAACTGTTTGCAGCCCACGGCGAGGGGCAGAACATCAGAAGATTGCTTGTATCTTAACGTTTGGACTCCTCAGGTACATATTTTTATTATCATGCCAACTACTCATCACGACTTCCAGTGACATGTTTAGCCATATATTTTTTAAACCATTTGGGATTAAAAGTTTCCTTGCACAATCGTGTACTGGAATCGTCCTTGATTTTTCACAGACTGTGGAGATGGCCATGGGTATAGCTTGTTTGTTGGAGGATTAAACATGCGATTTAGGAATAAAATGAAAAATTTTGACAAAAATACCCACATGTGAAGTACAATTAGTTTAAATAGACATATAAATATGAGACCCCTCTAAATATGTGTATGTACATAAAATTAGTTGGTAGATAATCTAAAACTCGACTTTTCCTTATTTGCATTTTCATCTGTCTCATCCTGACATGACCTTGCTTCCTGACGATCACAGTATGCGAGTGGACGCAACGCCTTGCCCGTCGTAATTTTTATCGGAGGGGACCTCTACACATCGTTCGACTCCTCCCTCTACTCGGGGGCGGAGCTGGCCTCCATGAACCTCATCGTTGTCACCTTTAATTACCGACTAAACGTCTACGGTACGTCCACAGCGGAAATTTCTCATTACGTTATTATTATGTCCTTCCTCCCACTCATTCCTCATCTTCACCAACATTGTTGTTCAAGAAGAAGAATCACGCAAAAAATTGTGCACAGAAATGTTGGCTGACATGATTCAGCTAAAGAAAGGATGCAAATATTTCACCTGCTGCAGTGAATCATTCTCTGCATGGTGACTGGACAAGCTTTGTAATTGGACCAATTATGCTCTTTTTAATCCCTTTGTATCCTCCTCAGGTTTCTTCTCGACAGAAGATGTCAAAGCTGGTGGTGAGCTAATACGTATTTATGTATATTTGTGACACATTTTATCAAGGTTGCATTCGATTGTTAAAAATTTTCCTAAGTTTTGTATTGTTATGTATGATTCAAACAGGAAACATGGGACTTTTAGACCAATATTTGGCTATTGAGGTACTCATAACGTTATGTATATGCATGCAAAATACACCGTGCTTGTAATTTACAAATATAAATTCAAAACTAAAAATTGTGCATAATACGCAGTGGGTGCACGAGAATATTGACGTGTTTGGAGGTGATCCAACGAAAGTGACTTTGATGGGTCACGGATCGGGAGCTGCGGCAGTGGTCAGTCTTTATTCATTTTCTAAAATTTTCTTATTGCTTTGCATTTGCATACAAAACTAGGATTGGTGATGATTTTTTTTCTTACTAGATGATGCACATGACCTCCCCCCGAGCAGTTGGTAAGACGTTTTCCATGTTTTATATTTGTAGTTTATGGAGGAGAACAGAAATGAATTACACTATCTTATTATCATGAAATGGCAAGGTTTGAAAGAGTTTCTGTCTGTCTGTAAATGTATCTTTGAAAATGGAAAGGACAACTTGTAGTTTCATAATGGGTTAGATATCGGAACATTCACGAATTCTACTTTTTGGCGAATCACAACAGCAGGTCGTTTTCACCGAGTGATCCTCATGTCTGGCTCGTCGTTAGCTCCCTGGGCGATGGGCTACCGGGTGAAGGAAGCCTCCCAGCTTCTCGCCAAGGAGGCTGGCTGCTCGACATCAGGCACAGACGCCATCCTAAATTGCCTCCGCTACCTGGACGTCAATCGGATCACTCAAGCCTACTACCGCGTCATAGACCATTACAATGGGACGGATGTGTTTGGTCCCGTGGTGGACAACTTTCTCCCAGGTATCCACCGAATCGATTCGTATTATTATCAGATTGCCTAGATAATTAGAAACTAAATTAAACTAAACTTGACTCGTAGTTGATCTCCAATATGTGGGAAGAAGTCCATGGGAAGCTTTAGAACGAGGAGAATTTCCAAAGATTCCTGTAAGTGTCCTACATAATATTTGTCTCTTCGTGATTTTCTTGATGTTATTCTTCTTGCTCAGGTAATTACTGGAATCTCTGCGAAAGATGGGCTTCTAATGATACGTAAGTTGTTATTATTGAGGGTTATTTCATATCTCTGTTCATTCCTCTGTTTAACCATGCTTTTATTCCCGTCATAATCAGGAAGGAAGTCTCAACTCTATAGGTTGAGACCCTTTGAATTAAAGCAAACTTTTGAGACCGAATTAATTCCACAATTGTTGGAGAGATCCAGACTTGGGCGAAATTGGGAGGTAGTGAAGGAAGTGATCAAGTTCGCTTTCATCACGGGAGGTACATACATAATGACAAATGATATAAATGCAACTCATTTAGTAACTTACTTGGTATATAATTCATTAGCTGCCAATGAAACGGGAGCCATCATGGACCAAATGCTAGACGTAAGTTTTATTTACAAATATTTATTTACAAGTTTCAATCATTTTCGATCCACTGTGTGGTTAATTTTTTCGTCTTAAAGTTCTTCACAGAGTCCATGTTTTTGGCTCCTCATGTACAAACAGCTCAATTCCTATCCCAATATTCGAACCCTGTGTATGCGTACATATTTGACCAGGAGACGCCGGACCCAAATCTGTACACCAGCTCCTTAAACTCGACAGGTGTGTATAAATAAAATGTCTGTGCTTTAGCTATCTATACACTGAATATGCAACTGACGAGGACAATGTTATGTAATTTAGGGGCTTGGCATGGTTCAATTCTTCTCTATCTGTTTGGCCGGACAGCTTTGTAAGTAACCAAACTCATTATTTAATTAATTGGCTGTAAACGCAAAACACATTGAAGTAAGAAATAATAATCTGAGACCAAGTCTGAGACCCTGCTATCGTATAGGACCAAGCTAAATATATAGATTCCTAACCGTAGAGCTTTTATACAAACTGTTTTTTTCAGCTCGGATCTGATTGGCCGAGATCTGAACGGAATTGAATCCGGTGGTGAGTCCTTAAAGAGTTCCCTCCTAAATAAAAAATAATTGCCAGCTTTTTATCCACATCCTGTTTCTAGTTGCAAGTCGCCTCCAACAATTTTGGTCTGGTTTCGCCATCACTGGAACGACTCAAAGTCGCAACTTGTGGTCTCAGTGGACCAAGTTCACGCCCACGGCGCCCTTTCACTACTGGGTGCGGGATGGGCGTCTGTCTGCCGGGTACCAGCCGCATCGCACCGCTTTCTGGACCGACTTCCTCCCCAGACTCAACTACCTCAGCGGCAACTCGGTCTACGGAAACTCACTCACTGCCGCCCAGGAATATCGAGAAGGTATTCACTACAGTCCATAAACTTAATTCTATCGACCTGGTATGCACTTAAATATTCCTTTGCATGTTTCTAACTAAGGTGCAAACCCAGCCTACAAGAGTGCAACGTGGGTCCTCGGAGGTTTGCTCGTCATCCTTATGACCATCCTCTTGCTCGTTCTTTCAGTGCTAAAACGGCGCAGAAAAGGCATGTCCAAAATAAAACAGTTAAATGCGAAACACGACAGTTAACACCCAGACTAATATTTTCACAGAGCAAGAGTTCACCAGTAGAGAAACATCACCGGAAGTGACGGGTTCTCGCTCACCCCTTCCGTCCCCAAGTCCACATCCGAGTCGTTCAGGGAGGCGGCCTAGGACTCAAGACCAAGGCGTCACCATTCTCTACTAATTCTTGGTTCATCGAAACTGCAATTTAACAAACAATTTTCACCTGCAACCACATTAACCTTAGTGCTTAATACATCCCTTTACACTTTCACTTCCCGGTGGCGTGTTGGGAGAACTTTTTGTTGATGAAGCCTTATTTTTCTGTATGCTGCGTCCATCCCTCTTTACATAACGACTCCATGTGTACAAACAACTTTATAGTATTAGAATGTACTACTAACTACTTGATCTACATGTACTGCACACATTTAGATAATGCATTATTAGAACTATATATATTCATGTCTCTATTTTGTATGATGCTACTATTCACGATTAAATAAATCCATATTCGGAGATCAACAACGTTTTAAATAAAGAAATTTTATTTCAGGATCAGCCAATTATAAGAGTTGAAATACACATACAAAAGACGAGTTTACAATAATAATCAATAATACCAATAATAATATTAACCTATAATGAATTCATGTTGAACTATTGACAGGAGGGGAAGTTAATTGTGGCTTTTTTTAATCAAATACACAAGAAACAAATTTACATTGAAACTCGAGAGAGTATAGTTAGAAGTAAATGGACGAATTATAAAAATGTTCGTTACACAGATGATGACAAAACAATCTTGTTTTTTTTTTCTTTACAGTTAAACAATACTTTTCTTGCGTGTGTACAAACGAGAATGGAAGGGGAAGAGATTATAAGGTGTACATGTTGTTCAATGGGTAGAATTTGAGATGAATTACGAAAAAACTAAAATATTATGTATATTATTATAATAATGTTTTTGTGTGTGCGAATGTTGTTGTTTACTCGTTATTACATTCTCCGAGAAAAAGTAACGAGTTTTTATTATTAGGGTCCAACAAAAATTTGACATACAAGAAAAATCCATTTGTATTTAAATGTGATTTTCATATGATAAACTGGATGCCCTATATTTAGGTGTAATAATATGGAAATCGGAGGATGGTGGTCGAAATCCTAAAAAAAGTGATGTTGATGTTATGCATTTTTTTGTATCGTCGTGAATGATAGGAAAGAGAGTAGAAGTTTCTTTTTTTTCAACACAGGATGCATTTCGCAAGATTCGGATTGCTCCCCCCTGACATGATCACCCGTCGTGTCATTTGATTTCGTACAGGTTTTGAACACGTCAGGAAAGAGCAATGCCGCCTCTGCCATTATTCTCATTCTTACTTATCAGTGGTTACACTTTTACTCGATTCAGATAATATACCCAACTCTCGATAAGAATGCTAGATGAAGTGAAATACTGAAATGCAAACTCCTGTGGTATTTTAGTGGAAAAACTGTTATGAAATTTTATACCGGCTTAGCTCAGTCGTTACTAGCAATGATGAGGGAAATGATGTGACCATCTCTACACTCATTTTGCCTTGCAATCAATCTACCAAGGTCTGCCTGTTTAGAGGGTGAAAGCGGACTTAAGAAGGTTAGTAATTGAAGCTTCAATAATCAATCATTATTAGAACCAGAACCACAAAAACACGAGTCGAAACCTGACGTGTAATATCCGAACGTACTCTGCCTTTATTTTTTTTCAGAGAGGGATAGAGAGTACAGGTTGACAGACCTATTCGAAATTTTACTTATTTAGCTTCCAATTCCTTCAAAATTGACACACCTCTAAACCAATCGCTATCGCCGAAACGTTGCAGGTATAACTTTTTTTATATATATAAATAGTCTGCTCGTCGACTCTTTTACAGCAACTATTTCATCAGGCAGCTAGCTTTTTCAACCACTGGCATAGTCGGATTTATGTTCAATTTTTAACACATTGTAATTATGATCATGAGACAAGGCCATTTATTACATAGCATATATAGGGTACCAAACATACCACATATTAGTAACCTCCACTGCCTTGCAACTATTGCTGCTTTTGCTATAAATGTTTGTATGAATTTGTCGTTGGTAAGTTTTGGATGCAGTAGTGAAATGCATTATCTTTCATAACCGTTTGTGTTAGAATACCTGCAACAAGGCTTACACTACCATTTTGACAATGGATATATATTGATATTTTCGCGAGCCCTGTGTGATGTATAACGTGGGCGAAAAAAGAAACAATTCGAGTACTGAGCAATGATGGTACCTTTTACAACAAAGTGGAAACAACCACATTTTACTTACTTATTTTACCAAATCACCACTTGCAAATTACTACCTAATGCTGTTAATATAATACAGTACATCGAACGTTCTAATTTTGAATCTTCCTTCCTTACTTCACGTCCCCTTTCATTTTTCTGAATTTTCAATAGTTACATGATTAAGTTTTTCAATTTTTTTTAGAGTTTTTTATGTTGTCGAGATCCAATTAAGTGAGTTTAAAAGAAACATTGAAAATGGGAGATACTTAGCGATTCAAGAGAAATTTTGGGGGAAAACAAAAGTGCTAACAATATCAGAGAAGTTCCAAGAGAGGATGACTGCTCATTTTTCGCTGATAATCAATCGAGTTTTGAAAAAAATACCGTTAAAAAATTCCGAGTTGTAGCCGTAGAATGAGTGATGGGTGAGTGTTTAGAAAAATTGATGAAAAATTTAGTTGGCAGCCGCAGTTGGCTGTTGAGGCATCGAAGGTTGCTTGGTTTGGTGCATCTGCAAGACCGCAACAGCTTCTTCGACCCGAGAGCTCAGCAAGTCGCGATCGTCCAACAAATGCAAGATTTCAGAGTTGTCCATCTCCAACAACATTCCAGTGATTTTTCCAGCGACAGTTGGATACTTTTCCTGGAAGTCGTTAAGTGAAATGCAAAATGAATTTGCCGAATATTTTACATATTTTGCATAAAGACTTACATGAATGAGTGGGAACAATCGTTCTCCTAGCATTTGTTTTTGGTCGTTGGGATGAGCAGCAGCCAATGCCGAAGCCGACAACGGTTCTTGTCCTGTGATGACCACTCCGGAGGGTTGTCCTGGAGTACGCATAGCAGACGACTGGTACTTGTATGCAGGTGGTGCTTGGGTCGTTGGGCCGCGGGGTTGTTGACCTGCAGCAGCAGCAGCAGCGGCGGCCATTTGTTGTGGACCATTGCCAATTGCTCTTGGTTGTGGGCCACCTGGAACGTTTTGTGGTCCTACGAAGAGATACAAACACAATACAAATAAATATTAACAAAATACAAGTAATCATGCGGATACATTTTTGATCGGCTTTATGGGAAAACCAATCGTATATTTAAAGGTATTTGAAATCAATCAAGTACCTGGCATTCGTCCAAGAGCTCGCAGAGGCTGTCCAGCACCAGCAACTGCTCCACGAGGAGCGCGGAATGGTGGCTGCATTGCGAAGGCTGGAACTTGCCCCGCAGGGCGGGCCTGAGCTGTTGGCCACCTTGGCGAAGGACGCAGTCCCATTTGTGCGGGAGCATAGAACCTCTGGGGTTGTGGGATTGTTGGCATAAAGTAGCCTGAAATAAAATAAATACAAGGAAAAGGTTTCGGTGAGCACAAAATATAATAATACACTGTTGTTTCATCCAAGTTTGATCGGAATATTGAATACTTACTGCCAGGATTGTAAACTTGTCCCATTTGTGGCATTCGGATGGAACTCATGTTCACCATCCGCTGCATATACTGCGACGTAAGGTGAGCCTTTCGGTCTTCTTTACGCTGAGCGAGTGCCACATACAAGGGCTTAGAGCCAACAATTCGCCCATTCATCTCAGTGACGGCCTTGGTAGCCTCCTCCGGAGATGAGAAGCACACGAATCCGAAACCCTTGGACCGTCCTTCCTCAATCATAACCTTCGCGGACGTAATAGTACCATATGGAGCAAATTCCTTGCGGATCTTCTCGTCATCAATCGTGTCATCCAAGTTCTTCACATATAGGTTAACACCCTGGTAGCGATTGAGCCGCTCCATCTTCAACTGCTCAAACTTGCGTCTCAGCTCCTGTTGCCGTTCTTTAAAATGGTAAAATTTAGCGATTATTCAATGATGTGATACCTCAGTAAGCAATAATTCATTATCAATATATGCTGATGATAATACAAAATGTGTAGAATTAATTACCATTCTTCTTTTGAGCACGCCCCACATACACGGTCTTGCCATCCATTTCCTTGCCATTAAGCTGATTCACGGCTTCTTCAGCAGCTTCAGCATCTTCAAATGCAACAAATCCAAAGCATCGGGACTTGCCCGTTTCATCTGACATCACCTTGTACGATGTAATCTTTCCAAAAGATTCGAAAAGATCTCTCAATTTTTCTTCTCCCAGCCCATCAGGGAAATTCTTAATGTAGACATTCGTGAACCGCTTTGCCTAATGAAAATAATTTAAATAATTTTTATGACGAATTAACCAAAAATAACTCAATAATTTGTTATACACAGTATTTACCTTCTCTCCAAGTTCCTTTTCGCGTTCTTTCCGTGGAATGAATCTCCCAACGTATAGTTTCTTGTCACTGAGAAGCATTCCATTAACTTTATCAATGGCTTTGTTTGCAGCCTCTTCGGTCTCGAAGTGTACGAATCCGTAGCCTTTTGAATTTCCGTGCTCGTCTGTTGCAACCTTACAACTCAGAATAGTGCCAAATGTACTGAACGTATCGTACATATCTTTATTGTCGATTGACTTGTCCAAGTTCTTGATGAAAATATTCCCAACTCCAGATTTCCGAAGGGATGGATCTCGTTGCGACCACATAATCCTGATGGGTCTCCCCTTCTATAAAAAGAAACAATGATAGCGTATTTTCAGTATCATAATTTCATTGATTCTTTATTATTAACGACTTTGTCTATTGTGAACAAACCTTCATCAAGTCAAAATTCATCGTGTCCATTGCTCGTTCCGCTAAAATTGGGATAGATTAAAAAAATTAATTTACAAGTCTTTTACACATTTAATTGCATCTTTCCAAAGTCCTCGGACTAATTTAATTTTTTAACCAATTACCATCCGCAGGTTGTTGAAAGTTGACATAGGCATAGCCCAGCGAACGACGGGTGATCATGTCACGGCAAACACGAATGGAAAGGACCGGTCCGGTTTGGGAAAATTTTTCAAACAGCATAGCTTCCGTTACATCTGGGTGAAGATCACCCACGTAGAGCGAAGTCATCGGATAATTTGGTTGAGCCGCGGCCTGCATCTTGTTCACTGTCGACTTTTTATTAACTCTTTATCAAACTGCAAAGAATACCATAAAAAAAACATTATATAATTATTAATAACAAGCTAGTTATCAAGTCAGAAGTACGTTAAGCCACGTATTAGACCAATAGTAATTTTTTCTCAGACGCACTGTCCCCACCAAAAGTCAGGTCAAATCTCAAAAAAGAGAGAAACTCGACCTACCTGAAGAACTATTTTCACTATATATTTTCGGCTTTAGTTTACTCTCGTGAACAAAATATAGACAAAATAAAAAGTCCAATACACTATAGTTTTTGAATTTGGAATTATCTACATTTACTGATTATTCAAAGTTTTGGAAATCTAATTATTCATTGGGACCAATTTTTTTCTCCAACGGATGGAGAAAGACTGAATAAAAATTGACTGTCAGCCTGCAAGGTAGACAGAGGATGAAAAGGACGCGTGGAGGGAATGACCTCTAGAAAAATTGCCAGCAGACGCGGAGAGGTCAGATGAGCCTTTCATCACTTTCCTCATGTCTGGAAATCAATGGGCCGTTCGCCAAGCAAAACTATTATAGTCGACTAACGAGTAATGGACAAGTGTAATTATATCAAATCCTACAAAGGAAACATTTGATGATGATGGTTTATTTTGGGTACAATTAAATTTATAAGAAGAAGCCTGCGCCCCTTTCGTCTTCCATCTTCAATTAATTGGACCATTTATTCATTCATTGAAGGATGAGTTTAAAGTACAATGCAATTCCGGGAAAATTATTGGCATTACAATTACTGATAACTACGTATTCAAAACATGACAATCAGAACCTGCGACGCATATGAATATCATCATCATCAGTACGCCACACTAACGACGTGGAGGCATGGAACCTCTCATTTTATTGAACAGAATTAAAGTTTAAACAGAGGAGCAGGCAAAAATGAAAGTTTCTTTTCCATCCATATGCTGAGCGAGTCAGTCGACATTATTACCAACTAATTGTACACGTATTTAAATAAGTTTGCCGTTTGGTCACCACATTTGTGAACAGCTCCCTTCTCTCGCTCTCTCAATATGGCGGATGCTGCACTCTCCGCATGCAGAGAGACTGAGGTCAAATAGAACCAAATATAAGACGGACGACTTACCGAAAAAAGGTGAATCGCTAAGAAGGACAACTCCCCAGAGGAACAAGAAGAACGAAGAGGACAAAGAATATTTTTTTTTTGGGTTTTGTATTTTAAACTTTTTTTTGTTTTTTTGGATTTTATGTGAGGGGGAGAAACGGAGAACAAATGTTGAGTGTGTGAGACACCCTTCTCACGCAATCCACACTCTAACAGGACAGAAATGGATCTGAAACCCAAGGCGAGGACGACTAGAGAGAGAGAGGACGATGGTGGTGGTGGTGGTGTGGTGGTGGTTGGTAAGTTCGCAATATGGTTGCCCATGCTCCATGTGCCGACACAAAAGTTAGTATAGAACTCTCATGCAGCGGTCGTGTTACAAAATATGGCATGTTAGGTTGGAGGTGAGGGTGCATCCGACACTGATGTTTAAATTCCTTGGATCGAATTACAGTTGGACAATGAAATTAAGAAAGTCAAAATATTATCAATATAACATTATAACCTTGGCTTGGTGTGGTTGGCAATAAAAATGAAATTTCTGAACTAACCTAGAAAGTAGCATAGAGTATGTGAAGGACGCATGGTTAATGCGTTGCAGAATAGGACACGACAAGTAGTTCAATTGGACAAAGAAACGAATTCTTCTGAATAAGCAGACAATTTTTCCATGAAGAATGATGACTAATGATATGCATGCGTGTTCGATATGCCACGATTCGGATGAATAAGTCTACACCTCATGAGAGTCATTTATATATTGCTCATAAATGGTTCATATGTTAGCATCATCCGCATCATCTTAAATATTTATACGTTTATTATTGTAGAATATTTATAGTAATATGAAAACAAATTATGGATGCATAATATTATTAATGAACATATTTAAGTAAAATGAATTATAATTGATATAAGTAATTACGGTACAGGAAACAGGAACATTTTCATTTCTATTTCGACTACAAAACTGAATTCATAGAAAACGCTATCATCTGGTCGCCAAATTAACACAAGCTACAATGTGATACAATGTTAATACGATTTTAAATAATCTGTAATAAACTAAATTCTACAAAACAAATTAAATCCTGATGATGCCTCTTATTACTGTTACTTTAATTTGTCTGGATTCAGAAAACAAGTATCAGTGTATGGTTCATATAGTTAATAAGTTCATGAAAAAAATGGATTTCGCAAAGAAACGTTGACTTTTGTGTTTTAGCGAAAAGCGAGTCATCTGTACTAAGATTTTTTTAAATATCGATTGTAATAGATTAATTTGATCACGTTTAAATTGACTGGGCGACGAAATTAACGCGAGAAATCTCGATCGGGTAGGACAATAGGAGCAATGAGGGTCCAGACGTAGAGACCAGCACAAATCCACGAAGAAACAATTTTCACCCACACGGATGATGCATTTGCAGATAACGTCTGTAACGATGAGTTTGGCCTATATAATTAAAAAAAATAATGAATTATCATACATACATAATTTAATTAACAGTGCAAGGACATCATGTCTTACGTGAACCAGTTTGTAAGAGTCATCATGACATAAAGAGTAGCCAATCCAAACATAACATGGAAGAAACTCCATGAATATGCAACACTTTCCTCTTCATTGTCCCATACTTTTTTGTCCTCCTCACTTGTTGCTCCACCAGCACGCCCACTTTCAGGATCTGATGGTGAGACGGACGCATTATCCGTCAGCAAAGCATTTCCCAGTGACAACCTTGCCGACTGTGACGCAGTCGAAGTTCGAATGGAGGAGTACAAGACGCACGCGATGAAAAGTATGAGCCCCACAATGCTTTGGGTGTCCATTCCAGGTGTACCCTTCTCGTCTGGTAATAATCGGGGCTTGCAGGTGACATCTACAGATGCATGCATTCAAAAAGTCATTATTGCATCATGATTATAATAATGTAATAATATGCACACATTGTATTCATCTTGACAAACTTACTTTCCGAGTTGTTCATTGCTGACCAAGTAAGATACATGATATATACACAAACTGCTGATCCTTGTAGTAATCCGGATGTTGGGCTATATTCTTGAACTTTGGGTAGAATGGAAATAATGCTCAGCGCCATGCAAATCAACAGATTGAATATGATGAAAAACTTGTTTAATCCACATGGATTCTGAAAGTTTGTACAACAAATTAGCATGATTATAATTAAATTAATGCACGAGCAATCTTTTATATAGGCATACCGTCCCGTCTCCAGTGTAGAAGTTCCAGAAAAGTACTACAGCAGCAATGACTACACCATATCCAAATCCAGTTGCAGAAAGCAGGGCACAGTACCTGATATATGTACAACATAATCTATACTAACATATTTTTAGAAACCTGCCATTTGCATTGATTGGATCATGACAGCAATAATAAAATAATAAGATAGAATCTTGATTTACCAGCCTCTAGATTCACTTTCTTCGTATTGACTGATCCAATTTTCTGCCCAGGAATGAGCAAAGTCAACAATCAGTATAAGTTGGATGAGGATGAACGCGAAACCTCCAATCATTCCAAAATACATCCAAGTAGTTCCGAACGATCCGCGTGGGATGAAGAACGCTTTAAATCAGAGAGAAAGTTAGATACATAGTTATTAATTGGATAACATATTTGTAAAACGATGTAGTTTACACGAAGTAAATTTTTATGTAAACATAATTGATGAATTGGGTTACCTCCTACACATATTCCAATTATGATGAGGTATTTGATACCCCAAAATCCATTTTGAATTCCAGCTCTCGGATCCTTCGAGGTCTTCACCCCTATCGTTAGCACTGCCATGAGCGAGAAGAAACAGGTGAGGGCAAAGCAGACTCTGTACACAGCAAGATATCCAACGACTTCCGAGCATTTGAACCCCAAAGAGGTAGAATCTTCATTTTTGCAAAACGGAACTCCTGCCAAAGTGTCCTGAAGACCTGGACTCAACATGATGCAGCAAACCACCACGCCCACCAATAGCATCACAGCATACATGATTCTTGTTGAGGTTGAATTTTTGCATGAAGGACAAGCAGCACAACAGAGGCTGCAAGCTGCACTTCCGCAACAGCAGGCCAGCTAAAGTTTTAATTAAAGAAAAGACAGAGAATTTCATTTAGCATGCACGTACATAGATGTATGTGAATTGGTCGAGAAACAATTTTAATATACCTGTGTAAGACCAAGTGCTCCTAAGACTGCGCCCATGTTGTCCTATTTATTAACCTTTTAAAAACGGATTCCACCAATAAGGTGGAGGGCGATTTCGATCTCTTGGCGACGGACTACACCAATAAGGTGTAGGCCAAATTTTTCGCCTTGGCGACGGACTACACCAATAAGGTGTAGGCCAACTTTTTCTCGTTGACGACGGATTCCACCAATAAGGTGTATGGTTACAGAATTCCGTTGAGACTGGGCTACATCAATAAGGTGTAGGAAAAAAATAAAAATAAAGTGACGAAGAAAATTTTCTCAGCTGCTCCATTCTTTCCTCCTTATTTATCGTTGGACTTTCTTCACGCTTGAACTGCAATTTTTGAGGGGAGAGCTGTAATTGGGGGAGTAATTGCATCGTGCTGAACATACAGCCAGCCAAAATTCCAGAAAAGATAGGAAAATATCCAGTAAGTGTTGTATATTTTGTTGTAATATGTATGTGCATAAATGTTAAATATTCCTCGAATATCGACTCAAATTTATTTCACGTTTCAACAGGTACTCTCAACTTTCGGAAATCATGGCTATGCAAATATCGGAAGGTGATGACGACGACCTCTACTACGACGCTGCTTCAGAAGATGATTTTGAAGCTGAGGACGAGTCTGACAGCGATATTGACGAGGTTTAATATTCTTTTCGTTTGTGACCATTCCTCGGATTATGACCTTGCTCTACTTGTTAGGATGAAACCATAAACTGGGATGAAGAATTTCGTCCACCCGTGCATAATTTCCAAGGTCCAGATGATCAAATAAAGGATGATTTTCGCCACCACTTTGGAACATCTCTAGACATTCTCAGAAAATTCATTGATGACTCCATGGTCGAAAAGATAGCTGTGGAGTCGAACAGATACGCTGAGCAAGTGAAGCGAACCTCTCCCCGTGCATTTATTGGTTGGACCCCAGTCACTGCTGCTGATATCTGGCGCTTTCTATCTCTTATTTTGGCCATGACGCTTGTTAAAAAATCATCTTATAAAGAATACTGGTCCACAGACCCCTTAGTTTCGACCACATTTTTTCCTTCTGTCATGAGTCGAGATAGGTAATCTTATATAAATATGTACATATCAATATATGCATTTATCACACATTTTTCATTCTGTACTAGATTTATATCCATTTTGAGAGCTCTCCACTTCGTAAATAATGAAACCGTGCCACAAACCAACCAAGATCGCTTCATTAAACTCGGAAGTTTTATGACCGACCTGCTGATGAATTTTCAACGCGCAATTCATGCCGGAAAAGTTCTATGTATAGACGAAAGTTTAATTCCATTTAAAGGCAGGTTATCCTTTAAACAATATAACCCGAAAAAAAGGTCAAGATTTGGAGTGAAGTTGTTCCTCGTCGTGGATAGCGCAATGCAATTTGTTCTCGATGTTCTTCCATATCAAGGCAAGAGCACGCAGATAACTGACCGCTCGTGGATTTCTCTTGTTGGATTCGGGGGAGCCGCCGTTCTGACTCTTTTGCAGCCATACTTAGATGCTGGTCGTCGCATCATAATCGATAACTGGTTCCACAGCCTCAAATTAGCAAGGATGTTGAAAGATCGTCTCACGTATGTCTTGGGGACTGTACAAAAAAGACGGAAAGGAATTCCAAGAGGTGCAAGGATGACTCGAAAACTCAGAAAAGGAGAGGTTGAAACCTTTAGTGATGGAGACGTTTTGATAGAAAGGTTGGTGAAATATTTCTATTTATTTTTTTTCAAAAATTTAGAACCTCTTTGTACATACAAGATGGCAGGACAGGCGGGAAGTGCTTATCCTCAACACTTTCATGCCCCATGGAATGACGGAATGGCCCTCCACCAACCCCAACAACCAACGAATGAAGCCAGATACAGTTTTACTCTACAACAAGACCATGGGTGGGGTGGACAATGTCGACAAAACGATAAAACCCAACCAAAGTCTCCGCAAGTCATACAAGTGGTATAAAAAGGTCGCATTTTATTTGGTCGAGCTCTCGGTATATAATTCAATGATTATGTACAATACGACCCAAAACGATCAAGTTGGATTCCGCCGTCTTAATTACGAAGTGTTCGTCAAATCAATAATCCACAACATTCTCACGAAGTTCCCCGTAGCACGGAAGCCAAGAGGAAGACCTTCCCAAAGCCGTGTCTCAGTACCCTTAGCGAATATGCATATTCCAGAACGAGTTATGAAAGAAAACGGTTACCCAAGCAAATCCGATTGTTTCCACTGCAAAACAAAATTGGGGAAGAGGACGATTACGCAGTTCAAGTGCCTTGCTTGCGAGAAACGTTTGTGCATTGGTAGCAGCGTCTTCAACTGTTTCAAATTTTATCATGACGAAATGGTAAGTCGAGAATATGCTGTTTATCTTTGCTGAGAATTTATGTAGTGTATTCACAAATAGTTGCAGTTATCGCAGCAGCAGGTATCGCAGCAAGTAGTGCCACTAGCGGATCGCAACGAGTCACAGAACACTGGACAAAATTCACCACGTTACGATTACAATAACTTGTTTGAAATATATAATGCATCCCAAAATCATGATAGTAATGTCATCAATGATGATGATTTACTGTTCGTTTAGTTAATTGTTGTACTACTATGAAAATCAAATCCCACTGTCATGTCAAAAATTTATAGTGTGTGCCATTTGGCTCAGTTATATTGTTGATTTATAATTGAAATTTCATGTTCAAAAAGTGTATAATGTTCTAATTATTGTTCGCGAATCAGTTCTTGGTTCGTAATAAATCAAAACTGCATAAGCAGAATATTCAAAATCGGTTTGCATTAATTCAGTCCCCAACTGATTTTATCACCGCCCCACAACTCGGTCTCAATGGTATTTTGCACCCCAGAAAGTCCGCCCTCAAGAGCAATAGAAACCATTTTAAATTCCGTTTTTAAATGGTATCCAGGTCAAAATTAATTAGTTTTTATAAGGTTAAATGGCACTCGTCAATGTCCCCTTGCAGTGATGGGTACTGTTCAATAAACATATACAATAATCAGTGTAACTACGATATCCGCAAAGTCTAATTAAAAAGCATCTTAAATCAATGGACATTTAAAAACTAACATTGCTTTTTCAATGGAATAATTTTAAAACTACTTAAAGACTTCAGCTAGTAGTTGAATCAAATTAGATGTCCGTCGCATCACATTAAACGTCATACCAACATTCAATTCACCCTTACTTTTGAATAAAATTATAAACAGAAGGACTTATTACTTTAGTTTATTTTGACCCAAGGTCCTGAAATTTCAGGACCTTGGTTTGACCAAAGTCAGTCAACCCTTTTGAACTCTACATAATTTGTAATTATTATACAGTTAACAAATGAATTGTTAACTGTATAATAATTAAATTAATCAATTAACAGCAAACAACTTCAAAATTGGATTCTAATAATGGCAAATAATAATTTGTAATATAAACTTACAGGAGTGAGAAGATTTACTAAATAGCAGTTTGGTTTTTGATTTCTTCTCTCCCTTCGATTTGTCAACAAATCCAAAAGTTATTTTATAGTCTTGTTTAATATTGCTGATAATAATTATGATAACGGTGATTGTTTTATTATAATTTTATAATTCAACTCACAATTGCACAAAGGACAAACAGCAGAGTTTGTTTGGTTTTGTTGTCATCTGTTTGTGAGTCAGCGTTATTACGTAGAGCGTTTTGCGTCTCACTTTCTTTCTCCACTCCTCGCATCCATCGCTCTCCCGTCCGTGCTCCTGCTCGTCCTGCTTTCCCCACTTTCACCAAAGAGATCGCCTCCGTCCAGCCATGCTCACCCACACGTCGCAAATTTCAAAACGACGCCCAAAAGTCACTTCCCCAACAAACTTAACTTATCAACGTCTTATTTTATTTGTGCCATCCAGCTTTCCGCTATTATTAGCTTGATGAGTATCACGTACATTTTACTTGGCTAGTTTTATGCAACACGGGAATATAATTGATAATTTTTATACAGATAAATCTGTAGCATGCAATAAAGTATTGGACACGCTGAAAAATGCAAGTTTTAGACTGGCAACTTTTTTTACTTTTTATTTTATTTTATAAATTCCACCAGACTTTTTGCTGAGCTGTACCTATAGAATAAAAGGATTGGCCTGCACTCTGAGGATGAGTCTTCTTACACATGTATTCCATGCAGCACGAGGACAAAGTTGGCACGAACGTCTTCTAAATCCAAGAAAAAGCATAAAAAATTCATTCAATGTTTTCTGCTTTCACAGTGGAGTAAAATGTCACCCTGATGCCGAGCCGCACACACTTATCCCATCTTCCTAAAAGGTGCAAAGTAATTCTTTCTTCGCAGGATAAAGGATGAGGCACGAATAAGAAGAGTGGAACAACTTTGGGACGACGTCAAAACAGGTCAAGAATCAACACGTGAAGGTGTTGTGAGGATCTCAACGACAATTCCATGTCATCACATACATTCCATCAATGCAGTGTTGAATAAGTAACCCAATATATCACGACGAGATCACGGCCAACAAAAATCAAGACTCATCATTTTCCGTACAATCATCATCCATCACGAGCAGAAGAGGAGGAAGGACTGAGCCCCATTATCAGAAAGTAGTTTTAGAAGAGACACAAAAATTCATATTTTATTCATACCACTTTCTCCAGAGTCGAATAAGAGAAATTTTTGCCTAAATTAAGTCCGTATGTGTACGACGATGGCATTGGCAGTTGGGTGGAAAGTGAGTATGGGATGGTACATGGAAGAAGACAGCAAAGTTGCAGCATTTCTCTTTGCTTTCCTCTACTTTCTCCAGTTGTGGTTGATTCTTAGGTAACGAGAATAATCTTCGGCTGGAGGCAATCTCTCACTTCACATTTCCATACTTTTCAGCCAAATAAAAGAGAGAGCAAAGTTGGAAACGAAAAAGTGCAAGACTTTTTCATATATGATGATGTTCACTCTTCTAATAAAATAATAAAGCTTTTTCTACCCAAACTTTATGCAAGGAAATATATTGGAAGCGTAAATTGTTATTTATCAGTCATACATAAGATACGAAATTCAATTTTTGACGTAACAGTGTGACATTAATCCAAAGTGATTGGTGAAAGAGAAATTCAGATAAATACTGAAATATTTACAACTCACGTTCGGGTGATTTTTTGTACTAACGAACTTTTTATTGGAATTAGGGTATAATGAACTTGCATTAACATTCTCGAGTCAAGGAATTGAACTAAACTCGATTAATATTTTTATTTAAAAAAAGTTTCTAGTTTCACTTATTTGTTTCAAAATAATTTGTTTTAAATAGTTAAACTCATCTGTATCCTTACGTCTCATAGAGATCTAATACATAAATATGCACATACATTGAATGACGATGATAGCATCTCTAAGCATGTTTTTACATAACCTCATTTCAAGGCAGACAAATCGCCAATATGCCCATATTACACAAAAAGTAAGTGGGTTCTGCATAAAACAGTCCACTGCAACATAACACACACAAACACACACGCAGTTATTCTTGGTAATTCAATTTCGCTAAAATGTTTTACATGTTGTAATCAAACTAATAAATCGATGGGATTGTAATGAGAGCCTGGCTCGTCTGGGCTGAAGAGACGATGAAAAGACTATTGAGCGATATTTCATCTTCATCCTCAATTACTTCTTCGTCTCTTGCTCCGCCGCCCAACGACGTGGCGTTCCAGCCGACGCATGACATGGCGTTGTCGGGTAGGTTAGGTTATAAATGCCCTCTGGCTATTGGTTCTAATGTAACACTCGAGTTGGATGATGAAAGGATTCTGAAACACGACAAAGGTGCTACAGAGTTACAGACATGTTACAGATGTACACAGATCCACGGTGAATAATTTTGCATGAAATCCTCAAAGGAAATTTTTGTTTTGCATGAACGTGTTTGTTTTGTGATTTACATACATATACGAGTACTGTATGTACATTCTCATCGTCTTTTTCAGCTAATTTACGTATGGAGAGAAGAAAATTTCGACATGATTAGAATTTTTGAAAAACATTCCTCACCCAAGTTTACAAAGCGAGCAAACAAAATCAATTGAGAAACGTATCACATTTATTTCAATAACTTTAAACGGCTCCTACATACTTTATTAAATAAATATTACGCAAGCATCGTTCCCCTAATTTAAACAAATCCTGTTATGAAAACCTACCAGTTTTACTTTCACATTGGTAAACCCCATGTGAAAAGTAAATAACTGGTGAATGGAGCAGTCTAAGAAAAAGGATGTGAAGTCATTTACTTTACCAGACACAACCAATTGACTTGCTTGGTTATGCTATATAATAAATACATATGTATGTATGTTGATGACTATTCTGCAGATCTGCTGTTGCGTTGGTGTTGTAATGATCATTTCATCAAGAAAATGGAAACCCCTGCATACAATACGCAATTTACAATTTCAACGTTTCAGCAAGACGAGAGAATGCAAATAAGTTGGTTGTAAAGAGTACCTTGTCCTACAATGATTGTTACTTCGTTGAGCTGATACGGATTCGTGTGCTATTCGAAATAGCAGCCCTTCACTCTCGCTTTGTTCCACGATTCTGCCCCACTGCTACGATTGTCATGTTCTGCGATGGCTTCGATCACCAATGCAATGCCCACTTATTGCGGTTGCCTACTTAACTTGCATCGTACTTACGAGCAACAAAGAGGAAATGTCAAAGCGTGCATGGGGATTGCATCCTTCCAAATGACATGCATCCGCAAATTCTGAAGAGTATTATGATGCAGCCTATTGTTATCCATCAGTTGGTCAGTGCACAAGTGCTGCAATGACGTAAAAACTTAGAGGTGATTGATTATTATAATTATTATTTAGAAGCGGGGCTACTTTGTCCCTTCATATCTTCGTATTTCAAAAGGAACGCACTAACAGATTTTCTCACTCGGTTGTATAAAAACACGATACAGTTTTGTGAACAATATTGACAAAAGTTACCTAATTCTCAAAGTTCTCCTCCTCTGACTCTTAAAGCTCTTCTACATATGTAATAAACAAATTATTAAATTCGACAGACATTTATTCGGCTTTGTAAGTTTTGTTGTTATTGCAAACATTAGTCTTAGCTTAAAAAGCAAGGAATATGTAATTGAAGATCAACTCTATCAACTCATTGTGAGGTACGTAAAAGAGAGAAAAAGTTCAAATCAAATTGATCGCATGAAAATTGACTATCACGCCAGAACAAATTAATAACTAACGCAATTTCATTTCAAATGAAAGTCTATTCCAGCGGATAAAAGAGTTCTGCTGAATACAAATTACTAAAGAAAAGTTGTTCTAAAGAGTTTTGCAAAAAGTTACTTTCTATCATATTTTTACAATGCAGAATTTTGACACTCCAAAGTTTTTACAAGTTAAATCATCACACTTTCATTACAATCCATAATACGACCTTTATAAATCCAGTCAAACAAAAATCACCTTTTTCTGCACCTTCTGGATAAAAAGACCTTGAAAACTGCCAGGATCAACTAATCAAGAAGTGGATATTGGAAACCTGTGAAAGAAAGAAGATAATAATTGGAAGTGGGTGTGAGTGAGCATATGCAATGCATGGAATAATATTGAAAATGTTAAGAGCCGAGATGCGGAGGTGGAGCCCAGAAACGCTTCTTCTGATGACCATCGTCATAGTTCAATCAATTTATTTCTCCAGCTGCGAAGAAATTAGCCAAGCTCCAGAAGGACGTAAGCTTCTTTCAACAGCACCACCATCGACGACTGGGGTGCTAACAATAGATTCGATGAAAGTGGGAGGAAGACAAGATGATGATGCTCTATTGAAGTTATCAAACTCAGATTCAGGTAATAACTAATAACGGAAAACAATTGGCACGTTGGAGGACCCAGCTAATCATAGCCACCCTGGTCGAATCACGTACGTACGTACGTAAGCGTGGAAAGAATAGGGAGACGCACGAAAGACATGCATTAAATTGCTGAGAGGGAATAACAAAGCGTTTCAAGTGTAAATTATTCACAGTGGTGCTGCTGCTTGTACGGAAATTAATTTTCTACTGGCTTAACATAAGAGTGAGACAATAAAGTCCTTACAGAACAAAGTTCAAACAAGTTTGGTATACGTAGATTGGTTGAAAGGTCATAGTGCTACAATTATGTCGAGCATAATGTCCATGGTTTAAATCCAGAGTTGATTGATACCGTTATTCCTATTCTATGTTGATTAATGCCTCCCTGAAGCATAAAGCGTAGGAATAATTTCGTTGTCTTTTGTATATGTACCTCCAGCAGATTTCTTTAATGACAAGAAAATTGCCTTTAGGTAATTGTCGCTCATAAATATACGAGATGAAAACTCGAAGTGTGAGAAATTGAAATCCAGTGTCATTTGATTAAACTTCATTCATACAACAGTTGTGATTATTTCATATCTTTTTTGTTTGTTTTTAAGCTTGAAATAATTGCAGCACAAGATTCACTAGATCACCAGCAAGTTCCATCATAAACAGGATTGAATGCTAGATACAGTCACAAGTATTACATTACAGAGGGCAATTCATTCCAAAGACTTGTCATCATCCAGAAATTAGTTTAACTCTGATGATGTTGGATCTACGTATATATGTAGAGTTGACAAGTTTGGCGATATTGGCTGAAGCCAAGTTAGCGTTGTTTTATTTTATACAATGCAATTTAATTATTCGTTAATCAGCAACAAAATATACTCGTTGCATATCTAGCAAATATTGCAACAATCTAAATACGTACATGATCCATTCAGAGAAAAATACACTTTTCCATCAGGTTACGAGCAGCGTAACGCATCACCCACACGTTATTTTGACAGGGATCCTGGAAAGTGTTGCCATTAAAAAGTAATGAAATCGACATTCCCTGCTGAGACCCCAACGAATTCATCTGAATTAGCTCTCTCGTCAGATAAATGGTGTAAATCTCAATTTGTCATTTTATGCCAAGAGAGCTAAGCTCTTTCACTCTGCCCACTGTTTGATGAGGAAGGAAGTGAGCATGCTGTTTGGTATCAAGCCACAAATATATAACCTCCCCAACCCAACCAGTAGTCCATTCCGCACACAAAGGCGAAATGAGTTCACCATATTATTATTGCCTTCCCGTCCCGATCTGCTGCCAGTGAAAGGGCCGAAAATAAATGTTATTCTTAAGCAAGAGGAGTGGCTCTGCTGTTGATGTAATACGTTTTAAGGGCACGGATACAGTTAGTTGGCTGCTGCTTTCACTTACTTTCTCTCTGGCTCACGATAAGTCTGTGAATAAACATGTTCAAGGTTCCCAAAGTCCATCTCGCCACTCTCTTCACAAGAGAGAGAGAGAGAGAGCTTCATTTCGCCAATAAAATCGGTTTATGTACGCATCTGTATCAGAACTCTCTCTCTGTTTATACAGTCGGTTAACATTTCTCCTCCATCAGAACCCTTCAACTTTCATTGGCTTTTATCTCACCCTCCCCAACAGGGTTAAAAGCAGGACTTGTTTGGGGTTAATTCCACTTTCTATTTGTTTTGTATTTCCTTTAAGAATTCCTACACCACCAATAAACACAATATTTGTTGCATTCCGTACATAGTCACCGTGTTTCTTCAAAATTATGAAACGTGAGACTGTGAGCTTTATGGGATGCTTGATGAGACGTTAGAGTAGAGACACACTCAAGTGTTAAAGATTACTTTGTTTGGAGGAGAGAAGTGGTGATTCGACCCATGAATAAGTTATAATTAGTCCGTGTTGAGCTCTTATTCAGCGTGTGGCAGAATGAGACAAGATTAAAATTTTACCAACGAATTGTAAATTCATCTTTTACTGACTTGTACTTCTCACTAAGATTATCCACTCTGATGTTAAACTAAATGACGTGAGATACACAGATGACACACGAACTTGTACCTATTTGTGCCCGACTAAAACATTTAGTTTTAATTAAAGCACATCTCAATGTTCCACTTTACGAACAATGCTGATAACAGAGAGATAGAGAATTATTTTGCATTTAAAAGTGGATCTCGATTTTACAGATCTAACAGCCACGAATGTTCCAGTTCTAAATCATCATCTCAATTTTCCATCAGCATCTTTACCTGCTGCTGCTTATCCGGAGGAGGAGGAGGAGGGCGTGGTGGCACCTGAGATGAGAAATGCGACGTCCTTGGACTCGGTGGCAGCCATCAGATTGTGTGGTCAGCGGGGGGTGGAGGAACTGAACGCGTGCTTGCGAGAGGCGTTGAAAGAGATGAGACCCCGAATGGCTGGGGGGATCCCAGAACTGGGTGTTCCAGGAGTAGACCCCTTGAGACTGGACCACTTAGCCTTCCACCACCAAACTGGGCCCGTCACCATCTCCGCCCAATTCACGAATGTGGAAGTGACTGGGCTCTCGCAGTTCAACAAGTCTGACTTCTGGTACAGGATGAATGTTTTATGGAGAAAATGTACTTTTTCAATAAATAATTATCTTGACTCCCCAAAGTAGAAGGCTGAGAAGAGGAACAAGCTTTCACTCTTACAATAACAATCTCAAAATTTAAAGAGAGAGAGAATGCTTGAACTTTGGAGATTTTGTATCATTTTCCTTCTTGCAGGGTGGACATTTCAAGACGTCGTTTAGATTTTGATGTAACTTTCCCCTCCTTGTTACTGGCTGGTTCTTATGAACTCTCAGGCAACATGTTTTTCGTCCCCATTTCTGGAGTTGGAAACTTTTGGCTAAGTCTGGGTAACAAATTAAATTTCAATTTTTTTCAAGTATTAACAAGACCAATTTTGCTTGAATTGAAATGCATTCAATTTCAATCCCATTTAAGTAGTCTTGCATGTATGTAAGCATACGAATGTGAAGGATAATTAGGCGAATATTCCTTGTTGATTTTCTAGACAAATATGGTAGCTTTTTTAACTGAATTCAATTTTGCAGATACAATTAGTTTATAATCTTACATTTTTTTACTAGCCCTAAATAAAATGAGAACATGTCAGATCGTGAGAAGGCTCCCTTTAAAATGATAAGAAATAAGATTAGACTCAGGGTCCAGCACGTTGTCAATTTAATCGTGTTACATTATGCATTTTATTTATTTTCTCTACAAGTATATTCAAATTTGCTGTCTCATCCTCCTTGACATCAGAATACTTCTCAGTTTATGATGCAAAACATGCATTCTCTTCTCGTCTGAAAATTTTCACCATTTTAATAGATTAATTTTTGAAGTTTTGTATGTAAGTAAATAGGTTATTCAGGAACATGTACTTATATCTGAATGACAGACACATTGACATGCATATACGATCTACCTCTGTATATACATAAATGCTACACCTGTGAACATACTAAGGAACATCCTAAGGCACATCCTAAGTACATATGCGTAACTACTATAATTTACACATTTGCAATGTATGTACGTATGTACAACAGTATTTATTTGCGTGGGCTTGTTAAACATTTAATTTATAAAATTCTTAGGAGGAGTTGGCTCAAAAGGTGCTGGAACATTGATTGCGACATCAAAAAGCGGAGAAAGTGGGAGACGAGTGGGGCTGAAAAGTACCGAATTGGATCTCAACATAGACTCCATAAAAGTTCAGTTGACGAATTTATTCAACGGGGACAACCTCTTAGGTAAAGTCCCACAAATCTAATTTGACAAAATAGCTGCTAAGCTGACCCACCAGACTCCTCAGTAGCGAATAAATCTATACAAAACAAACCACTTGATGGAGACTTGACTCTCCCAAACCATGGACACAGCGTGAGAGTCGTCTTGAGTAGAATTCGAGGACGAAATAATGAAAATACTTTCTTTATTCGTTCTGAAATGGCGGCATGATGGCCGTCAAGAGGAATCCAATTGTTTTTATTTGACACATGGAATGCCATCAACCAAACCGAAACACGGCATCAACTGATTTGAAGAATCGAGTCGAATCGAAATTAATTTAAAAAATTGACGGTTCCAAACATTAAGCAATACGGAATTGAAATTTTGTAATGAGATGATCTGAGCAGACGAATTGAACTAATGACAGAGTATTTCGATATTTACATTATGCAATTATTCATTATTGATTTACACGTCTGTTGTAGTGGAGGACGAGATTTACTAATATTATTGATCATCCATGTAACAGGTTCTGTAGTGAACACCTTTTTGAACGAAAACTCTCAAGATATATTTGAAGAATTACGACCACAAATCGCTGTCCAAGTGAAAGATATGCTCACCATGTTGGCAAATCAGACGCTTGTGGCACTTCCTGTAGACTTTCTCGATGACGTCCCATTGGACCCCAGCAGCGATGATGGTTCGGTGTTGACAGAAAATTCAGATTCGAAGAACAATGACAGGAATAGCTATCGATCACTGCCAATATCGAGTGCAAATCTCACTTCTTACTCCTAACAACACTGTGTCGCTGTTTTTTTACCTTGTACACCTTTATCTGGGTACTACCTTTACATATCTAAAAAACCTACAAAAGTAGTTTATCATGTTCAAAAACTAAATGAGCTTTTCGTCATTTAATTGGGCAACCGTATTATGAATGTTTATACACGTACATAATAAAATTCTACCTCGTATTTAATTAGCTCTGTAGCTGTAGTTTACATTGCCCCACTTAAACAATGACAAAAGAACTACAAAACTATTCTCTCGATCTGTGACACCAATCGTAATCTTTAGCCTCGAAATAAATATTTGTTCACGGGTCGAAAAAGTAAACTTTTATTCTTCTTTTTGTTGCGCCTCCCAATTTGGGATTGGAAATGATTGAGACGCATCTCTGATTGAAAATGTAATCGAGTTGATTGAAATGGTTGGTTAGCTAGTTTTGGTATTAATTCCGCATTGAGAGTTTCATCCCTTCTCTCGCTTTCTCTCTCTCTCTCTCTGGCTCTGCTTTCTCTCTTCGTGTGTCAAGCAGCAGGCGGCCAGAAAGCAGCAGAAGGCTTAAGCCACGTTGTGTTTGGTTAGGATGATGGTGGGCCATGTGAAAAGAATGGAAACGGAATGAAGGCATGGAGAAGCGGGGAAGAGAGGCGAGTTCGTTGTGAAGGAGAGAAAGCAAGGAAATGGAAAGATTCGATTGAAACGCAGCAAGCAACACACTTGACGACGGGCTGACAGCTACAATGTGGACGTAAGTAACGTCCCATCAAAGGGCTCACAGGAGAAAAGAATGGAATTCAATTGTGCACACCAAAAGCGCTTGACAGCCCCTCAATTTCAATGCACACGAATGGGTGTATAAATAGGTTTTTCTCTGGTGAGCCACCAACATAACAGCATTTTCTGACCAACTCATCTTACTTTCCCTTTATCCATATTTGAGCCTGGTATTATTCCCTAGTTTGGGAATCAGATAAGAATCTTTGTGGCAAAGGTACAAAGGTGCTGGATAATAGATACTTATCACAATTTCACATGTATCTACATATGTAAATGTAATCCACAAAGGTTATTATTTGTGGATGATAATAATACCCACTTTTCCTTATGTACTTATGTACCTTCCATCCGTAGAGTGGGAACGTATCATTCTTCTCATCTCTTCTCAGAGAGACGCAATAAGGAAAAAATAGCTCAAAGAGGAGGTACATATACCGCGAATTGAATATTTGTTGTGCTGTCGTCAATCAAAGTTGGACATCAATCAGGTCACGTCCTCTCAAACGACAGTTAACGGTTCGGTCTCGGTGTACATTGGAAGTTGTAGGAGTTAGTTATGAACAATTTTATGCCAGCACTCCATTTTCTCGGAAATGTAAATATCCGGGAGCTTAGTAATAAGATGGGAGGGAATAATGAATTTTCTGCCATTCGGAGGGAAAGAGGTTTACCAGATAAAAGAACTTTCGTCCTTTTTCTTATACATTGTCATATGTAAGCATGTCGCATGCCATGAACAACATCGGCTGTGGGTTGAATGGAAAAGGGCGACTAATAAGCCTCTGGTTTATACATGTCGATTTGCCTTTCGTCTTCGCAAGAATAATGCCCAGATGAACATGACACGGCAAAATTATTTACTTGGACATTGCGGTGTCTACGTGCTATCAGCCCGACATGCCAGATTGCACGCATGAAATCACACTTTCTTTCATGCAGTTTGACAATAATCTCAGTTGAAATACATATAAATGCATGACTAATAATTGGAAACGTAACAAAAATAGATCTTGGAAATATCACGTTTGACATTCTCACAATGAATTTTGTGACATGAAATTCATAATCCAGAAACATTGAGCAACAAATTGAATGCGAAGGATGAAACTTGATATTAGAAATAATGATCGTGGTTTCCCTTAATGGTCGTTCCTTGACTCAACTATAAGGATCATTTCTCATTTCATGATAAACATACCTACATACGTACGTACAGACAACCATATATTTATATGAAATTGCATTGTAAAACTACACAGGAGGGGCCAGCGCAATAGTAGTTGCTTTGTGAGAAGAATTTCCAAGCACGAAATATTCTTGCCCAACCCCACATTCTGTTCTACATACGAATCTGCACAGCACATCTTGGAATCAGAAAATTCAGAACTAATCAGAAGACATGTAATCGATTTACTCCAAGGATCCTACAGTTCAATTTGCTGGATATTGTACTATTTCATATTTGTAATAAACTCCGCCAGGACTGAGGTTGACGTCATCATTTTAAACTATAAAAATGGGACAAACGTAAATTGATTGGAAGATCATAAGTGAAAAAAGATGGATTGTCAAACATCAGATCGTGCGCATCTTGGACTCCGTATTATTTCATATTGATCTCTGCTTTCTTCCAAATAGAAATAGATTTATGAACATCAAAACGCACTCATTTACAAAGCACTGCAGCGATTCCAGTGATACTAATGCATCACACAAATAATTTTATTTCTGGAGCGACCGTGCGAGAGAAAGTCGAAGTTCAGGATCCTCACTAGAAATATCCATGCAGTTGATTGCTCTATCTTGTAATTCTCATAAGATGCTGGAGGGAAAGGTCAAAGGTGCGGGACGGCATGGATCTCCCATTTTATTTTTCGATGCAATATATGTAAGTATATAGTGTCACATTGGGAAGAAAGTGGGATCTTGATCTTATAGTGGTGCAGCTTAAAGAAGACACACGTTAAATCTGAAAAGGTGCTATGCACATGCATGCACACTTGGAAGTTAGAGAATGTAGCTGGATCTAGATCATAATTCATCTCGTAATAACGTGGAGAACAAGTAATCATTGTATGCGAATCGGAATCAAATACTTATCATCACAACGTGCATGGCCTTTGACCTGCATAAGTATATATTATAAAAATGCTTTGAAATTTAGTGAAACCAGGAAAATGATGTTTGTTGATCCCGGAACAGCTCTAGCGTCTGTACACCCACACATATAATTCGTTTCAGGAATCACTGATAACCAAGTCGAAATTTATTTAGTGAAGTTTTGGAGTTTCTAATCTCTGCTAACATTATGCAAGTTAGTTTCATGATCTTTCTACCCGGATACTCGGACTTGTGGTACTTGGTACTGGCAATCCACTTTGCAAGCATTATGGTGAAAGCTAATAACAGTTAGAATAATGTAGTGGTTGGAATGTGACGGAGTTCGTTGGACATCGACAACTGAGGTTGCCCTGCTTGTGTTCACCTTCAGTTGCTTATCTTCCTCAAGTATATGCCAAATTTTGTACCTGCTGAAATCATCTTCATAAATATTAAGTAGTGTAATCCTTTTGAATTTGTGATATAAGAGAAAGTCTAACAATTCCTGTTCTGCAGGTTCTTAAGAATTTATAAGATCCAAAGTGTTGCAACAAGATCCGAAAGTAGTCTCGTCTTATGTCTTCTCTTATCTCATACGATAATCTGAAAATGAAGGAAAATAATAGCTGCTGGACTCAAGTTATGCGTAAATACTTATTTCCTTTATTACAATCACATTGTTATAATAAATGCAAAACGCGATTTGGGTTCTTAATTTACACAAATGATAAAACATTATCGTCTCCTAAATGTATACATTTACGTAGGTACATCTACCACCTGGAGTCTATTACTAAATAGGTGACGATAGTTAATAACAAAATATATAGAACACTGTTCCACCCACTAATAATCATAGAAATAACCACTTATTGTTACACATGTATTTCTGTATGTGTGGTAGCCCGGAGGGAGACGAGGTACTTTGAAATAAGAGAGAGAGAAATGCGACACATTATAAATATCATTTTCTCGAGGGTGTGAGACTGTCCTCTCATTGGCGATTCAAGTCTGAGATCAAGTCGACGAACGACCACTGTCTACATTGTTGTCCCGACCTTGGTGGATGCTGTTTTAGTCTCCAGCATATTTGGTCGGCGAGAACGAGGTGAGTATAAATTTCGCCATCAAGTCGTGGTTTTGTCTGCATCCGACGGAATTTCGGCGAAGTTTCATGTTATCATGTTCATACTCGATGGAGTAAATTAGCTTCATTTGTTTGTTGCGTCTTGGAATCCGGTTCCAAATATTTTGCGCCCGGTTCCCAATGGCATTCACGCACGGAGGAGAAGAATAAGCAGGCGCACCACCACCACTCATAAAACACTACGCGCTAATACGCTGCAAACCTGGATAAATATTTGTAACCCAGCACAAAACATCTCTATCACAAGGATATCTCATACAAAACCGACTAGATGCCCAACTACACGTCTTACAGTGTATCATGTATGTACATATACGAATGTTGTTGTGTGTGGGTACTAGTTTGGGTTGCCTATAATTAGTATTTCTATGACTTAGTAATATCAAGAAATGGGCAAGTTACTTCTCAATAACTTGACTTAATACAGACAGGTATTTGGATAGATTTGAGTTTTGCGAGGTGGGAGTGAAAGTCTGATTAAGATCAGGAGCCCCCAGAAGACGCCCCAGATGTACTCGCTTCTTCTTTCTTGTCCTCCGGATTGGATGGCCCTGAAATTATCCAATTTTCAGGGAAAATTAGAATGATTTACGATTTATTATGTCTCGAAGAAATTAATTTAAAAAAGCTATACACTTCACATACGTGTTCTCTGCCTGCTTGCGATAATTAAACCTGTCTCGAATTATTATGCAAGTGCATATTTTGTATAAGCTAAAATAAAAATATGGCCCAATAAAATTCTCGTTATTATCAGAATGATTTTTTTAGTTTCGAAGCTTGAAAAGTTTACTGAGTATTTGCGAGCGGAATTAGGGGTTCCAGTCCCGAGATTTTTCGGGATTTAATTCCCGGGAATTCCCGGGAAACGGGATCCCGAAATCCCGGGATTTGAATGACTGAAATCCCGGAATTTCGGGATTTTTCAATTTGTCATTCAGAAGTGAAATTACTTGTAATTTACTATTTTAATAGCAGTTTTATATAATTTTCGGTTATATGATTGGTAAGAAAAAGCTTTGAAGAGCATAACCAGTCAAAATTGATCCTAAAGTCGAAAATTTACATTCTAAACAATATTGGTAGCCGTATTTTTCGAATATTCATCCAAATTTTGTATTTAATTCACAAATAAAATTTTTAATACAACATGGAACTTAAAATTTTCTAATTTAGATGTCAGATATTAAATTGAAGCAAAAAGAACGCCGTATTTTCGGCATAATTATGGAATCCGAAATCACGTATGCCCAAAAACACTAAAACGTTACAAGTGATTCCAAATTTTAGTCGATGAATTTAAGGCTGAATGAAAAGCTTTTTGACTGAACGAGGTAGTTCGTATATTTGAGCTTGAAATTTTTGAATTGCCAAATTCCATGTCCAATTGTAGTTTTTGAATAATTGTTCGCGATTTAGGCCAAATAATACTGCTAAACTTAAGTTTGTGCATTTCTGGTTAACATGGTGGCGAACCCTTGATTAATTATTTATGTTTTCTGGAATGAAATTATCAAACTTTTTCTCATCACCTCTCCAAGATAGATGACGAAAATTGAGCTACCACAATACATCGAAATTTTGCATTTATCATAGCAGGCAAAACAATATGCTCGCTAATTTGTGTTACTATCATGTGTATGCCAGAAAATAGCATACTTTATAATAATACTTATGAATGCACATATTTGGAAAACACACATCAGTAGATATGTAAATATTATGTAATATGTAATGTAAGTATTATAAATATGCTCAGGCTCGGTACTTTTAGAGCCATGTGCACCATAATTTGACTAAGTTATACGGTAATATTTGAATTTCGGGAAAAAATCCCGGGATTTGTCACGGCGAAAACCGGGATTCCCGATTCCCGGGATTTAAAAAAATCGTCCGGGATTGGAATCCCTAAGCGGAATATGTGCAAGTATTGCAATAGACCAAAACGATTATGTATCTACAAGTCTAAAAGTAGTACTTGATCAGATCGCTGTTTAGTATGATACACTTGTGCCTCATTAGTTTTAACGACTTGAACTCTTCTGAAATCTCATACGAAAGCCAGGCCGTATATGTGAACTGCACGTGTGTGCAAAAGACAAGCAAAAGTACAAGGCAATGATGTGAATGACTATTGATGCACGAAAAGTAATATAAAAAGAACAACGCAGGTCGCCAAGCTCGCTATGTGTGTGCTCTCCAAAAGAGAAAGTTGCTCAAGGACTTTCCCCACTTCGAGATCTGATCTCACTTCGCTCCATGACGGCATTGACATTATAATCGCTTTCTTCCTGAATAACATTTTAATTTCGTAAGTCTGTTGGATTAAGTTGTACTGCCTTTGATCTCAATTTGTTATTGTCCTAAAAATTATGGCTTTCTTTAGGAAATATTTAGGCTTCATCAGCCTGATGAAGCCTATTTGTGCCTATTTATAAAATAAACAGTTCTAGTTATAGCAGTTCATAACCACAGCCCACTCATCCTCAGTAACTACACTAGTCAAACGCAGAATAGATAACGATAATACAATGCACTTGCTAATACTTAAGATTAGATCCAATGAATCCAAGCCATGTAAATACTTACCGACAGAAAGTGACTCTAGCGCTTCCGCCATACCGGCGGTCGAGGTTGTCACATTATCTGGCTGATTTACATCCGGCAACGCATTTCTTCTCCCGGTTCGACCCGTATCAATAAATTTCTTAATTTCGTCTTCCGTCATTCTTGCCACTAATTCGGGGTCAATTGATTCCAGACGAGGGTCCCCTCCTCCCACAGCTCCACCAGCGGAAGCTTCTCCAGGTTCACCCATTATTCCTGAAATAATATGTATTTAGTACATACGAAACCAATCAAAATCAATTGTGGCACTGTATGACTTCACATTGAAACAAGTTTGAACTACGTTTCTTGTACATGCATCTGTTTCATGTAAAGTTATTTGACAATGCATTATATACCTGTAGAGACTTTTAACAGCTATTAGTGAGTGAGGACCAGCAGCAGAAGTGAGGTTTTGGTTGCAGTGTGTTGTCGCTTTCACTCTGGGCAGCTATTCTCCTGTCAAACAGAAGGAAACTCATAAAAATTGTATTCTCAACTTTCTTGGAAGCATGGAACAAGTCGGAGGTGCGGATTATGATGTGAAATGAAGGTTGACACAGACATGCCGGCCTTTCTCTCTTCCTATCTCACGCCTCCTTTATAAAACCATCCCTCAATGCCAAGCCCTAATGGCGGACCCATACGTTATACATGCACAAATATATATATAAAAGTATATACCACTATGACGTACATAGTCGACTGTTCTCCGCATTTTTGGACATCACGTCGCATACCCAGCATGATCATTATTAAATATACTCGCATGATCATGATGGAATATGATACTTTTTACTTGATGTATGTAGTCCAGTCCCAGCTCTGGCTAAGGAGGACAACCCTTCACCGACAGAATGACCGATCTTGATGCCCTTTGGATATGTTGTAGTCCTAGGTGAGTCTAGCAAAAGTGAAGAAGGATTTCATTCCATGGCCCCATTTGCGCCCGCCACACCCACTCAAAGGTGCAAAAATACCCTGTTTTGGTTCATTAAAAAAACCACCAAAAATTCAATTTTGGTCGGATTTTCACAATTTAAGCATTTTTGTGACCTTAGATAGTTGCTTTATCATATCCAATAGCAAACTCAACTTTTTCGAAATTTTGATTTTTTCGAAATCCACGAAATTTTCGAAAATACTCAAAAAATTCAAAAAATTGAAATTCATGTCGGATACGATAAAACAACTATCTGGGATCAGAAAGGTGCAAAAATTATCAAATTATCATTAAAAATGGATTTTTGGTGAATTTTTTAATGTGACCAGTTTGGCATGGGATTCCTCTTTGAGTGGGTGTGGCGGGCGCAAATGGGGCCATTGAATGAAATCCTTCTTCACTTTTGCTAGACTCACCTAGGACTACAACATATCCAAAGGGCATCAAGATCGGTCATTCTGTCGGTGAAGGGTTGTCCTCCTAAGACTCAGGATTTTCATTCGGGAAGCACATCGGACGTCATAACAGAGCATAGTATTTTTTATTCTACTGCTACCCTGAAACTGCGGATGTCCATATTATCAGTTTGTAATAGGGTTAAACATGCCAGAGTAGTTAGACCAGCATGGTTTTACTCTTAAGCTCTAAGTTTGTTTACTCTTAAAATCTGCGACCTAATACATACATACGTGGCGAGTGTACACAAGCTCAACCATTTATTCTCCTGTAGTTTGGTTGTTTTTTAAAGTTGGCTTTAGTCGGTAAAAAAAGTTTCCTCTGGAGAGATCCGTCATGGCCGTAGTAGCCGTGCATACAAAAGAGAAAGTCGAGAGGTGCTGACAACTTTGAATGGAGCGAAAGTTTTTGCATAAAGACCAAAGTTGGTAAGTCAGCACAGAAAAAGCCACTCTCCCAGCATATTGAGGAATATTACTACTTTTATGAAGGAGTTCATTTAATAACGGTATAACCAGGTAATTATTCTGCAGGTACACATTTATGCATATACCATAGGAATCTGTTTGTAGATGAATAGATACACGAAAAGTATGTCAGTCTACAGACCCCTGCCAGGTTTAACTAAATAAACCTGCATAGAGAAGGTTGTCTAGGGGCATACTCTTTTATTTTGTATCTCAGTCATGAGCACAGCCTGTTTTTCCAGAGCCTCTCTGATCCCGAGAAGACTAGAGATCAATCTGGAAAAATATTTTGGCTAAACCAAAACAACAGATACTTCTGAGCACCGTTGATTATGGGGAGTTTCCGTTAATTTAATTAAAAAGAGAGCAGTGCGAGCAAAAGGGAGAGGAGCAAACGAAACAATAAATATTTGAGTTTCTCAATTGTTTTACAACTACCGTGGCACAGATAAAGGAAAGTCGTTATATTAATTCTGCAGCTATGTATGTAGTCGGTTGCTGCTGCTGGATGGAATTGCGACTCATTTACTTTGAAACATTCAAAACATTGGAAGAATTGAATAGCTTTGGGAAATGCGTTGTCCCAAAGGCCATATCGTTTCCACCTCAAATGCCTCCCTCCCATAAAAGACTGTCATTGTCCCAATCGCCCACATCTTTTTTCACACACCACTCGTCGTTTTATGCGTCATTTACTTGCAAGTTCACCTTAGGTTGGAATCACTTTAAAGTTTTCTTGGTATCTCCAAATTTACTGTCCACTTAGTCATTGGGCAATGTTGTGTATTTGATTTTTAGTAAATTTATCTACCTATTTAAGGCATTTATGTACGTACAAAACGATAATTTATGGAATGGATCATCGCATATTGATACACAAATGGCTCGTTGAACAGCACAACGTCAGACGATAGACGTCAAAGCATTTCTACAACTTCAGGCGTGGGTAGGAGACCAGGTTGACAGATTGTTGAAAGCGGAAGCCGTATTCAACTTTTGTGCGAACTTTAATAGCACAAATTATAATAACAACAACAAGAGAATACACTAATGCGCACACCTTTACTTCGTCCCCGACGTTATCGACGTCAGCAACGCAAACAAGATTTTCACCAAACTACACATGCAGTAAGTATATGTGTACTCTGCTTCAACGTCATTACATATTTAATCAAATTTAAAATATGTTGTGTAATATGGTTTGCCAAGTGGATAGCACTCCAGAACGTTGTATAAATACGAGTTGTGAATTTTGAGTTTTTGAGGAATTTAGAAAGAATTTTCTGTGCTAAACTCAAGTTAAAATTGAATTGATAAATCAATGGATTCATTAAAGAAACTCTGATGCTCTTTAATGTCCTTATAAAATACATAATTGATACATCACTGTGTGCGGTTGGTGTGTTCGCTTGTGCGTTCAAAGATTATTGACCACTACAAACTTCAAACGATTTTTCTCGCGAGTCATTGACAGTGACAATGTCATGCAAAAAAGCAGTATGCAATAATTAATGCACTGTTGGCTTCATCTATCGCATTCAAATGTTCCACATACACAGAGTCGTCATGTTAGACAAATCATTAATTAAAAACAATGTGTGCCTGCCATCAACAAAATGTGACTTTAATAGTTGTGAGTGTGCATAATCCACTCCCGTCAAATATTTGTCTGGCGAATGACAAATGGGAGAAATCAGGGCAACCCAATATGTTTTGCAACCAAATATGCACCAGGTAGCCTATAGTCCTACTCTCATTTCTCACTTTGGTTGCTTGCTGTTTGGTTTTCAGTTGCTCTCTCCTTGAAGCAAGATACACATAATTCAACTACCACCATAAGAGCATCATTCTGTTTGTTGGTGGGTAAATAAATGGGGAAAGTGAACTCGGTCGGAGAGTCATGTTGTGACAAATGTCGCTTCACTTTCACCTTCACTGGGCGAAAGTCAGAGTCAACCGCCATTGGGGGGCTGCCAGCCAGCCAAAACCTAACCAACCGATGCACAACGAAATGACAGGGAATCTTAGAAAGATAGAGATAGAGTTGGCCAATAAAGCGTCGTTTGCATGCAGCAGTCTAGGATTAGTGGGCCGAATGATGGATCGCCATTCAAATGCAATCAATACTAAATAATTTTCAGACAACAGCAGAGCAATTCTTATTAGTCATGAAATGGCTCCCTGTGGGTAAATTAAGTGCAATTCCACCGTGTTGGTTGATTTTTTCACATCGGCAGCGGAAGAAAATCCTACCTTGGGAGGACACGTATGTATCGTATGTGTATTTATACTATGTAGTTGCCATCTCTGGATGCTGGCCAATGTGTTGTCCACATCCGCCGTCGTCGTCGTCGTTTAATTCAACCCTCAAGAGTTTGCACGAGGCACAGAGAAGGACATGCAGGCGCTCGTGCTTTCTCTGTTTGTTCGTTTAATCTCATCGTCACCATCTTCATCTCCACCTCCCATTCCAAGGAAATTCACTCCTTGGCCTGACTTTCTCCCTCTCTGTCTGCCGAGTTCTGACTTTAATGTAAAGAAGAACGGAACTTTGGTATCATATCGGTGTGAAACAGGCCAGCAGAGCTCCTGCACCTGGATCCATGTATCCGCACCAGACGATGCAAACCAACCAAACCACTCATCCTCTCTTCTTTGCAACAGAAGCAGAGTCGGAAATAGCGTGCGACTTCCCCAGCTTTCTCCTTCTGGTTGGAGGTGGGAATGAAATGAAATCGATCCACTTTAGTGGCTGTTTTAAAAATACATGCCCACTTTTTCTAAGCCTCTTCCCAAGTTGTTGGTTTTAATGTGTCGGAAATAATAGCCGGACCTACGTGTTACGTTCACATTATGGGACTCAAAACGGAACTAAAATGTAGTAAGTAAATAATTATGTAATCCACAATCAACCACTTGGACTGTTGATCCACACATGACAATAGCGCTATGTACATAAACACACACATGGATGCGACGCGACTAAATGTTTCAAGCAAACAAACATGTGAGTTCGTTCAAAATGAAATGTGATAATATTCTATGAGGCCAATGTGCATTGTAGTCGGTGAAGACTTGTCCTTTGCAAACTACTCGTTGAGGGTGATGTGGGTGAGTTTGTGTGTATTTATCAACAGTCAACATTTGGCTTCACTTTCAATCGAAACTTGCCTTTTTGTGGTTTGCGAAATTGTAGCCATTTCTCCCAGAATTGGATCTCGATAGTGCTGGCGTCTTTCATTTCGGACTAAAGCTCTCGGATTTCAGTCTTGTCGTCTGGACAAAAAAAACAAACCTCAGAGGCATTCCTATACTTCAGGACACAACTGCATTACTCCCAAGTCCCTAATGCGATTTTGGTTACATCACAAACTAGTCATCACATCATCTGCGGCTATGCTGTATTTTCTTGTTACATGAGTCCTTATTTTTCCTGTTTTAATAATAGAATTTGAAATTCAGCTAAACAAAGCTAATATTGAAAGGGAAAGCCTGTACGCTAACGAAATTTACCCACCATCCCTCGAGTAAATAAGTATTTACTTCCCACAAATATATTTCTAAATATATTCCTGCAAAAGTAAACCTTGCGA